TGGTCGTGGTCGAGAAGACCGTGCTTGACATATCCTGCAGCCATTCTGCTCGCGGTGGCTCGTCCCCCCCAGTTATCGGTCATTCCAACCTTCTCATCGTCTTGTCGACTATTGCTGAGTCGATCCCGGTCCCGCGTGGCAGCGTGGTCACCTCAGTGACCTGATCAGACATCATGGCATCCTCCTGTCCTCATGGGTGAGCCAAACCAGTCTAACCCGAATTCGGAAAAACACGGCGTTTGAATGGTTGCCGGAGCAAATCCAGCTAGACCACATTGGGAAAGTGCCTAATCCGTAAACGGCTTAGCTCAACATGCTCAGATCCCGCTAAACCATATTGGGAAAGTTCTGTGGTCTGCTTAACTCAGGAGTCAACATAGCTAGAGGCCAGCTACGCTCTGTGGGGAAAGTGTCTGTAAGCTCAACATAGTTCAAACTCAGCTGGACTGAATGAGAAGCCCGCGGGGGCTACTGGATGGGTCGATAGAAGGAATGAACCAAGGCCAGGTAGCTGTGGCCTCTGTATACAGAAACTCGAGGCCTTGAAGAGCTTTCGAGGAGTGTGCGAGGAAACACGCTACTTATCCTTCCCGTTCGGGCGTGCGGTCCTTGGCGAGTTTGCCCTGCTTGGGGGCTGTGGCATAACACGCAGCACATACATCTGAGGCCGGCATACCGCTATTTGGTGCTGAATTACCTGTAAAAGGTATGCTGAGTGCGCCCAACAACATATGTGGCTTGCTGGAGACAAAGGAGGGCCGGGGGGTGGACTGAACGGCCTCAAGCCGAGGTCCTCCCCATCCTCGCAGAGCCAGCTGCCGCAAATGCATGGGGCATCACCGGGCAGGACTTGTCGCGGCACATAACCAATTGCGTCTTGCCATTCTCCGGACGTGGTGATCTTGATTGAGGCATCCTGGTTGCCCCCCCAACCGGCATGGTATCTGCCGGGTCGTCGTGACCCGGGACCGAGGGGTTTGTGTCCAAAGACTATCGATATGAGAGCCTGGGTGCATGGCGTCCGCTACGTGACCCTGACGCACACGTACCACGGCGCCCTCGTATCGTCGGCCGCCCTCACTTCCGCCCGCACGAGTCTTGCCCCCAAGCCGTGTCTCGATGGGGGACGGCTGAGTCGTGGCAACGAGGTAATCACCAGCGACCACAGCATCTCCCGTGGAAGCACCTGGCGTTGCCGCCGCGGCGAATGCTGGTTGCCCGGGTGATGGTTACCCGAGTGATCCGCATACTGGCGCGACTGGACCTATTTTGTCGGTATGCCCATCGAACTGCTGGAGGACACGTTATCTGGCGCATTTTCCGATCTGGACAGCCCTTGCTCGCCATGTCGTCTTCGCTCCCCGCAAGCCTCTTTGAGACGGTCGGTAGGAGCCCGTCGTTGGGCTCGTGCCGGGACATGAGGCGTCCCCATTGTATGTAGGTGACCTTGGTGTACCCAAACCCGGAGAAGAGAAACAGATAGCCCAGACCATCGTCCAGTCCTGCTTCGGCCGTGAACTCGTCTAATCATGTACGAGATGCTCTGACAGCGCCATCACTCGGACAACCATCACTCGGGCAACCATCACTCGGGTAACTATCCACGTGATAGGCACTCTGGCACTCGTTGCTGTGTGCCGTCACCGAAGCCTCTCCACGATCTCCACCATACCGAAAGCTATGGCAACCGACAGCATGGCGTCCCGGAAGAGGGTGAGCCCCTCGTGACTGATATGCCCAGGGAGCCGGGGCTCTCGGTCCAAAGCGCTCTCGCTGCGATAATGTCGGTGGTGAATGATACACCGAGCCACGAGCAGCGCGAACAAGTGCTGGTCCACGTCTGCCGCCTGAATCTCGCACGTCTCAAGCTTCGCCGCCACACGTCAATATCGTGACCGCTAACAACGCTCACCAGCCGAAGCCATATGAGCGCCGGTCAAGAGGCCCTGGCTTTTCCAATGCATTTGATGTAGCCGCGGGACATGACAAGCGTGCAAAGAGCACATCTCGAGACCCGTCACCGAGGCATACCTTGGGAGTCCACAGGGCCTTTGTCTTCCACTGCTCGATACCTCCGGACACAACTTCACGAGAAAATGGTGGCGTCAGTCAAAGTAACTGTGAGGCATGAGCCCCTTGGGACTCCTCCAGGCGCCAGCGAAGCGAGTAGAGTCTTCCTAAGGGTTCAATGGGCCTGAGGGTTGTCCCGGGCTGGTCTCGAAGGTGATCCTGGAGTTGATCCCCACACCCCGGGGGCGGCCCTGGGGGTGATCCTCCAGGTGGTCTTGGAGGTGGTCCCGCATCCTCCATATGGCCTTGGGCGTGGTCTTGAAGGTGATCTTATAGGTGATCTCGCATCCTGGGGGCAGTTCTGGGGGAGAACCGGGATTACCTGCTGTGCACCAGGCAGGTCACCATCGCCGCCTATATTGTACGAGGATTCGGAAGGTATTTGGCATGCACGTGCGAGCATGGGGGCCTGTCCCGCAGGTCGGTTGCTGGGGAGTGTTTCCGGGTCAAGGCACTGACCATACCGCCACAACAAACAACAAACAAACAATGGCCCAAATGACCGTGCGTCATCGGGTCGAGGGGACACAGGCACTTGGGCAGGAAGAAAGATGAAGATAGACTGAGATGCAACCGGCAGTCTGTTCTCTATGAACCAAGGCCCAATACTTGATCCACCACCGCAGCTTGTAGTGTTTCTTGTTGGCCATCGCTTCCAGTGCCCTCTGATGCGTGAAGACATCCTTGTACAGAGTTGTGGCTGTACTAGCCACCACCGCCACTGCAGCCCATTACAATAGGTATTGTAGCCAAATAGGTAATGTCTTGCTGGCAAACACAGAGACCTGACCTGCGCTCGACTGACTGCGACAAATGGCTGCCCACTGGGTCTTGCCACGCCGACCTTGTTTGAGAGTCTGACTCGGGTCTGTGATGGCGTAGTTCCACCTTTTGTGTCCAACGCCAGCAGGGCCTTCAAGGGCTCAGGAATGCGTCCAAGAGAGACCTTCGAGGGGAGGAGAAGGTTTCGGTCTGACTGGGGGCGATTCGAGTAGCGTAAATAGACTGTGAGCCGTGAGTCCGTTGGGACTCCTCAAGGCCCCATCGAAGCGAGTAGTCTTCCTAACGGTTCAATGGGCCTCAAGGTCGTCCTAGGGGTGGTCTTGAAGGTGATTCTGTAGGTGATTCTGCGTTCAGGTGATTTTGCGGTGGCCTTTGAGGTGATCCTGCGGGCTATCATGGGGATTGCCTGCCTGGCACCAGGAACGGCACCATCGCGCCCACAAACTATGCAGATATAGCATACAGGTATTGTTTTGTTGACTGCCCATTGGGTCTTGTAACCGACTTTGGGTGCGACGCTGACCAGGGTCTGTGATGCAGCAGTGCCACCTTTTCTTTTCAAGGCCAGCAGGGCCTTCAAGGGTTGAGGATTGCATCGAGAAGCGAGCGTCGAGGAGAGAGGATCACCTCTAGGGACACCTGTAGAGCCGCCTCCAGAGCCATCTCAAGGATGCATCATCGCCTCTGAGACCGCTCCCAATGTCTGTGTCGCCACGGTTCAACCTTTGCCATCCGACGCCAGCAGCGCCGTCAAGGGCTGAAGATTCCTTTGAGGAGAGAGCTTCGAAGAGAGGAGAAAGGTTCGATCTGGCCAGGGTGTGATGCCACAATTCCACCTTTTCTTTCCAACGCAAGCAGGGCCTCCAAGGGCCGAGGATTGCTTCGAGGAGAGAGGAGAGGAGAGAGGAGAAGGGTTCGGAGCGATGATACACGATTCAAGGGGACTTTGTAAATCAGTTAGTTTCGCCGACTCATAACTCAGCGCCGGGGATGTTTAGGGAAGACTTGCCATCAACGCATTGGATGTCGCCAAACGAACAGATTGAGAGTGTTTAATGAATGGTTGTTGTTGTGGTGGTGATGAAGTTGTTATTGAATGCGGGTTCGGATGCCCCGGCAACGGCGACGAGTTGCAAAAACAACAACAACAACAACAACAACAACAACAACAACAAAAATTCTGAGGCGGTTCTGCACCTTGGAGGTGGCGCTGGGGGTGATCTTGAAGGTGATCCTGGAGATGATCTTGCATTTTGTCCTTGGGCCGATCCTGGAGTTGTCTGCTGGGCACCAGGCACGTCACCATCGCCGCCCACAAAGTGTATAGGTATGATGGTACTCACAGAGACCTGTGGTCGACTGACTGCGCCATGCCGACTTTGATTGCGAGTCTGACTAGGGTCTGTAATGCCACGATTCCACCTTTTCTTGTCCAATGCCAGCAGGCCTTCGGGAGGCAAGAGAGGGTGGAGGAAGAGATTAATCGGAGGAATTGAGAAGGTATACGACTGACCAGACGCGATTTCAGGGTCCTGCAATCCGTCAGTTTCACAGTTCCACAACTTGTAAGGAGGCTGTTCACAGATGATTTCAAGGTCACAGAACCGATAGGATTGAGGCCGTTAAGGAACGGGTTGGTGGTGATGGGATGAAGTTGTTGGAACTCAAGTTGGTGGGCGGCGGCATGGGGAGGGTCATCGTCAGAGCGCAGATGTAAGAACCGAGAGCCGAATAATCTCGCAAAGTCACTTATCTATCTCTAGCAGCAGCGTGGCTCTCCGTCCACTCTTGCCGGGAAAACCAGTTCAGCCAGCAGCACTACTCTAGATAATAGGGCATTCGGTTATTGAAAGACTTTCCGCCAATCTTACGGCATACTGTCACCATCAACCAAACCGAGGACAAATCTCTTGCACTCCTAAGAATGGATCAATCCGGTGGGAAAAAGTGATTATGGACTATTTATTGGTAATACGTGCGAGCCGTATCTCGGGCCATATCGAGCTCATTCTTCGCGGCGTCACGTCGCTATGTCAATTGTTCGAAGTCTGCCAACAAGTGAGAACCAGCATTCCTCCTGAATTAAGTCTGAACCTGAAAGCTCAACTTGTGCAAATCACGTCCACCACCGGCACAATACAGATGCTTTATCTCCGGTGCAACTCGAAAATCTCCGGTGCCAGGTATCCGCGGTCTGTAGCATCCAGTAGAGCGTCCATCAAGCATCGTCCCACACCTGATTTGCAGTGACCAGGCGCCATATGCAGCTCCAGTTCCGCTGTGATGGTTTCAACGTAATCAGACGCTGACCAGTCTGTGGCAGCAGCCCAGCCGCCGATGGGCTCATCCTTCACGAGGCCATCGTAGTTAGGGTCGATATTTTGGATGGGATGGTTGGGATTGACTCTCGGGACCTTACGAGACTTGGTGCGGGTGTTTTTACGGTTCCGTTCCACGGCGGCGATGTATGGTAGGCGAGCTTGGGTTGAAAGATCAAGCCGCTGGTGCATGTCGTCGTCAGTGATTTCTGACAGTTCTGAGGGCCGAACGCCCCGGGCAATATGCCCATTCAGAATGGCTTTCATACCGCGGATGTCCGCACTGACCGCGGGACGAAGGTAGATGTTTGTCATGGCTATGGGAGCGCTGGTATCTTCGCGTTGTGTTATTTCCTGCTCGCCGGTAACAGCGTCTTGGACGCGATAGGGATTGGTTTTCCCTTCCTTTGCCTCGCGTGCGAGGTATGATATATATAATTAGATGAACACCTACGCTGGTGTCATCCACGTAACAAGCGTTTTCGGGATCAGAAAGATCCAGTTTTGCGTCGTTACGAAGTCCGCTGGATGAAAAGTACCCAGCGTACTCATCGGTGATTGCGAGGCCGTAGCGCTCTGCATTGTTCATGTCAATCACCGCCTCTTTTGAGGTGAAACCAACGCCATCAGCGTGGTTATCTGTGTTTTGGACTTCTTCTGTGGAGAAGACAGAGAAATCGACATCATGGGTGCGCACTATGGTTCTCGTCGTGTTTGCACAAAGCCGGTGATCAATATTTGCGATGAACCTTGGAATAAGTTTGTTGAAGCTGGGACGATGTCCCCATTCAAGGTGCGCCGGCTGAAAGTTTCCGTCCCAGCCTGTAAGATCGCCCTCGGCCACTTCAGAGATTCGACTATGAATGAGTCGGCCAATGCGACTTGCCATGGGGTTTGTCGAGCGAGTCATTATCGCTTTCTGGTTTTTCCATCCTTCCTCTTGAGTGTACTGTGGCTCAGAGGGACGCTTCTTTTTTGCGAGCAGCGTGCTTTTAAACCCTTATGGTTCGCTTCGGGTTCCTTGCTCTGTTTGTGATTGTTTGATGTGATTGTTTGATACTGGAGGGATGAAGCTAGACAGGTGGCCTCTGTTTGGTAGATTGATCCCGTGGGTGGCTGTGGTTGAAATGTGGAGAGGGGCTTCCAAACTTATGCAAGAGCACCGTGGCACCGAACAACGGTTCACGGCCGTCGTCCATCAGACCGAAGGGCATTGAGCCAACCAACATCGGTCCAGAAGTGACTGGGAACCCCCAGGTAAGCTCCGCCGGTCCGCCTGGTATCGGATAAAGTGGGTAAACGGCGCTGTATGTCAAAGCGAAGAAGTTTGTGCCAGGAATGAAGACGATAGTGTAGGTCGGAGCAATGATCTTTTGACCAGCGAAAAACTTTCCGGCTCATGGGAACCTTGGCCCACTTCCACTCCCAATAGACAGGGGGCAGCCCATGTTGTCAATTCACTGCAGAATATTCTCTCTCAATCGACCGTGCCTTCGTGAATGAGCAACAGGGGAATACATCTCCAACGCGAGAAACTTCATTTCCGACGATTTCTGTCCTTTGAAGATCGACCAAACTCGTTTGTGCAAATCAGGCACTCGAACGTTGGCTGCATCAAGAGGTGGTGAAAAAAGAGGATTCGGCCGTGCCTGGCTCCGCAGGCTAGAGTGATGAAGAGACGCAGTCAGGTAAGCAGTGGAGATGTCCTGGTTGCGTTTCACCAAAGGAAGGACTGCCATGGGTGTACATTTGCTGGTGTGAATAGGAAATAGACCGGAAGAATGTCCCTGGTTTGCGGTCTCATTCCTGCGGCCAGACTCGTGGCCGGGCGTGGGCATTCCCGAAAGTCTGTCTGCACCCTTGGGATCTCCTGTGTCATTCCGGACCGTGTCCACCGTGCTCAGCCATGGGCCCCAAGCAGAGCTGCTCCCCACTTCCCAGTACCTATTCGAGCTCTGTCATATTGTCATCGCACTCGACCCTCCACAAACGAAAGTTGTATTCGATCGCGCTCAAGAATTCGGATGGACTGAAAAATTCCACGAACATTGCTCCAACTGCTGGTGCTGGATATTGCCTGCATGAGGGCGGTTGCCGAGAAGACGCAAGCTTCCGTCGCCGTGATTCGGCCCATCCACTTGACCACTTGAGCGTGGGCCGCCGCAGTGGCTGCCACATTATCGACCATTGTAAACATGCTATTGCGACCAAATGCTGCATATCGAGGTGGCTTGAAATAGTCACTGTTGGGGCTGTAGATTTCCTGCAGCGCTCTCTTGCTACAGAACAAGAGCTTGTTGGTAGCGATCCGTACCACCGGCCAATATCTGGCACGGGGATCATGAATTACCACTTGCGCACCGAATTGCAGATCCGATCGGAAGCCGTGGCCGCAGCAGATGTGGTGTGGGCTCCGCTGCCCAGCTTAAGGCCGTGAAACGAGTCCCGAGGCGTTCGACGTTCAATTGCGGATCAGTTTGGGGGTGAGAAATTCGTCTTCACCGCTGCTTTCGTGTTCGATCTTCTGTCCTTCGGCATATGGTACCGGACGGACGGATTGCAGCGTCTGATGGACTCAGTCTGCCCGCACCTGAAAGCGGCGGACAAGCGGAATGTGTAAGTCGTCGGTATTCCTTCATGTCCTCCACGCACATGGTGAACCTCTGCATGCTCGCATACGGCTCTGCCTTGACCGCTCCAGGTTGCTTGTCAAGGGGTCAAGGTCTCGTGAATGTTGTTGAACTTGAGGGAAACTGATAGAGGAGCACCATCTCTTCCTGTGGTAATTGAGCTTGCCACATCACGGCACGTCCATCTTTATTGTGCCTTTCCGCCATGCGGCAGACATGGCTAAGGTATTCCACCCAGGTGGTTCCTCTGTCTTGTTGACGTCTGTCTTCGGAAAGCTGGAACGGCTCCGTGAATTGGCAATTTTGGAGGAGTGCATAGAGTGCCCGATCGTGCGCAGTGTAGGTACCGTCGTTCCCCGAGGGTAACGGAGGGTTCTGCTTGATGGGCTGAAGTATTTCTCAGCAACTTGTTCAGAGGAAACTTCCCACCCGCCCAGATCGTCGAAGAAGGGATGAATTTCTCTGAAAAAACACTATGCAGCCTCCGACAGTGACAGGAAGAAGACTGCACGGGGGTTGAGAGAGTCCGGAAAAGAATCCTGCAGCATCACCGGCGGGATTTACCACTGGATTTACCGTCTGGGCGGACAGAAGGATGGTCTCTCTGCGCTGGATGACGGCCTTGCGGAATCGGGCGGGCAGGATCACCGTCGTGCCCGGTGTGTAACAAAGCCCAGCCAACTGTCAATCTGGTGGTGCTCACGTCCACAACAAGATTTTTGGCTGATAAGAAATTGCAGCATCTTCCGGAATGCAATACGCCCATTTGAGTTCAGGCGACTTTTATTTTGCACGGGAGGTGGCGGGTGGTGGATTTGGCCGGGGGATCGTGCCAGCCCATGCGAGTGACGGTGTATCAGCTTCTCCAGAGCGCAGCCACCCTTCCAAGCGATATCGTTTGGGTTACTCGGTAGACACCGTCATTGTAGAAACAATTCCCACGGAACGACCAGCAGGTCCCTCATAGAATACCCCAGCATTGCAGGTGCCAGCGGTGGTGTTCTTTTTGCCAGGATGTGATAGGCTCTCAACTCTTTTGCATCGGGTTGATGCAATAACCAAGAGAATCAGTTAACCTCACTCCTCTCTGACATCCATTTCCGCTTGTTCTGCCGCTGTTGTGGCCTGGGTGTATTGGTAGCATTGCAGAAGGCGAAATAATTGACGCAGAAGCCGAGAGCCAAGCAGCAGATAAGAAGATCCAGCGCCCATCAGGATGTTTTTACTTCTTGCATGACGGACTTCGCTCCACTGGGCATAAAATTGGAACATTGCATATGCACCATGTCCCAGCGCGTGTACAACCACTCATGTGGGCAGCTGACGATCCCCATCCACCAGATCAATGCCATGAACAGCATCGTGCAGGTGGCCGACATCCTGACTGGCTCGGCTCGAGGAGTGTCACGTTTGACCATCTCTTCGTTAGGCGTTGGTCATTCTGTAGAAGAGAGCAGCTCCAGGCAAGGGAATCGTACCCGGCTCAGAGTTCGGAGCTTGTGTGTTTCGACTATATTCCCTTCTCGTCGAGGAAACCAAAAGTCCCGCCGGAAGGCCAAGGCCGGGTTGAAATACGGCGCCTCCATCACGGATGCCTGCATAGGATGGGAAGACACCGAGACCGTACTGGAAACCCGTCTCGCTCCTCTCGATGAATGAGACTTTTCCGGAGGAGTTCATGCAGCCGACCCAGGGATACGTGCATGAGGCCGTGCAGCCATGTCTGAGGAAGCCCAGGAAGAGATTTGCCATCGTCAGCAACCTCTTCCTCGTCACGGGCATGAAGCTCGTCAACGTCACCCGGAACAAGATGTTTTGGTTGAGTTTCTATTCAACAGGGAAGGGGCACTTTCCTGGACTTTCTCAGAGAGTGGGAAGACCATTTCTGAAGTGGCTCCTCAGCTGATCCGAGCAGTACCGCATGAGCCATGGCAAGCGAAAAGCTTCCACATTCGTAAGGCATTGGAACCAAAGATGATTGAATTGGTTGGAGATCATGTGAACAAGGGCGTTGTGAAAACTTGCCATGGACGTTATCGGAACCTTATTCCTGATGGCCAAGTAGAAGCCAGGCGAGTGTCAAATGGTAAATCCGGCAATGAGTATGAACAGGGTGACCATTCGCGATTCAATCTTGCCACTTTCCCTCGAATAATTTTGCTGAGGACTTTGGTGGCATGTGTATCCTTTTGGTTTTCCGGATACGATCAGATTGAACTGGCAACTGGATGCAGAGACATGAATGCAGTCCAGATGGCATTGGGCTTGGTGAAACCAACAACTCTGCGCAAATTCGATGGCTCAGTTTATCAAAATTTCCAACAACGTTTTGGCAGGGCAGATTCCAAAGACTGCCCGACCTTTTGTGGATGATATGCCGATCAAATGCCCGAAGATCGACTATTCTGAGGGGGAATGCCTTCATGGATTTCGGAAGCTCATCATGGAGCATCTGCAGAATCTGGATCAAGTTTTGTGTGATACCGAGCGTGCTGGAGCGACTGCTCCAGGCGAGAAATCTCGGTCTGACATGGCCAGTACCAAGCTTATTGGGTACGTCTGTGCCCGTGAAGAAAGGTACCCTGGTGCCGTGAAGCTCGAGAAGATTGTGAGATGGGCAACACCGGGAAACCGAACGGAGTTGAAAGGTTTTTTGGGTATCTTGTTTACTATCGGGTTTGGATCGAAGGATATGCATTTTGCGTTTGAGTGTTTTTTCGGTTGTTGAAAAGGGCATCAAGCTGGAGATGGGGGACGGGGCTGGAGCCCCTTGTCTTCACATTGTCCTCGTTTGACAGACCGAAGTGACCATGTCGATGAGGCTGTTGAGTGAATATGGCGGTGGTTGATTTTTTTTCTCCTCACCAGCTGAGAGGCGCAGGTGGCTGCCGGTGGTGCCGACTTGAGTTTCCATACTGTTCTACCGAGCTCCGCAATGGGAATGGAAAGAAGAACATGATGTTTGCATGGAGGCGTTGAGAATCGCGTTGGCCACGGCGCCGGCGCTGGTCAGTGTTGATTATGACGAAGGTGCAGGTTTGTTTATCCTTGCATTTGATGCCAGTATCGACGGATGGGGCGCCGTTCTGACGCAGTCAGAACAGAACTTGAAGCGTCGGCATCCTGCCAGGTATGAGAGTGGTATTGGGTCGAAATTTGAAGCTGGATATGATACTGGAAAGACAGAGTGCAAGCACTGTTGAAGAGCCTCAAGAAGTTCAAACCCTGGTTGTATGGTGTGGCTTTTTTAGTGAAGACAGATTCGATGACTCTCGCGGATAAGCTGAATCAACCGGCGACGGATCCTCCAGGAGTTTTGGTGAGGCAGTGCTTGCATGAATTAGGCTCCTCGATTTTCGAGGTTCGGCAGATTCCAGGCGTTGAGAACGTTGTCGCAGATGCGCCAGCAAGGAGGCCTGCAACTGAAGAAGATATTGCTGCGGCTGGAGACATGCCGTGGGGCAGTCTTGAACTTGCCGTAGACAGGTGAAAGTTGGTGTCAGCAAGCCGTAGAAGAATGTGGCATTTTGATCTTGTCACAAACCAGTTCAGCAGTGCGGCGAAAAATGGGAAGAGGATGGCCTAGACTGCTGCCAGGGGTACATGTTTTCCGATGACACTCTCCCCTGAACTGAATCTTCCCAGTTCAGGGGAGAGTGCGCTTGTTGAGGAGATGTCAGTTACAATTTGAGACTCTGAGGGTGAGAACGGGGATGTTTCAAACGTTACTGTGGCCCGGGGAGTTTTCAGGTGAGTGAAGAAGATGTCAAATGTCGGCGAGCAGCCGCGGAGATGCTGAATCCCATTTTTGGAGGAACGATGTTTGCAGTGTTTGCACCTCCCACCCATCGCAGCCTCGTTTACCTACCCACCATCACCACCATCATCATGATCCCAGAAAACCAGCTCCAGGTCGACCACGACGAGCACTCCGACTCCTGCCGTGTCTGTGACCGCCAGTTCAGCTTCTTCCAAGGCGCCCTGAACCACTGCCCCCTCTCATGGCTGTTCGTGTCGCCTTCCGTGCGCCGGGCTCACATCGTCGACTCCCTGTGCTACGACCATCTGTACACCGTGTAGACTGGACTTCCAGACCCCAGGTCATCCCGACTCCCACGATATCGACGTTCACGACATGTGCGCCACGTGCGGCAAGACTTTCAGCAACACCAACAATCCCATACAGGTATGCATATCCCCCAATGGCCATACGCAGACAGTCAGTTTCATGATTTTCTGGCAGTTCCTCATATGTGGCGCATGTCGACGCATGCTTCCTCCCTCCACGAGCTTTTCTTCAGAGCATGGACTTGAGTCCATTCACAAAAGCATCCTCAACAGCATAGGAGGGTATGGTCACATGCAAATCTCAGAAACCGCAGGTCTTGACCTGTCGTTCTCGATGCCTCATGCCAACTTCGATCGGTTGTTCGCCATGGGACAGAAGCTGTACCGGGACAGCTACATCCAGCCAACTGTGAATGCATATGGGTCGTGAAAATGTTGGGTGTGTCGATTCGGGAACAATCGGTCGGTGTCACCCGAACCGCTGACGGTGTGGGAACTAACAGACAATAGCTCTGACGCCCTTCCATCCTGATGATGGCAGCACGTTGGTCACCGCTGTCGATGTCCGCAGCACGAGGACATTCAGCTACAGTTATCCGAAACTCCCAGACCGAGAGATGATTCCAGATGAACTAGCTAACCACATACGAATTGCAGTCAACCCGCTCCACAGCCCGTCGTCAAATGATGCAATCAGCAGCTCAACACGAAACAACAGGCAGAGATCCTCGAGTATAGGGCGGGTGTGCGCAGCCTGGAGCGAGGCTTCTCTGGCTGTCCAATGCGGCAACATGGGCGGCGGTTGGTATGAGGCTGGCGATAGATAACAGCCTCCGAATATCTTCATCTCGAAACCCAACTTCCTTGATCAAGATATTACGACCTCCTCTGCGAAGAGCTGGTCCTCGTCAGCGGGACCTACCCACATGTTGTGCGAGATGGATTGTTCTGATTCGAGCTGTGCCTCGAGAGAATGGGAACCGAGTGCGTAGAGGACGAGGAGGGCAAGAAGCTGTTCCGGAGCAAATCAGCATGTACGTCTGCACCTTTTTCTTGTCTCTGTCGGAGCGAGGTGGCGGCAGCGAAGAGCAGATGAGGAACAAGTCATACTCACAGATCGAGTGTCGCAGCGGACGTCTTGTTCCCCTGTCCCCATCACGGCTGAACGTAATGTTCTTTCTCTCCAGTTTTGCCGCGTCTTGTGCCCTGCCAGCTGGGGGTGAGCAGACGTGGTGGCTTTGTTACAGGCAGCCCGTGGGAAGCAGCAAATACGGGCACAGATGAGTAGCGAGTAGCCAATTCTGAAGAGTACAAGAGTACAGTGGTTGATTACGCTCACCTGTCCATGGATTGCACTGTGGTGCACAATTGCATCGTTCGTCCTGCACCTGCCGCCTTCCACAATTGGGCAGAAAACTCTGCAACCATCGGCTGGGATATTTATTCTGCACTTTCATTGCTCTTGAACCTACAGTCTTCAGATTGCGCTCTGATCTCTTACAGCAAGCATTCTTTGACCTGCTGCAGATGCTCTCACTCTCATCAACTAGGCTGAGAACTGTGCATTTTTTCAGTTGGGCTTCCCATCCTGCATCATCATTACTGTTGAATCCACATTCTTCTGATTCGGACTGTCGACTCTACAAGCTGCAGTTGAGCTGTCAATTTGACCTCTTCATTGCTGTTGAGCATAAGATCTTCAAAATTGGGCATGACCTCGTCCAGCTTTCACTTGAGCTCCATTTGATTCTGTAACCTTCATCAATTGGGTTGTCAACTTGACATCCTCACTGCTGTCGGTCCTGGAACAGCTTCGTCTGGACTCTTATCTCTTGCAACACCCATTTGGGCTTCAGTTGCTGCCAGCTTCGTCAATTGTGTCGTCAACTCCAGGTTTTCATTGCTGTTGATCTCAGAGCCGCTTCAGTTGGGCTATTGCCTCTTGCGACACCCATTCCAACTTCAATTGATCCTGCCACCCTTGTCAACGGTGTCGTCAACTCTGCGCCTTCATTGCTCCTGATCTCACAACAACTTTGGTCGGACTGTTACCTCTTTCGACACGCATTTCAACTTCAGTTGATCCTGCCACCTTTGTCAATTGTGTCCTCAGCTCGGCAATTTCATTGCTCTTGTCTCACAACTACTTCGGCTCGGCTGTTACCTCTTGCAAGATTTATTTGACCTTCCCTTGAGCCTGCAACCTTCTTTATTCAGCTGCTGAAGCCATTCCTCTTCTGACAACCATGGACGCCGGCAAAGCACCGCTCCGCCCTCCCACACGAGCCACAGACCAACCCTCTCGAACTCGTCGACTTTTCAGCCGCCTATCGTTCGCAAGTCTCCGTCTAAGAGCGGGACAGAGAGCTTGCCCGGGGGAAGAAGCAACGGAAGACAATGGCATGAACCCAACAGAAAATCAAGACAATCTACCCCCTGCAGTCCCAAACACTGTCGATACGTCTCCTGTCCCGGTGGACGAGCCACAAGGCAAAGGAAAGGCTCGTGCAGATGATGACCACGTCGAGATGCCTACCTGCGTCATCCCGAATTCGCCATTCACGACAGGATTTGAGCAGTTCCGTCTTAGAACCACTTCGGAGCTCATGGAGTCAGCCATGTCTCGCCCGGAGGCGTTTTTCAGCTCAGTACGGAGTCTCGACCGCCAACTCCGAATGGAGCACACTCAGCACGAAGAGCTGAAGAGGTCTCATCAGATGCTTGTCACCCGGGTTGCAGATCTTGAGAACACTGTCCAGAGACTACAACAGTGCAACAGAAACCTCACAGACATCACGAAGGACCCGGAGGCCTGTGCCGAAAGCGGAGCCCCTCCCCTGAGCCAACAGCTGCAGGACACAAACAACGATCAGCTCAGCTGCTCCGTCGAAGCCTCTGGACGACCCGCAGATGTTGAAGATAAAGAGAAACAGTGCGCTCCACGAGGGGATGGTGATCCAAGCCGCGCTCCAGTGGCTACTGATCAAGCATGGCTGGAGGACGCGCATTGGCGCGAATTTTCGGCATGGGTTCTCAGTGTGGTGGCGATGATCTGAACCGAGTCAAAACACTCTCAGCGCATCACAGTCACAGGAACCAGGTACGTCTCGTCCCGTGTGAAGGAGTTGCTCTCAAGTCTGTACTGCCCGACATACTTGGTAGAGAAGTGCTTCACCAGCTAACTAACCCAACAGAAGCACGATTGACGTCAAGGGAACGAGGTCGAGTTGAGTTTGAGGGGATTTGCGAGGATCCGATACCGTATTTTAGGAGTCCTTCACAAAGGATCAGACTTGATGTGATTGAGAATGGTGTGCCGTCATGGCATAGACGAATATTTGATGGCGAGAAAAGTTCAGGGAGTTTCGGGGGCCAAAAAAGACGGGTTTTGAGGCCGGAGAGAAGGCTTAGAGCGGGAAATGTCACTGACATGGTTGCTACTGATCCTGCAACTTTTTTAGATAGCCATGTGTACCACATTGTAATGCATGATGGCTGCCTATCTGCAAGTATCTTCCACAATCTGTTGCAGACACAGACGCCCGAAATTCGTCAGCCTTCTGGCAGGGGCATGATGCGGAGGCGGTCCTGTAGCATGCATCACTCCAAGGCCCTTCATCCTCATCTCTGAAAGGCCGGGAGGAGGTTGGTTGATGGTCCCGACGACGGGGTCGGCGAGGCAACGGAGGGGCAGAGTAGTCCAAGTCACCGCCTCGCGATCTTCGGCTAAAACGAGGCACACATGTTTACTCGGAGTCGAGTTGGTTGATGAATCCATGGGATGACACCGCCTGGCAGGCAAACTCCTTGCGTTGAGAGTTCATGGTCCGGCCCACGATCTACAAAACCCTGCCACAAGGACTCACGAATACTCCCCTTCAACTTCCCCGTCAGGAGCCACAAGACGTCCATCCCTCCGCCGCCCGCGAAACTGCAGCGCAAATGTTGCCTTTCCCCCGACTGCCTTCTCGGACTCGAACTCGGCGTGATGGGCGCGGGCGGCAGCCTCCATGGATTGCTCCACGAGCTCATCTCGGTCATGCTCCGGACTGGTTTGGTTGGTTATGGCATCATCGCACTCATTGATGACTATTTTGCACCGACCTTGCAGCGACTTCAGATTCAACTGGCACTTCTTGAGCAAGGTCTGGTCTCGAACAAGACCGTTGTTCGCACACTGGTGGTCGAAGATGGTGCTGTCACGCGCTCCAACAGCACCTTTTCGGTCCCCGATTGCGTCGTCCGTATGCTGCATAGCCACATCACGTTCGGGACCCGCCTGTTTGAGCTCCGTAAGTGCCTTGTCCCTTGCTTCTTTGGCCTGGATGAGCTCTTCCCTCAGAGACTTGAGCTCCGTTTGCAGGCTGCCACCCTTGTGTTCGATGCTGATGAATTTCTGTTTGATCACTCCAAGCTTCGACGAAACTTCTTTGAAATCCATGCGTGGAATAGTGACATCCGTGGCCAAGTGTTCCTTCTTTTTGAAGACGACAGTCATGGAGGCTTTCAGGATCTCCAACTCTTTGACGGCGTCATGGTAACTTCGAGGCGTATTCTTGCGGCTGCCTCAGCCTCAACAAGTCTGTGAGCGATCTCCACCAATGTTGGTCAGATATCCTCGTCATCGAGCGAGAGCAGCTCTGCCTTCAGCTGGAGACAGCCGAGACACGACGGAACGAAGCAATTGCCAACAAATCCAAAGCATGAATCAAGCGCTCCCTGTCTCAGAGCACAGACTGCTGGCGGCGCCAGGTCTAGGGCTACCAGGGCCTGCAGCGTTTCTGGATGTGTCGTGTGCATCTGCCAAGATCCGAGGCGGTCGGTCGAAGGACGATGGTGTTGGCAACATCTCAATCCAGAGTATCACTCCGGCCTGCTCTTTCTGGTCACGTGAGATCGCTGCCACTCGTCCCTCGGGAGGCGATGGCGTCGATTTCGTCGAAGACGCAAGGGATGCAATCTGGGGAGATTCGGTGTAGGTAACCCTCCGAGGTGAGACGGTGCTGGGCACTTCGGGACTGGGAGAGAGACTGGCCCGCATGTCCCAGAGCATGACAATGCCAGACATCGTACCGATTGCGAACAGCCGTGCACCGTGTCCCGGAATCTTCGAGCTCGGGCTCAAGCTCCCAGCATGACCCAGAGGAGACGCAAGAGGGAAAAAAGCATTGAAGCCCCAGGACATTCCAAGCAGAGGATCGTCATTGACGTTCAAAGTGGCAGACTCCGACTCGTCAGACGCCGAGGCCGAGATGTGGACGTTTCGATGTTCAGCAAACGAGAAGTCCGGAATGTGCCACACTTCCCTGGATCTCGAGCCCACAATGTCATCCTGCCTGGACGGGTGCGACCTTGGGACACTCCCCGATGCTGGAGAGGTATACGGAGATTTTTGGGTCGGATTTGATGTCCCAAAGATCGAGGCCGGCTTGATGGTGGACTTAATGGTCGGCCAGCTGTCTACCTCAGAGTCGACGGTGGTCTTGGTTATGCACCTCATGAAACGGCGTACCGAAGCTCCGCCGTTTCCACACAACTGCACTCTACGCGGAAGACCGGCGACTGGCGACGACGGCACAAGTAGAGGGAATGAAGATTTCGTTTGAGCCATGATCACAGGAAGCACTGTCCATTATCGAGAGTCTTTGCCTCCCTGTCCCCGAGCTTCCGGGCCATGTCGTCCTGCAAATACTTCTTCGCCGCTAGGTTCATCTCAAGTAATCAGCCTCTATGCAGATAGACTCATCCAACCATTCCATGCACTCGGGTTTGCAGGATCACCTACTGCAAGAATGGTCTTCCAGTCCACTCCCAAAAAGCCCCGCGTCGCCATTCTCGGCTACGGTATGTTATATGCCAAACGTTGATGCCTTCTTTGTCATGGGAACATCGGCAGGGAGTTGGCGAGCCGCTTGAGCCCGCTCTTTTTCGGACATCCCTCCCCCTCCCCCCTCCCGCCGACCCTGCCCTACCCTTGTCATGGCAACCATGGCACTGATGCATCAATGGAAGCCAGAAATCGAAAGGATGGTTCTCCCGCGTGTTCGGCTGGATGTCCATATCCTCCATGGCGACGGCCGCAAAGCCACGCGGTCCGTGCTCAGAGCCTCCGATGTAGTTCTGACAAAGTATGTAGGGACTTCTTACCGCGGAGCCGAAACCCAAGAATGCTCTCAATGGAAAAGGCCGAGAAATTGAAGGATGGGAAACCGCCGGTTGTTGAGCAGTGATTACCCGATCCTCTTCGGAGACAGGTCCCCGGTTCGTGTTTCTTGACGTGGCACAACACATGAGGAATGGAAATACAAAGTCAGCCGTTGCCGTGTGTCGTATGCGTGTCGAGTTCGCTGGGCTCTCTCTGGGACGCCGATGCAACATTCTACCGAACATGTCTTCACCTTCATCAGGTTCACTCGGGTTCGACCCCATAACAAATAATTGGGAGAGATTTACGTCGACCATTGTACGTCTGCTCAAAGGCAGGGATGGTCTTGGAAAGGAAACGGGCCATGTTACCACTACAAGCTCTCCTGCGGGCTATCCCTTCTGAGGCGAACCAAGCAGTCGAAGATACATGGTCAGCCAACCAATGGTCCAGCTCACTCCTTAAAAGACTCAGGAGGAACGGGTCATCTTCGACGAAGATCAGCTTGAATCCTACAAAGCCGTAGCGACATGTACTCAAATCCAAGTGAACAAATACATGCAGAAAAGAACCTTCGGCTCCGGCAGGCCTGTTGCCACCCGACCCGTATCATTGTAAGCAAAGAATTCGTCCAACATCGGGTAATCAGCTGGATACGGATGCGATACTTCGCAATGCAGAACAGCTGGAAGCCAAGGGGGCCGAACGACTGAGGAAGGCAAAGGATGCTTATGAATGCCCGATCTGCTTTGACATCACAGAAACCCGGTTGATGTTCTTGTCACGGTTCTGCCAAGTCCTGGTTGGCACGTGACCATTTGGCTGCCGGCCTGCGGTGTTTATTTACCACGTCGCAGGCTGGCACACTTGGGAACTCTTCTCTCGAGTGCGTGTTCATATCATTTTCTCTGCACAGTGTGCCGGTGCGTGGCATTTGCGACCTCTTCTCCTTTTTTTGTGTGCGAACTTGCAACAGAACGCCTTGACAGAGATTGCACAAATCTCAAGGCTCTCCTGTGGGAATTCCACCTCCTCTTTCTCTGTGAACCGGCAAGAGAGCTCCTTGACAGAGACCACATCAAGCCCAAAGCAATTTTGCGGGATTTCAACGACACCTACAACCATCAAACCATTCCTCAACCCATCCACCAACTCATCCATCAATTCACCCATCGATTCATCCGTCGATTCACTCGCAAGCCCTTTCATCCTGATCGTTGCCCGGCTCCGCAGGCTGACCACCATCCTTCATCACTTCAATGTTCACCACTTCCTCCTACACCACTTCATTCTACACCACTTCACTCGACACTACTTCCTCCTACACCACTTCCTTTTACACCACTTCACTGTTCACCACTTCTCTCTCCGAACACTGCCATCCCTTCGCCGACCGGACATCCACCGCATTTACACAAGGAATAAAATGGCGGACCAGGACGAAGAGATCCCAAGAAGACCTGTCAACAGCAGAACAAGCAAGAAGGAAGGGCGCTCAGCCTCGGAATCTCAAAAGACGGCCAAGGCCCCTGAGAAAGTAGCCGAGCGCCAGACTACCGCACCCCAAGGAACCGTCCCACCAACGATTCAGCATTGTCCTTACCCTACAACACTGGACCTCCGGTCGCCTGCCGCACCACGAGTTCGTCCGCCAGGGGCTTTTCCAGATTCATCCCGACTGGGTCCTACCTCTCCAGAGATCCTCCCTCACGGTAGTCAGACACTTGCAAATGAACCCGATCGGTTGAACATGGAGACCGAGGGTCAAGGAGAAAGAATAGAAGACGGCCAAAGTATAACAGTCAATCAGAGGCAAGGCCCCGATCTCAATTTTCTCGTTCAGCACTCAACCACGGCAGAGGGACAACAAGTTTTAGTCGATCAGCTTCCGGCAGGCCTGATTTCCTCACCACTCAAGAACCTGAGCGATTATGAGAACTTCCTTGTCGATCATCCGAACACTACGTGTGAATTCGCCAGCCAAGCACTCAGCAAGATCGTTTGGCTCACAGACCAGGTCACGGAGCGTCAGAATGAGCTGACAAAACTACTGTTGACGCTGAAACACGATATGAATTCTCTACGTCAAGGTCTGAGATTCTGGACGCGGTCATATCGAAAAAACAAACAAACATATCGCGGTTCGGCGCCTGGACATGTTGCTATACAACGCTATTGTCAGGTGCCGAACCGTGATAGGAAGCGGAAGGCAGCTGGAGGATTGTGCTATCGCGTCCGTCCTCCTGCTGCCTCTGACTCTGACTCTCACGGAGTGTCACAAACAGAGCAGAAGAGCACGTGACTCGCAGGGGAGAAGCATCCGGGTCCGAGGATGAAGCTACATCAGTGCAAGAAGTGGGAAAGAAATTGGAGGATTGTGTTATTGCGGTTCTCTTCGGTGTCGATGTTTCACCTAACATACAGGAGGAGCTTGGGAAGAAAGCAGGAGGATTGGACTATTGTTTCGGTCTTCCTGCTGCCTCCTCAAGCTCCTCCTGTATGTTAGGCAGAACATCGATACGGAAGAGAGCCTCAACATAGAGATCGCCTCCGAGAAGGCGAAGCTGGAGTTAACGGGGGGGTTGGGCGGCGCCGAGGGAGGCAGTGTTGACGGAGGGGCTGGGGAGTGCCGAGGGAGGCACTGTTGACGGGGGTTTTGGGGGTGCTGAGGAGGCTAAGCTGGAGTTGACCGAGGGAGGCAGTGTTGACGTAGTGCGATAACTTTTCAGGTTGTGATCCAAACATTAGGCTGCTGTTGAATATATTGGATGAAGGACTAAACCGCTCTTTACTGCCCTTTTGCAAGGTGACAATCACCGCGTGGTTCCAGGGGCTGGGAGTGAGAGTCGTGCTTTTGGTGGCCGTTTCTCAACACCGCACAACCGAGTCGAACTGAGGGTGACGGTGGTGACGGAGGAGGCTGGGGATGGGGGATTTTTTAATTCCGCGTGGGTGAGGGGGCAGGGTGCACTTAAACTGCCAGCGCCTAAATCGGACCCCGGAGAGCACCTAGAGGGGGAAGTGAATAGGGCTTCCCCAGCCTGGACAGAGCTCCATTTAGGGATTGGAGGCACCTACGGGGGGAGTAGATAGGGCTTCACCAGCCAGGACAGACCCTTATTATCAGCACCCTTCAAAAATCACCGACCACCAGTCCCATAACAACCACCACTGAAATTACCTCCCCAGCACACTCAACCCTCAATTACTCTACCATTAATCATGAACTTGAGTTCCATTTTGTGTGTCGTTATGCCTGGTCGTTATTTCTCAGTACGGCACAACCGAGTCGAGCTGAGTGTGACGGTGTGACGGAGGCGGCTGGAGATGGGGACTCTTTTTCTTAATCCCGTATGGGTGAGGTGAGGGGGCAAGGTGCACTTGACTGTCAGTGCCAAAATTGGGGCCTGGAGTGCGCCTGGAGAGGGGAGTGGATAGGGCTTCACGAGCCTGGACAGACCTCCATTTTAGGGCGTAGAGAGCGCCTACGAGGGGAGTGGATGGGATTTCACCACCCTAGGCGGATCCCCATTTAGGGATTGGAGAGCGCCTAGAGGGGGGAGTGAACCCTTCGGAATGTCACCGACCACCAGTCCCATAGCAACCAGCGTCGAAACACCTCTCCGCCACACTCGATCATCAATTACTCAACCAATAATCACGAATTTGAGTTCTATTTCGTTTGTCATTATGCCTGGGCGTCATGCACACATAGATTCCCCAAGAACAATAATTTATTGCCTTTGTTTGTAGCTGGCAAGTCCGCGCGGCAAACCGCCACAATTTCAAATATTCCCAAAGACCGCAGTTTGTGTTGTGTTGTGTTGTGACACAAAAGCTTCGGCCGGATGAGAACGCCGGAGCGGGAGGAGGACCTCAACCCCCACCAAAAGCACCCAAAGACTCAGACTGCGCACTGTTGACCTTTCACCCAAGGTCACCTGCAAACATTTGAGGAATCGGCTTGAGATCGATGTGTGTGGCAGCTCTGTTCGTACAGTTCTTCACACCCATACCATCAAGAAATGAATGGCTGAAAAGCGTCCGGGAGTGACGAAAAAGCGTGCCCCAACGAGATACGAATGGGCTTTGGCTCACAGAGACTGCAGTGCACCTGGGAGGATTGGTGCCGAGTTATCTCGTCAGACACTCGGAGTGCTCAATTCACTGCGGCTCGGGCGACAGACGAGAACGGGTATTTCAAACGCCTCAGCAGAAGTGGAATGGCGAGAAAATAACGCCCCAGGGGATGGTGCAGGGAATCCTGAGTATGGTTTGCGCAGCAAACTCGGGGGACGAAGCATCTCCCGCGCACCTTTATCGCCAGATGAGGAGTCCGCAGAAGTGGGATATTCCACCAATTTTTGTATTGCTATGAATGAAAGAGTGTGATCTCTATCTCCATGAGGTCCTAAAATCCATCGACTGTTGATAAGGTCCTCTGTCCCTTTGCCTCGATCGATCCTCTGTCCTTTTGCCCCGATTGATGTCCTGTCCCAGCTCCTGACTCCGATCCTCTGTCCTTTTGCCTCGATTGATGTCCTGCCCCAGCTCCTGACTCCGATCCTGACCTTGACCCTCTCCCTCGTTCACCTTCCGGCTCTGATCCTCAAGCAGACCTGGCTCAATTCCAAACCACAAGTCACACTGTAGTAGAGTCGGGCTTGAACTCCGGCTTTACGCTTCGTCGGGCTCTGACTCTGCCTCAGGCTCGGACGCTTCCTCAGGCTCTGGGCTGGACATTGGCTGGGCCGTGGACTCTTCTTCCCCGGGTGGTGCCGGCGGAGCTGAGGAGCCTTGGAAGGAACGAGACCTGGGACCCACTACCCTTGTCCCTAAGTAGATGGGTTCGTCGTCGCTTTCGTCCATTTGAGTCTGTGAGCTCTCTCTTTTCACTTGATTTCGTGCATCGGCTGCGTCCCTTCTTTTCCAATAGGACGTGAGCGACTCTTCTTTAAGGTCATCTTCGTTCTGCTATACCCCGGTTAATAGGCCATTGTGTAAAGTGCTGCATATGACCTACCCAAGTTGGAACATACGTCTCCCCGGTGACGGGATGTGGTTCCCAGTCGATCTGATACTGATGCTTGTTGTCCTGAAAACGGTGACTGAGGATTTCCACGATCGGCCACCATGTGTATTGCCCCGTGATCGACACTTCGAACGACTCGTGGGGTGCGGACGTGAGGCCTTCCGGCTGTTCAGGTGAGCCATGATTCCCTGAGCGGCGCCTGCGGGATGGAGTATCGTGTGCGGGCGTGAGGCCTTCCGGCTGTCCAGGTGAGCCATGATTCCCTGAGCGGAGGTTGCGGGATGGAGTATCATGTGCGGACGTGAGACCTTCTGGCTGTTCAGGCGAGGCATGATTCCCTGAGCGGCGCTTGCGGGATGGAGTATCTTGTGCGCTAGACTCGGTGCGGGAACGCTTTTTTGACGGCGTCATACTTTTGCGAGAACAGGAGAGGACTTTGGTGCGAAAGGTTGTTGAGGGATGTGGGAGATCTGGGGATGAAAGACGTGCAGGCAGCCCGCAAAGGAGCGTGGTCGAAGCTGTGGGCACCTTCGACGAGCCTCTGCGGCGCGAAATGGGAGAGAAAGAAATGTTCCGACGTGTATTGCAAATCTCTCGGGGACGAGAGATGGATGAAGGTGGGCGGTGGTTTTTAATCGAAGAGATGTGGGTGAGGTGAAAGTGAGCCGCTTGCAGACGGCGCAGGAAGGAGGGGTTAGGAGGGGTTGGGCGCTGTGGGAGGCTGGGCGCAGTTTCAGGCTGGGCGCCATCGCCGCGCCGGATTTGGATTAGCGCAGAAGCACGGACCAGTAGTTCGGGCTCTAGAATTAGGCACCAGCCATGGAGCCAGAGACCAACCACCACGTGGGAACTCGGAATGTCCGCACGCTGCTCGACAGCGGGGCGAAGATGAATTTCATTACATCATGGAACAGTGTTGAGAGAATGGCCGCCACTTCCGCCAGACTTGAACCCGCTTGAGGACCTCCGGGTTGAGCTCAAATACCTCGCCAAGGCGATCGATCCAGTGCTTTGACACACGACAGGAGGACGTCAAGAGGTACTTGATCGATTTCCAAGCGCCATTACAAAGGGCTGGGCTGGTATCGATAGGCAAATGATCAAGAATGCGGTCAAGAGTATGGACGAGAGACTCAACGCTGCTGTTGAGGCCAGGGTCTGGTATACGCGATTTTCAACTTTTAACCCTGGTATCTACGTAGTAAGACACCTGGGCTCTTGAAATGGCTACAGCGTAATTATATAGCACACGAAGTGGGTGAGAAATCAATACTTTGGAGATGGTGGTGTAGGAATTTGGTGGTTGCCATGACCAAGATGGTCGGTAGCTTTTTGCAGCCCACTGGGTATCCGAGGTGATCCCTTTGTTGTTCTTTTTTTCCTTTTTTCTCTTCTTCTGTCTCTGCAGACAACAACAACCACAACAACACCACCACCACCACCCTGCTGTGAGTGCTTTTACCCTCCAGTTCTCAACCGAAAGTCTGTTATTAACTCGCTGAACACGTCCGGCTTGCGTGTCCTCCATACCTTATCTTCAGCTGTAAGTTTATACGGTTTCCATACGATCCGCACAAGGCAAGGTTCTGTCTGACATGCACACAACAGCTCTGCGCCACCAACCCCTTGCCTACTTCTCCGCCAGTAAGCGATGCGGTACCTGTTGCTATCCGCGTGCCAACCGTATATCGCACGGTCATACGACTATATAACGTATGTTTTGACCAGCCGTGGCAAGCAACCGTGACAGGACATGGGACGATTGGTGCAACTATCTGGTCAGACATTTGGAATGCTCAATTCACTGCGATTTAGGCACCAGACGAGAATAGGTATTTCGAACGCCCCAGCAGAAGTGAGATAGCGAGAGAATGACGCCTCAAGGGATGGCCCAGAGTATCTGGATTGTGATTTGGGCAGTCAGCTAGGGAGACGAAGCATCTCATGCGTACCTTTTATGGCGAGATTGGGAATGCTTAAAAATGGGGAACGCTGCCAATTTCTATATTGTCGTGAGTGACAGTGCGTTATCCTTATCTATAATAGTGCCTGGAATTTATTAACAAATTGATAGCATTCCCTGTCCTTTTGCCTCGATGCTTGTTCTGCCTCAGCTCCTGACGCGGATCTTCTTCTTGATCTTCTCCCCCATTCACCTTGCACCTCTGATTTTCGAGCAGGACCTGGCTCAATTCCAGACCACAAGTCACTCTAGAAGAGAGTCGGGCTCGAATTCCACCAGAGCCTCCCACTCAGGGCTGGCTTGGACGTCGGCTGAGACGTGGACTCTTCCCGCCGGGGTTGGTGTCGGCGGAAACCAGTGGTCTGAGGAGTCATCAGCCTCGTCCCAAAACCCAGTCCTCGAGGATAAGATGAGATCGACCTTGGCTTTGCTACAGTCCTGCGGGTGGGTTGCTGCCTGTCCTGGTGACGGATTGTCGGGCTGTTCATTGGCATCTTTTTCTTGCTCCGAACGTCTGGAGGGCGTGTTGTTCTCCGATTTCCTCTCCCTCTCTGCTTGCTTTTGACTCTTTCTGCTCTTCTTCCTCTCTTTGATTTGCTGCTTCTTTGCCTTCTTTTCCGCCCAGTAGGGCTGGATCAAGTCATCTGCAATGTTTTCTTCCGGCTCCCAGGTCGGGTCATAGGTCTCCGCGGTGTCGGGGTTCGGGGCCCACTGGACCAGATACTGATACTTGTTCCGCTTGCCACGGTGATTCCGGAGTTTCTCGACGGGCCAGAGTCTCTCTGACTCGTCGATCGACTCGTCCGATGCGGACAAGATGCTTCCCGGCACTTCAGGCGAGGCGGGATTCTCTGAGCGGCGCTCGGGGCGCTTGCGAGGTGTAGAACCGTGCGTGCTGGACTCGCTGCGGGAACGTTTGTTCGTCATACTCTATGGGCACAGGAGAGGACTTTTCTGCCAAAGGTTGTATAGGGATGTCCGTGGTCTGGGAATGAAAGACGTGCAGGCAGGCCACGAACGAGCGTGGCCAAGCTAAGGGTGATTTTGCGAGCCCTGGACGCGAAATGCGAGAGAAATAAATGTATCGGTATGTAATCCGGGATGGCGGAGGGATGACGATAGCGTTGGTACGTGCTTGAAGAGATATATTGATGGTGAAATTGGACCGCTTGCAGAAGACGAAGGAAGGGGCTGGGCACTGTTTGATGCTCAGCCTGATCGCGGCGCTGGTTTTAGATTGGGTGAGAATCACGGATTCGCAGGCGCGACCCCAGAACGAGGCTCCACTCATGGGCTTAGAGATCAACACCCCGTGGGAACTCGGAAGGCCCGCACGCTACTCGCCAGCAGCGCGTAGATGAGTTTGGTGGTGCAGGATTTTGGTGGTTGCCAAGGCTAAGGTGGATGGTGCCTTTTGAAAGCCCACTGGTTATCCGAACTGGTCCTGTGGTTATTGTTTTTCTTTCTTTTTCCTTTTTTTTTCTCTCTATTTTTTCTGCCTTTGCAGACAACAACAGCTAAAACACCACCATCACCACACTGTGAGTGCTTTTCCCTTCCGCTTCTCACACGGAAGTCTGTTACTGACTCCCTGAACAGCTTCCTGTAAACAACAATAACACCACCACCACCATCACCACCATCACACCGTGAGTGGTTTTCCCCTCCGCTTCTCATACGGAAGTCTCTTACTGACTCGCTGAACAGGTTCCGACTTGCGTGTCCCCCATAGCTTGTCGTCAGCTGTAAGTCTATACGATTTCCATACGATCTGCACAAGGAAAGGTCTCTGACATGCACACAGCAGCTTCTGCACCACCAACTCCTTACCTGCTCCTCCGCCAGTAAGCGATGCCGTACCTATTGCTGTTCGCATGCTGACCGCTGCAGGCACATGTCCGCGCACTGTGTCTTCAAGAGCAAGGATAGAAATCATGTCTTCCAGACACAAAGTACCTCAGTCGTCAAGAGAGAACACAGACGCCACCATCGTCAAGAGCAAGGATACACTTCACGGGCTTCAGAGACAAGTCACCTCCGTCGAAAGATGGCGAGGATCTAACCGACCAAAAGACTTGGTAGAAAACAGATCCGGACGTTTCTACGTACTAAATAAGTCAGAAGCTGTGAGAGGTGACTTGTCTCTTGAATTCGTGGCGTCTGACCTCTCTCTTGACGACCGAGTCTCAGGAATTCCAGCGGTACCTGTTGCCGCTTGACGACTCTCTCTTGGCTGGCACGGTGGAAGACTCCGGGGACGACTTCCTTGACCAGAAGGATGACGAAAAGGATGACGAAGATTCTTACCTTCGGCTCGAGGAAAGTTCTGATGATGACACCGATGACTTTCAATCTTCCCTGGACGAACGCTTCATCGACTCTAGTGGGGGAGGCGACGCTGATGAGGAAGAAAACATCGACTTCGAGTTTGTATGCACTACACACAGTTGTCACGGTCGAAGGTCAGGCCAATGCCACACAGGGTAACGTCGGTCATGGTGACATCCCTGCACCCGTCCTCGCCATCAGGACGCCGTGGCGACGTCGCTCACCGGCGGCTTTTCTAGAAACAAGGACCACGTCCGCCACGAGACCAAACACAACCGGGGCACAAAGTGCGAATGGCGCGGGCTCGACCCCACTAGTAAGCAAGGCGGTACCTGTTGCTGTCGGAGGACGCTGCTGTGAGGCGTCAATGCCTTTGGCGATGATGGTGACGAACGGCTCAAACAAAGACGGGGCTGTGGACAGGAACAATTATAGGGACGGCGCTGATTATAACTCAGCGGCTCAACAATGGTATGATTCTTTGCCTCTGACTCTGACCTCGACTCTGACCTCGACTCTAACGACTCCAGCAGCGATGACATCTTCGAGGACCAGCCCTCTGAAACCCCGTGGTTGCATGAACTGAGAATGACTATCACGGAGCGTCTGCACGAGCTGACTGAACGGCTGTACAACACTATTGTCCGAACCGTGATGGAGGACCAGCCCTCTGAATCCCGTGGTTGTATGAGCGGGCGATCGCCTCCGAGTGCTGAGCTGGAGTTGACCGAGGGAGGCAGTATTGACGCAGGGCGATATCTTTTCGGGTTGTGATGAAATATCAATTAAAATACCTAACGCAGGCTGCCCCTTCCCAACAAAGTTGAGTCGAAGTGAGGTGAAGGTGGACGGAGGAGGCTGGGGATGGAGGGGGGGATGGGTTCTTGATCCAGCATGGCTTATGGAGTCGGGTGCACTTAACTACCTAGTGCCTAAATTGGAGCCTGGAGAGCTCTTAGAGGGGGCAGTGGATCGGGCCTCACCGAGCCTGGACAGAGCCTCATTTAGGCGGCAGTTTGTCCCTTCGGCGCCTATCGGGACGGGATCACCAGCACACCACCCTCAGAGTTGCCAAGTCTGGAAACTCTCCCATCCATACTTGTCAGAGAGCTTTGGGGTGGGATCGTTAGACGAAGAGTCAGAGGGTTGAACACGTATCTTGATTCTTGTATAAAGCTGTCCTTGAGACATCGACTTCTCGCACTGTTGAGGGCTTCTCCAGCAGTGCGAGAATAGAGGTCCTATTTATCTCTTTCCTGTATATGCCTCGTGGGGGCCGCCTTGGCATTTGGGGCCGTTGGCCCCATGGGGGCCAAGCGCCTGATGGGGGCCATTTGCCCCATGGGGTGTTGTCGGCCGGGAAGCGCATTGTAACAGTCATTGTAACAGCCCTGCTTCCCGGGTGACAACTTGGGTCTGTTTGCAGTGTGTCGCAGTGCAATCCACAAAGCCACCCTTTCATCAAGCCAGAGTAAATCCCTGTGCAGTCAATAAAGCCCTACTTGGGTCTGTTTGCAGGCATCGCAGTGCAATTCACAAAGACGCCCTGTCATAATGGCAGAGTCTGCTGTGCATCCGTGTTCGATCAACAAAGCCTTGGTGGGGCTCTGTTCGCAGACATCGCAGTGTCATCAACAAAGCCACCGTGTTATCAAGGCAGAGACTGCTGTGCATCCGTGTCCGATCAACAAAGCAGCCCTGGTGGATCTGCCTCCAGTATCAACAAAGGCTTCTGTGGTGGATCTGCCTCCAGTATCAACAAAGGCTTCTGTGGTGGATCTGCCTCCAGTATCAACAAAGGCTTTGGTGTATTATGCACTTGAGGTGATTCCTGCTCCACCGTTGTTATACATGAATATGTAAAGTACTCGACCGGATACAACTGCCTCCGCACACAAAAGACGTGTCCGCCCTCGCACTGCCTTACTATCTTCACCATCTGATGTGACATATGTGCCACAGCCTTCACAGGATGAATTCACGCTCAAACAACGCGCTGAAGCCTAGCGCTCCTGGCCAGGCGCCCGGCTCGCTTTCTTCTTCTGATAGTAATACGTCCTGCGCGCCGCAGTCATCATCACCACAACAGTCGAATCTTCAGCCACTACCCACTCACTCTGATCAATTGCAGGAAGTGCTCAAACTCGCAGAAGACGTCGTCTCACACAAACTTCGTTTCACGCCAGACGACGAACCCATCAAATTCACCATTTCTCGAGAGTCGTGGTTGAAACTGCAAGAAGACTCCAACTTTGACCTGTGTATAGAAAGGTACGGTGCCCCAAGATCCCAGACTCCTCTTCCTTCGCTGATATTTCTTAGGAAATTATTTCGGGATTTCTTCGATAGCTCGCTCTCTCTTATCACTATTATGTCTCCCCCAAGCTACAGACACCAGACCGTCCTCAAATTCCTTACGCAACTCGCGGGTGATACTCGATCAAACTTAATATCTACTCTCGCGTCGAAGATATCAGTCAAGCAGGGTTCAGCTATCAGGATGGTCACAGGAGACTACGTATCAGCGCAAAAAATACCCGACTTATTTATTCGATGGAGAAAGAGTATGGGCGATAATAGAATTCATACGATTATCGAAGTGGGCCAGACTCAATCTCTCTCAGACCTCCGACGTCTCGCTCCGTTCTATTTGAATAATAACGCTGATATTCAACGCGTTATTCTGATCAAAATGACCGAAACGCCAACATTCAAATCTCCGGTATCGACCGAAGTCTCTCAGGAATTCCGAAGAGACGAGACAACCGGTGTGATTTGGTGCGGTACCGCCAAGGTGATTGGGACACCGAAGATACTATGGGAGGTGTGGGAACGGGATACTACTGGTGTCCCAGAGTCGATTTTTCAGGAGACTTTCGCGTTCGGAGAGATACCATCAAGAAATCTTCCTTTCTTGAAAATCTCTAAAGGAACCTATGGCGATACAGCAATTCGGAGGGAGATAGATATTTCTATCAAACCGCAGAAGATGAAAGAATTCTGGACTAACTATTGGGTTGACGAGAGCTGGGAGGATGCGTACGAACGGGTGTATCCGTTAGGTATTCGGAGAGTGAAAGGAGCTGATATGTCGATCCAGCCGAGCCGAGTCGGGTCGGGTTCACTCTGCAAGCAGGCAGCGATCGTGATAGCTATCGCGGTAGCCATCATAGCCATAGCAGTAGTGTTAGAGAGATTTGGGGTGGGATCGTTAGACGAAGAGTCAGAGGGTTGAACACGTATCTTGATTCTTGATTGTATAAAGGTGTCCTTGAGACATCGACTTCTCGCACTGTTGAGGGCTCCTCCAGTAGTGCGAGAATAGAGGTCCTATTTATCTTTTCCTGTGTATACCTTGTGGTGGCCGCCTTGGCACTTGGGGGCCACTCGCCCCATGGGGTGTTGTCGGCCGGGAGGCACATTGTAACAGCCATTGTAACAGCCATTGTAACAGCCATGGGGTGTTGTCGGCCGGGAAGCCCGGGTGACAATACTCTTGTCTCGGTAGTAATGAAACTCACATTTCCATCTCTCTTCCGTCCCCTGTCTCCCTTACACCTCCTCGCCGTACATATTGTGTCGCCATCTCGGCATCCAGATCCTGAGTGTGAATAATCATGATATATGTAAACATATGTACCATCACCATTTCCTTTTTGCCGAGCACAACATGTAGCCCACACCACTCCGCCCGTCCCCATGCGTCTGCCTGTCTGTCTGTCCGTCCATTTAATTATTTAACTGGCTTGCTACCTAGAGAAAAGAAAAGAAAAAGCAGCAGAAAAGGATTGTGATATTGTCTTGCCTGCCTGCCTGCTGCTGGCCTGAGTTGACATGATAATATCAACACAAGGCCCGGCAAGAGGATATCTCGGTGCGTCGAATGAGCTGACCGAACACCTACGAACAGCTGAAATATGATATGCATTCTCCGAAGTGCAGGTCCCTGTCCCTGGACACGCTCCCATGGAATCCCATGAATAATTGTTGCGGCTGCGGCGATTCCGCCAATCAGGTTGCGCGGCTTGCGGCGCTGTACAGACACGTGACTCCACCGTCCCAGCTGCGCCGCTGTCTGTGGACAACCTGTCGGATTGTTTGGAACAACAACACCGCCGCTCACCTTGAGAGACGCACAACAGTGCTCTGCGTTCCGGCAAAGTCGCGCCGAGTATTGCGCTGCGCACCATTCCCACATGAGCGGTGATTCCCTCAAAACAAATACGCTGTCGCACCTCCAACATCTCATCCTCTCAAAAACTGCAAGAACTCGACGAGTCCAAACTGCAGCAGCCTGCGTTTTTCTCCCAATGTGTCCAAGCTGCAAGCGCCTGTGCCCTCCTGCTCCCGACCTGTCCAAACTGCTGGATCTCACGCTCTCCTGCCAACGTGTCCGAGCTGCAGCATCCTGCGCTCTCCTCCTGATGTGCCCATGCTGCGACAGCCTGCGCGGCCCTGCCCGACCTCGCATCCTCTGAGAACCCAGTCAACTTTCGCAGAAAATGTATGAAGGCCCCGAAGCCGCGTGGGCAGAATGACGAGAGAATGGAAGATTTGACTGCATACTCGCTGGCTGGGCATGTACAGAGGGAGTGGAAGAGGATGTCAAAGCCGTCTTGAAGGCGACAAAGCCGCATGGGCAGAATGACATCAGAATGGGAGGTTTGATCGCACGCTAGGATGTGCAGAGGAGCGAGCGAAGACGACAAAGCCGCCCTGTCATCAGACAAGAGCATGCTGTGTATCGCAGTGCAGCCAACAAAGCCGCCATATCATCAAGCCAGAGTGTGCTGTGCATGTGTGTGCGGCCAAAAAAGCAGTCCGGTGGTCAAGGCAGAGTTTGATTGCTGTGCATCTGTACGCAGTCGACAACGCCGTGGTGTGGTCTGCTTGCAGACATCGCAGTGCCATCGACAAAGAGCCCCTGTCAGCGAGAGACTGCTGCGTATCTCAGTGCAGCCAACAAAGCCTTGGTGGTGTTTGTTGCAGCGATTGACAAACGCTCCTGGTGGATCTACCTCCAGCATCAACAAAGTGCCCTCTGTCATCGAAGCAGAGATTGCTGTTCATCCGTGTGGCATCAACAAAGCATTGGTTGTGTTTGTTTGCAGCGACGAACAAAGGCGTCCTGTGACCCAGGCAGAGACTGCGGTGCATCCGTGTGCCCCTTCATTCAGCGAAGCGCGGGACAAACAACCACGGCGCTCATCGATCGGCTTTCGAAAACACTGCTCACGTGACTGCTTTGGATGTTCGCCCATCCGCTCCCCATCTGCGCTTCCACCACCAACTCAACTTTTGTGAACAACTTCATCACAACCACATCAAATCTTCATTCAACAGTCTCGATCTGTTCGTTTAGCAACATCTGATCCCGTGCATGGCAATTCTGCCTCAAAGAAGCCGGTATACTGAATTATTGAACGGTGAAACTGACTGAGTCGCAGGCACCTCAAATCACTCCCAGTCCGTCCAAGCCCTTCTCTCGAAGCAATCCTCGGCCCTCGAAGGCCCTGCTGGCGTTGGACAGAAAAGGAGGAGACGTGGCATCACAGACCCCTGTCAGACTCACAGTCACAGTCGAGCTTGAGCACAGGTTTGGTGATTGCCAGCAAAACATACCCCGTTGGCTATAATACCGACGCACTTTGCGGGCAGCGACGGCGACGTTCCCAGGACCCCCCTGCCCCCAGGCCAAGTGGACCTTGTGGAAGACCGAACTCGCTTGGCCGGATGCCGTGAGAGCGTCCCCAACGTGTCCAGTTCACTCCTCACAGTCGCTTCTGAAACAGGCCTGGTGGTGTGTGCGTGCCGCCCTGTGACCAGGCAGAGCACACTGAGCGTGCCTGTGTAGTCACAGACCCCTGGGGGTGTGTGCTTGCAGAAACCGCAGTGCGACCAACAAAGCAGCCATGTCATCCAGGCAGAGATTGCTGTGTGTCGCAGTGCAGTCAACAAAGCACTGGTGGGGTCTGCTTGCGGACGGTGACCAAGGCAGAGATTTCTGTGCACCTGCGTGCAGTTGACAAAGAAACCCTGTCATCAAGGCAGAGCATACTGTGTGTCACAATGCAATCTACAAAGGAGTCCTGTGACCAAGGCAGAGACTGCTGTGCATCCATTTGCAGTCAACAAAGGCCCCAGTGGTGTTTGTTGGCAGCGATGAACAATGGCCTCGGGTGAATCTGCCTCCAGCATCAACAATGGCTTCGTGTGGATCTGCCTCCAGCATCGACAAAGGCTCTTGGTGAATGATGTACTAGGTGATTCCCGACCGGATGCAACCTTCGCCGCACATAAAAGGCTCGTCTGCACGCACTGTTCTACTTTCTTCGCCATCTCTCGCCGCATGGTGCTTCTTCACCATGTCGGTGAGAGATGGTGATATATATAAATCTCGCAGAAGACGTTGCAAGACACAAACTTCTCGACAAGGCTAAGGTCCTCCACCAAGCCAAGTCATGGCTGTCTCCGTCTGGGTCGTCGATGCCACCTTTCGAGTCACCGACATCCAACTCCGTCAGCTCGCCAGCCATTGCCGCGGCTCCATCGAAACTGGACGAAATTTCGAGAGAGAGAATCGGATCGTCCACTTCGTACAATTTCCACCGCGCGCAAAACCCGTTGTACAGCCTGTCAACGTGGCAGCACAAACAAGGCAACCTGCAGCCTCCCACTCAGGAGGATCGACATTCCGGTCGAGCTCATGAAAGGTTCTGGGATGGCTTAGATGAGAACATTATCTCCGAGGCCGTCCCAAGCATACAAACAGGACCGCGAGGCGAACCGACAACACGGCGCGCTCCTGGGCTGGTTGTCAGCGACCCTTGGCCTTGATGACGACGAAGAGGACGACGCGCTCCTGGGCCGGTTGTCAGCGACACTTGGTCCTGATGACGACGAAGAGGACGATGCTGCGCGGACGGAGATGGTATTCAAGACTCAGACTGTTACAGAACCCTCGCTCCATCTAGGCTGGGTCCTCTGGCTCCAGAAGACAGCTGGAACGGGCTCGGATGCATTTGTCACAATCGATCCTACCGAGCCCTGCCCGCGGCGCGTGGTTCGATTGCAATATCTCGTCTGGACAAAATGTGAACTCAAGCGTCAAGAGCTCGTGAGACCTACAGCAAACTGGGTTGCGTTGCCTCCAGCATGGCAGAATACCTCGGGCGGATTGAGGACCCAACCGAGAAGGAGCTTGAGCAGGAGCGCTTGACGGAAGGTAGCCATCATAGCCATAGCAGTAGTGGCCAGGAAATGAAAACATCTCATAAACACATACAAAGCCGCTTCCATTGATGTGACCCTAACTAACCAGGCAGACTGACTGACTGACAAACCAGAGCTAGACAGAACTGTGCTAAACAGATAGACAGACTCCGCTCCGCTCCGCCCCGATTTCTGAGTAGGTGAAAAAAGGCGAGGAGAGGGCGGCAAACTGCTGCTGCTGCTGCTGCTGCTTCTGCTTCTGCTTCTCCCTCTCTGTTGCTTCTGCTTTTGCTGGTGCTGGTTACGATAACGACGACGACGACGACGGAGTGTTCCGTCCGTTCGTCCGTTCATTCGTCCGTCCGTCCGTGGGTGGAAAGAAGATGCACGTATTCACTACCTCATTCCTCCCTCCCCTCCCCTTGCTTACCTTGCTCTCTTCTGTCTCATTGCTCTCTCATATCCGCTCTGCTCTGCCCCGCTCCGCTCAAACGCGCTCGTGTCGTGGCGTGTCGTGCCACCCGGCCTTGTCCTGGGCCTGGTCCGTGTGCTTGTTCGTGGTGTCATGTCTATTCCACTGCTGGCTGGCTCGGTGGTGGTGGCGGTGGTGGTATATATGTATCTGCTTCTGCCGGTGCTGGTGATGATGCTGGTGCTTGTGCTGATACGGATGGTGATGCTTCTGTTTCTGCTGCTTGTGCTGCTGCCGGTGCTGTTGCTGATGACTGTGACAACGACGACGAGGGCGACGACGTAGAAGTCCCCCCTCGCTCGCCTGTGGAAAGAAGATGGACGAACTCACCCACTCACTCCTCTCCTTCCTCTCCTTGGTTTTCTTGGTTTCGTTGCTCTGCTTGCGTTCCATGCTCTCTCTGCTCTCTACTCCCTCTGCTCAATAACTCCTTCGTGGCGTGTCTGTCGTGGCGTGTCGTGGCTTGGTACCCGACCCGACCTTGCCCTTGTTCTTGTCCTCGTCATTGTCATTGTCCCTTGTTGTCGTCCTTATTCGTGTTCGTGTTCGTGTTTGTGTTGTCAAGTCATGTCATGTCATGTCATGTCATGGTCAATTCCATTACTTGCTCACTGGCTGGCTGGCTTGCTGACGCTGAATCTATATCCACTGCTGCATCTGCATTTGCATCTGCTGCTCCTGCTTCTGCTCCCGTTGCTGTTACCGCTGCTGGTGATGACTATGACGGCGAGGACGACGGAGAAGTCCCGTTCCTTCGTTCACTCGTTAAATGGAAGAAGGATGGACGGACGGGCGTACTCACTCTCTCACTCACTCCTCCCCTTCCTCCCTTCCAGTCCCCTCCACGCGGCCGGCCGGCATGCACGCGAGGGCTTTAACTTGTCTTGGTTTGGCTTGCTTACTCTCTTCTCTCTCCTCCTCTCCGCTCCGCTCCGCTATAACTCGCTCGTGGCGTAGTGCGGCACCCGACCCTGTTGTCTTTGTTCATGTTCATGTTCTTGTCGTCATGTCCATTACTGGCTTGTTTGCTGGCTGGCTTACTGGTGCTGTTGCTCATGCTGTTGCTGATGTTCATGCTTCTGTCTGCATCTGCTTTCGCATCTGCTGTCGCTGCCGCTGCCGACGACAGCGGAGTCCCGCCCGTTCGTGGGTGACGGAAGACGACGTACATACATACTCTCTCCTCCCCTCCCATCCCTGCTCCGGCTGGCATGCGAGGCCAGGCCTGTCGTGTCTTGCCTTGCGTTGGTGTCCTCGCTCTCCTTGCTCTCTCCTCCCTTCGCTGCACTCCGCTCAAACTTCGATGGATCGTGCCGCATGGGAGTTTCTACTCTTGATGGGCTCTCCCCGGCACACCCTGCATCAGCGGGTCGTCCTCTTTCTATCGCAGCTCATCGGAATGCCGTAGAGCAATGCTCTGGCGTGTCTCCCATCCACCCATCCACACCGAGTTGGCTCACAACCAGTTAACCTCGGGGGCGCAAGACAAACTGCACGCTCCGTCTGCTGTGGCATTCCCATACGACATCCCTCTCGTACTTGCCCATGAATGAACTTCCTGGGCCGTACAGGAGTCGGATACGCAAGGCGGAAGGGAAACCTCCTCGACCCCCCCAGTTTTCCCAAGCCCATCAGTCATCCAGGCGCTCTCTGCATACTCCCCCAGCCTCTCCCAATGCTCCCCATCCACGTACACAGCATTCCGTACCTATCCTCACACGCTAACGTGTCGAAATCGGTCCCAGTGCCGGGGGGGCCCGGTGCTACAAAACGCACTCCCACGCCCGCACCACGCCCCGGAGAGCAATTTCTCGTATAGGTCCGTGCGTTTTGAGACACGCCCGTCACGATAGGGCTATTTCGGGGACAAGTTCGGTGGAAGAAGTTTTGGCCCCCACCACGACGAGGCAGCAAAATATCAACTTCGTCAATTCGCGTCCGATTTGCATTCTGATTGTTGTCCGACGGAGCGACAGACTTGGAAAGCTCAGTGTTAGGCATGATTTATGCGTCCGGGGCGTGGTTGGTGGATAATCACGTCGTCCGCTGCGGCCGGATATGCTAGCGTAGACAGCCGTGCAGCGTTTGTATCATGACTGAGACCTTCGTAAATATACTCAGGAGAATGGCCGTAACGTGCCCAAGGAGCTCGGTGCAATTTTGTTTTTGATATCAGCACGGGGCGCAGTGTGCTCGCGAAAAATCTCTTTTTTGTTGGGACCATTTTGACGGGGCGCTGAAAACCATACCGTCAGCGTAATCTTGTATCTTCTTCCGTTTCACATATCTGCTGAAGATAGTCTTCCTTCTCTGTAGCTACCTACTGCGCGAGAAGTCGTGGGCAGCAGAGGTTGTGACTTTGGATGGGGGTCGAGCTCGGTGTATGTCGGATCGACACAAGACGAGCCTATCTTCACTCGGATTTCAGCTCAAAACTTATCCATTTCGGTATTTCAGACTGCCTAGACGTTCGCACTGTTGTTATATTACTGGATCGAGTGCTAGATTGCGCTGGAATGTGTCGGTGGACTTGTAGCTCAGAGGAATGCCTGGTAAACGTCGAGTTTCCCGGCCCATTCGGCGCTCTTGGCGTGTCCAAACGGCCGTTTCTTGCCCGGACGAGACGCACGCTTCGAGAGTGCGATGGTATGAGACTCAGAAAGGTCCTGACGGTGTAAGAACCCGCGCACTGTGGCACAGCGCGGTGGAAATGCCGTGGGGTGCATCGATGGAACTCTCGTATGAGGTTGGACGATCACGTGATCGGCGATACTTCGGAACGTCTACGGAGGAGATCTGCTTCGAGAGTCTGTGAGCGAACACAGGTAAAGAGAGTCCACGAATTCCAACTGCCCATTGAATGCACCTTGTGACATTGGAATGGGATCCTGGGGCGACTGACCTGATCCGACTCTGTCGTCCTTGTGCTTCTCCACGTCCTGGTTTTTATCTTTGTCCTTGTCCATGCTCATGATCTTGTCCATGTCCATTTCGATGTCCATATACCTGTTCATATCGTCATGTCCATTGCTGGCTTGCTTGCTGGTTGCGTGCCTGCCTGGCTCGGCTTGGCGAGTGGTTCGGTGGGTGGCTCGCTCGGTGCGCTTCAGGTTTCCGAAAAGGTAACCCCAACCATCCCAATCAACCGACCCCAGACGAGCGAGAGAGCGGGAGAAAAGACAGACTCCGACTCCTGCAGGCAACAAACAAAGAAGCACGCAAGATCAATGCAGAGAGAGAAAGATGGAGAGAGAGGATACAGATTCATACCTCGGCTCCGACTCCTCAGCACTCCTGCATGCAACAAACAAGCAAGCAAGCAAGCCAGACAGACAGACAGATAGAGAGGTGATAGATCATGAGATCAGATGAGATGAGATGAGACATGAGGTGTGTGAGCAAGAGAGATCGTAGTATGGCTGTCCGGCCGGTCGATAATTGGATGGTTAGATGGTTTGTTGGTTGGCTTCGGTGGGTGTCACGTCACGGCCAGGTCACCCTGAGGTCGCGATGGTGACACCAGAACAAGGACGAAAACAAGAACAAGAACAAGTCAAAGGAGGCACAGTGTACATGGCACAAGGCAGAAGGCACAGGGAACATGGGACAAGGACCAGAGGTAGACACCGAGACAGACAGGCAGACACAGACAGACACATACGGTGCAGAGAGAGAGTGACAAAGAGAAAGTGCACGGCACAACAGAGTTCCATTTCCATCCTCCAACCGCTACATGAATATCCGACCGACCGACGGACGCGTATGAAATACATATGATATGTATGATATGGTGGAAACCATATACATACACGACAGGATGTTTGTGGTTGACCCTAACCAACTACTCCATCCCCAAAGCCGTTGCACTCCATGGTGTGTGGCTTGCTTGCTTGCCATGCCATGCCCGTCCGCCCTCATTACCCCCCCAAAAAAACAATGCTTGAGTAAACCCAGTGCGTGTGTGTGTTGTGCCCATGTTTTGTGTAAGGGTTCGTTTCCAGCTTTTGTGTGTGCGTGCGTGCGTGTGTTTTTCAAATCCCGAATACCGTAGAATAAGACGTATTTTGTCGTTGCCTGGATGAAAGGAGAGGAAGGAAACAAGGAAAGGACAATGACCCGAAAAGTTCCTGAGCGGGATGTTTGCGGAGGGAGGGAGGAGGGTGTAAGACTGCGGCCAATCCTCCTCCCGTCCGTCAGTCCGTCAGTCAAGAGGGAGGACTCTTCTTGTTCTTGAAGCTGTCCGTGTAATTGTTGAGGAGCAGCTGCGCCGACGGCGACAAGAAGACGCGGCGACCGCCCTCCGGTTTGAAACGAACCATATCGACAGCCGCCGCCAGCTCGGACGCCGGTGGTTGCTGCTGCTGGTCCGGCTTCTGCGGCTCCTGCTTTTGCGGCTCCTGCTTCTGCTGCTGCTCTTTCTCAGGGATAGTGAGGCGGAGGACGGGCGGAATTCTGCATGGGCTGCCGTTGCTGGATGCCCTCTTCCTCTCGAGGCGGGGTATTGGGGACGGAGCCGGAGTAGGCGCTGGGTTGCAGTACCGCTCGTACGTAGCCCCGTTGATGGCGCGTTTCTCCATGTCGCTTTTCTCCATGGTGGAAGCACGAGGAGGAGGAGAAGGAGAAACTGAGGTCGCTCACTCCGAGAGCTCGCTGGAATCGGATGCTATGCGGGCTATGATCGGCAAGAAGCGGAGGATGCCGATGGTGGAGCAGGAAACAGAAAAAGAGAGTCCCCTTTCAGACTGCTCCCAGACAATATCAACCTTAACAACAACAATAGTGGAGGATGATGAAGGATCGATGAATGCACAGAAGCAGGTTGTGCTCATTTTCAATGATCTTGGGGGAAGTAAGGGAGGAGGGATGGGAGAGGGAGACGGAGAGGGAGAGAGCGACGGAATAAAGAAGGAAGGAAGGGAGGGAGGGAAGGGAGGGACGGACGGACGAGGGGAGCGAGGCGAGGCGGAATTCTATCAGCACTGATCACGAAAGTGCCCTTGCTGGCCCTTTCGAGTTACACAGACAGCTCCGCCTGTCAGTCAGGCAGCCAGTCAGAGAAGGAAGAAAGAGATTGAGAGACGGGTTGCCTGGGGCCCCTCACCTCATCGTCCCCCAGAAATGTGGGCGGGCTGCATGTTGTGTCATGTTGTTGTTGCTTGCCGGGGGAGGGAGGGCACTGTGGGCTGTCGTTGTGACGGCGGAGGAGGATTTCGTTGGGTGAAAGTGAATCATTCCGGGCCCGTGCATGCATCTTGTGTAACATGTATATGCTGTGTCACCTCGCTTGGAGCGAGCAGTCAGTCCCAACCAAAAACACGCACGGACGGGAATGTGGAATGTGGAATGTGGAATGTTGTGATGCACCTATCCATCGACCATGTTGTTGTTGTTGTTGTTGTTGTTGTTGTTGTTGTTGTTATGTGGACTTCAAATTCCCATGCCGCAGATGGAATTCCATGATGGAATGCCATGCCCAAACCCACCCAAACAAACTTCCTGTAGTTGCCCCATGGGGGAAAATGGGGGAATAATCTCCGATGGAAAGTTGGGAAAGTTGGGAAAATCGGGAACAGGACAGCAAAGTCAAAGCCAACGCCAACGCAAGATCGGGAAGGGTGAGAAGGGTGGGAAGAAGACATGCCAACAAATTTCTGTCTCAGCCGTATCTTCAGCCAGCCACCACACTCGGCCAGCCAGCCAGCCGGCAAGGCAGCAGCTGGATGGACGCGAGACAGGTCACCACAACACATCATGTATGGATGGATGCATGCACACCGCCCAAGCCCCCACTCACTCACCGACCAACATCCAGCCAGCCATGACGGAATGCGAGAGGGAAAGGCAGAGAGAGGGCAGAGGTGGCCGTTTGCGGGACAAAAAAGAAAAAAGAAAAAAAAAAAGACAACAAAGAAAAAATACTCCACCCCCCCAAGTCAGTCAGTCAGTCTGAATCACAATTATTAGTTCTATCTACCTCGCTTGCGTGCGTTGTGCCGCATCCGGCCAGCCCGTTGCGGCTTTGCTATGCACGTCCAATTCCGGCACTTTCGGTGCTGCTGGCACGAAAGCATGTCTGTTCTGTCCCTGTCCTATCCTGTGTGCATCAACCATGCCTTGCCTTGCCTGCATCCTTGCTGCTTGCATCCATGTTCACTTGCATCCTTGCATTTTTTTTGTTGGCACGCCGGCCTCTTTTTCCATCTTTGTCTCTCTCATGGCAAATTGCCTGTATGTGTGACCCCATTGCCGCAGGCGGCGTCAACCTTCGCGTGACCCCTTTGTCTTATGACTCCATGCATGCTGTGCTCTACTGCTCTGCTCTCAGGCTTGACCGAAGTCGAAGTCGCTCAGGTCCATTTCGAACGGATCAAATTCCTCCTGAACGATCCGGGGGTCAAAGCCCAAAATCCAAAATGGTTTGCACCTGTGGGTTGAAATGCACTGCGGCCTGTTCGAGGCTGTTCGTGCGTTGATATGCCGCCTGCTGGTCGGCGTTGATTGCGGTGATGGAGAGATAATTGATGTTGAATTCGTCAACGATGAAATTGGGGTTGCCAACGAGCTGTTGGCACGCGTTGGCAGGTCATGCTAAGTGTCGGAATCATTGCAGCCGAATTGCTCGCAGGTGTCGGCGGTTCATAGTCAGTCGAGTCATGACTTGCAACAGTGCAGGGAGGGTGAACCTATGTATATATATTCGGGGTGGTGAAGTGCCTTATGTGGGGCTTGGAAGAGAGTTATTGCTGTCTGCCGTCTCAGCAGCTTGTTCAATCGCTATGGTGAGTAGCTCAAGGCTTTCAAGGTAAGTCCTCTCCGGCTCGAAAAGCTTGTTCTTGGTGTTATCGAGGCCTCTAAGATCTCTGGACAAGACCTGGCCTCGTGCTGATGAGACACTGGGCGAAGGATGTTGAAACGCAGAAAGTCGAAGGTCAAAGGACCGGGAAATGCGCCTCCCTGCAGTTGCAGTCGTCGAGTGTCTGAATCATCGTGGTGGGATACACACTGGCACGCATGATCGGAAGCAATTCCACAGCAGCGATGGCGTATTTGTCGTTGGCGATCATCTCCCATCGTGTTTCGGACCATTCTCGCCGGATCCGGCTGCAAAGGAATTGCATGCTGGTCAAGAATGTGATCCCGCATTCTTTGTTCAAAGGCGCACAGTCCACTACCAACTTCGCAGTCTCTTTTGGACCGTCACGCGTATCCTTTTCTTCTTGCACTCCTGTAAAATCCTCGTTGTCAGGTCTGTATCTTTGCCTGGACCGCGACAGAATGAGAGTTTGAGAACTGCGTACCCAAGAACACTGCGTCATGGTAGGATATCACGATCAAATACCCTGGTTCCATAACAATCGAGGCTAATCATCACCTGCGACAGAAGCCACAGGCAGTCCGCTGTCTCGAACCTCTTTCCAGACGCGGCTTCAAACGTTGTCAAACATCATGTTGACAGGGTCAAAGAGGGAAGAATATTGATGGAGTTGCTCGAAGGTCGCATACTTTGGACTGTGGAAAAAACTTTTGGCACGAAGATTGCATCACACGGATAATCTGAACTCCCACTGCCCCCGGCCACTGCCTGAAGGTGATGAGATTTTGAGTTCACAACAATCAGATTCACAGGAGACTGAGTGAAGTAAAGTGAGTGACAAGTGTTATTTATCCAGGTGGCAGGAATAACAGAACTGGTATTGGCGAGAAAAAATTCTGTTGTGGTGAGGCAGTATTCACCATCATGTCACTCATGTCACTTTGAGCACCAGCACCTTCTCTATAAAAGGTCTCTCGCAACACCCTCTTTTTCATGCAACTCTTTCCCACTCATTCCACTTTGAACTCTTGCTCGTTCATCACCTCATTTTATCTTGTTAAGATTAAAGCCCCTGGGAAAAAAATCCTCAACCCGCGCAGTAAGTTTGCTCCTTGACTGCTTGAGCTTGACTGAATTTGACCAGAAGTTCATCCAAGATGGAGAACTTTTCCGAACCTGTGCCAGATGATAACGACCAGCAAAGTCTGACCCCGGTCGGACTGAGCGGAAGAGAAATGGACATCATGTGGAAGATGGGTGTTGCTTCTTTCCCTTCCACCAACAACATGTTGGTTATTCCAAGCTCCATGGCAATCAAACTCAGCAAAGATAACGTCGATGATCTTCATTCTCGTTTCAAGTAAGTAAGATTCTCAAGATATTAGTCGTGCTGCTAACCTGCCCTAGGGCTCACTTCGGAATTGCTCAAGCTGTTGCAACTCATCATCCTTCGGCTAATGTCTTTCTCATTCACCAACCCCTCGAGCCAGGCGCAGCTGAATTCGGTCCTCCCGACATGAGCAGCTCGCCGGCTCCATCAACTTCATCCATGTCCATGATGTCTACTCCGAGCCCCGCCTCAGATCCCGCGCGTGCACGTTCGACCAAGGCATTGGCGGCCAAGTCACTTCGCTTGCCGGGCAAGAAATCCAGAGTGCCTCGCCCCCCCAATGCATTCATTCTGTACCGAGCCAAAAATCATCCCATTGTCAAAAAAGCAAATCCGGAAATGGCAAACAACGATATCTCGGTCATCCTCGGGAAAAAGTGGAGGGCAGAGTCTGAACAGGTTCGAACACATTTCAAACAGTTGGCAGAAACAATCAAAGCTCGGCATGCGTTGGAGAATCCGGGTTACCAGTATTCCCCACGCAAACCATCTGAGAAAAAGCGCCGTATGACTCCACGAAAACTTGCTGCACTCCGCACTGCAAGAGTCAAGAACAATTCTGAGTCTGTTTCGGATCTTGAGATGACAGATGCCAACGATGTCGGCGAAAGCAAAGGCCGCAACAGTAAGGCAGCGGACAACTCTTCTGTCCTGAACGACACAGTCGCCGATTTCTACCACGTCAACGAACCAATTTCCGCCGCGGGACTGATGGGCAGCGAGCGTACATTCTACCCCAGCCGCATCCATCATGGGGACCAGGGTGAGATGACAGTGGTGCTGCCAGCAGGCCACGGGAGTTTGGAGTACGACTACGCAGTCCGTATGTCCCACTTCCAGCACATCCGCCCTGAAGACGAGATGGCGGTCGGCGGGCGCACCGAGGCGAGCGAGTGGGACGAGCCTCCTTACACGCGGGCGACCTGGGCGGCGCTGGCATCGGACGAATACATGAATGCGCTGATCGACTGGGACGCCATCGCCTCTAGGGACGCCTTAGTGGTGCAGAACGCAGGTCGCGCGGAGCAGGAACTGCCGGCGCTGGAGTCGCTGCATTTTGCCAACCAAGAGGAGTATGCCCAGTTCCTGGAGCAGATCCATCGCGCGCTGGAAGTTATGGAATGAGTGAAACAGCCTGCACAAATCATGACGACGGCACCGACTCACTCCGTCATCACGATCAAAACGACCATAGGTCATCATGGGCCTTCATCAACATGACCATCAATCATCGTCATCAATCAGCCTGCATTGCAATTCCAGTTCCAATTCCAGCCGCCGCGCAGTCAGTCAGACGTGCGCGCGGACCGGGCGCTCAAATCACAACAAATTACGTGTCTCAGTTTATCCCTGCCAGCGCAAATGACTGACTCCTGCTCCTCTTCCCTTCAAATGAACGAACAAAGAAAAACACGGGAAAAATTTGTCCAACAAGTGAAAAAAAAAGTGTTCCACGTCACCCCTTGCAAAGGAAAAAAAGCCAAAAAGAAAAGAAAATTGGCCGACTCTGTTGATTGCTTGGTCGATCCCCGATGGATGCACGGTGTCCATCAACACTGTAGCTGCCTGGAGCTCATTCAAGTCCCGAATGGATGGATGGATGGATGGGATGGGTGCGCAGGAATGAATGAATCGGCTGTGGCACACTACGCCACACCACACCACACCAGCCAGCATGCGTTGTGTTGTGTTGTGTTTTCTTTTCCTGCACTTTGTGCAACGGCCACAGTCATCATAGTCACCACCATCACGACAGCGCTGGAATTACCGGGGGAAAGTGGATGGATGGGATGGATGGGATGGGAGATAATGGGAAGGGGAATCGGAGGCTGAGATGGCATGGATGGATAGATCATGGATCATGGATCATGGATCAATCACTACTTCGGTGACAGATGGTCACTCAATCGATCAACGATAGATAGTTCCCAAACACCAAAACACCTTCTTCCTGGTCCCAGTTCCCTGTTCCCATTCCCAGTTCTCACTCGCTCGTCCACTGCAGGTTATGTATCCTTCTTTCTTTTTCTCTTTCTCTCTTCCTTCCCTCCCATGGGCCGCGGACACACACGCACGCTCTGGACCCCCCCAGACCAAATGTGAGATGTCCGACTTCCCTGCTTGCTTGCTTGTCCCAACATGAGTGAGGAAGGAAACGGGGGTCAGCGCAGCCGCAGAAACGTTCCGCCCTGTTCAACGCGTTAATATCTTGCTGGTGAAGGGGCATCACCGACATACCAATGTACACCCTTCCAGGGTTGACAGGTCTGGTAACGTTAGCCCGGAGGAATCTCCTGGACCTGTTGGACAAAAGGGTTCTCCATGAGGTTGGTGAGGAAGCAGTCTAAGGATCGTCTCCAGTCTCGTTGAGAAAGTTGGGAAGTCGTGTTTGGTGGTATTGGGGCGCGTTTGTTGTGTTTGGTGTCTTTGTCATGTTTGTTGTGCTTTGTCGGCGGTGGTGCATACCGGAATTTGCAGGTGGAATGTTGTTGTATTTGGTGTCTTTGTCATGTTTGTTGTGCTTTGCCGGTGGTGGTGCATACCCGAATTTGCAGGTGGAATGTTGTTTGTTGTGTTTTGTGGCGTTTGTTGTGTTGACCTGGCGTTACACAAGAATCCAGGCAGACATTCCACCGGAAATTGCGGGATGCACCACCACGCCTTGAGCAAGGAGCCACTTCGGCAGGAATTCAGACGATCTCATGCTGGAATTTTGTTGTTGTTGTTGTTGTTGTTGTTGTCCGTGAACTGCTCATATTAACTTGCACCACTGCACCACGCGGCCACCGCACCGTCGCTCTCAACCTCATTCCCATTTCCATTTGTCCTGGGCAGCGCTGACATTTCCTTTCAGCATGAATCCTCCTCCAAACCGTCCACGATCAATCAGTGAATCAGACGGTGGGGGGCCGGAAGGCTCACCTGCTGGGAAGAGACAGGAAAGAACATCAATCCGTGGAGCGGACGGTGGGGAGCCGTTCAAGGGCTCACCTGCTGGGAAGAGAAAGGAAAGAACATCAATCAGTGGAGCGGACGGTGGGGAGTCTGTCGAGGGCTCACCTGCTGGAAAGAGACAGGAGAGAACTTCAATCCGTGGAGCGGACGGTGGGGAGTCTGTCGAGGGCTCACCTGCTGGAAAGAGACAGGAGAGAACATCAATCAGTGGAGCGGACGGTGGGGAGTCTGTCGAGGGCTCACCTGCTGGAAAGAGGCAGGAAAGAACATCAATCAGTGAATCAGACGGTGGAGGGCTGTCAGAGGGCCCATCTGCTGGGGAGGAACGGCGGGGAACACCCCGTCTGACTCCGGCCTTCTGGGACAGCTTGTCCTCAATTCACCTGACGCGAAGAGCGCTGGCCGAACTCGACCGGAGAAATGCACTACGAAAGAAGAGTTCGCCCAAGCAACCTACCAGCGTCAAATCCGTCTCTGAACCCGACACCATCGACCTGGAGGACGTTGCGAGACGCGGCGGGCCTGATTTGACCGATCTTCGAGGGGTATGTACCATCCATGCGCATCCTGGTGTCTAAACTAACGGAGAAGATAGTGTCCCTACCCCATGAGTCCATCCAATGCAGGGGGCAAGCGAACATTCATACCAGTTGGAGACGATAGCTGCCACCGTAGCGAAGATCCCTACGACACCAATTTCCAGCAATACTTTATCGATCGTGGAATCTACCCACCAGGCGCCGGCCCTTGGTACGACAACATACCGGAGCCAGAACCGGGAAATCTCCACGAAATATTAAACACTCTCCTGCAACCGCGGGCTTCTCCCTCCGAACAGTCCCCTGACGACCCTTTCCGGGATTTCATGGGACACCTTGCAAAAGCGCGTGATCAGGCGAAGGTAGGGGCTGAATGGCTGTGTGCGGGTGCTGGTGAGGCCCTGCCGAACCCTTTCAACAACGCAGATCGCCTGTTTAACTACTTGGAACCGCTGGATAAATACCTACCACCTGCACAACCGGACTTCTATGTTGATGCTCAGCGCAGTTTTATCCCCTACGGACTGAGAAGCCACACCTTTCCATGCCTCGACATGTCGCTGATAGCCGCACCCAACTTCTTCGTGGAGGCCACCTGTCTTTTCAGCTGCAGTAATATCGGGACGCTTCATGCTTGCTACGATGGAGCGCTGGGGGCCCGGGCGATGCATTACCTTCAAAACTACAGATTACGCGAGGCAAACTACGATGGGAACGCTTACAGCTTCTCTTCCACGTGGTACGATCGCGTTCTGACACTGTTCTCACACCATGTATCGCCGCCTGCGGCTCCTGGTCAATCAGAAAGATATCATATGACATGTTTGGCTCAATATGATATGGCAAGCGGCCTCGATGCTTTCAAGGAAGGAGTAACTGCCTTTTGCAATCTTCGCGATCTCGCCGAAAGTGTCCGAGCAAACTTCCTGGAGGAGGTGAAACAACGAGTGCCACCTGGTCATCAATAGGAGGGCAGCCAGGCGGGCGGGCGGGTGCGCGAGATGATGGGATGGGATGGGATAGGCTTTTCCCCCAGACAGGCGGACAGGGGAGGGAGAAAGAAGAGGAACAGGAACGAGAACAGAACAAGCCACAGACAAAGCCAAAGCGCAGCAAAATACAGCCACAGCGAAGCCAGAGCACGGAACAGCACAGCAAAGCAAAAGCCACAACACAGCCACAACACAGCCACAGGAGGGCAAAACCATTAGCAAAAGCCAGTTTGAAGAGTGTGGGCGCGGATGGGAGTCGTTCATTCATTCATTCATTCATGCATTGTGTCCGTTTATTCATTCATTCATTCATGCATTGTGTCCATTCATTCATTCATCCATCCATGGAAACTTGGGTGTGAGGCCCCGAGACGGGCGATCTGGCCATCTCGCCATATCAAACCATCAACTACCACATGCTACTACTGTTTCTGGGGGTGTCAGGTCGGGTCATGTCCGGAAGGAATGTAATCGATATCGCAATCAATCAATCAATATGAGGGTGAACATGATTCCGACTCCCGTCCATCCCATCCTATCCCCCTTCTTCCTCCTCTACCTCGTGGTCATCTCCCCAACACCGACCTACCTCTCTCCCTCCTTTCTCCCTCCCTCCTCCCTCCCTCCCTCTACTCCAGCGAGGCCTGTCACAGCACATCAGACGCACTCGGCCATGGTCAGTCTCATCAAGCAACGTAGGTAAGTGCGTACGTGCGTCATGTGATCACACACAAACACACACAACACACAGAGGGACGAACGTGGACGTGAGTCGTGGGACGTGGACCTTCGTCAGCCAGCCGGGACACATATGCACACACACACACTCTCTCTCTCTCGCTCCCTCTCGGCCTGTTTCATTACTTGTTTGCGGTTTGGTTCTTTGTTCGTCTAGCACCCCGAAGAAAAAAAGAACAAAGGAATAAAGAAAGAAAATGCCGCCGCCACCGGCGAAGGGAGAGGAACCAACGCTCCATCCAACCACCCACCCCCATCACCGTACCGCACCTGCAGAGCATGCCGCGTCTCATCTCATCTCATCCACAAGCACCCCCTTCCTTCGTTCTTTCTCCGATCCGGCCAGGGCATGATGATGGCATGATGTTGATGATGATGACGATGATGATGATGATGTGTTGTGGTGTACACACCACACCACCGAACCAACAGACCGAAAAATTGACCGGGTAGGGATGGGTCAAACGACCGAGGGAGAGTGACTGATTGACGGACTGTGTACTTACGTACTTGCTTCTGCGCAGCCACTTGAACAAGCAATGCTGAGCTGGGCATTGAAGATCACACGAAACGATATGAGGTTCCTCCAGACACCTCCTCACGAGCAATAGAAGGTGCAAATGCATCTCTCTCCTGGGTCCATACATCGGTGGAAGCTCAACCTGAAGCACACGTCGCCGAGCTCTCGACTTCCAAAGATTCCCTCGAAACCTCATCCCGGAACAGGGAAGCGGACCCGTCAACACATCAGATAGTCTGAGAAGAGCTCAACTAGGCCCGCAACTAGATTGCTGACCTCACGAACGGCCTGAAAGAGCTGCTCATTCGACATCAAAAGCCGCTCCGGAAGAAAAGGTCGCCCAGCTCCTGGTCGAGCTTGAAGCGTTCGCGACTTGCAGAACAGATCTCGAAGGGTTTTAGGCCTGGGATGCGGATCGGACAACATAGCTCGCGACTGCAGGTGGCACGAGAGAGTGCAGATGCACAAGCAGCTCAACTCTCCCGCCGAGCTCGAAGAATAGGCTCCATTGGAGGCGGAGTATGGAGCTCAGACACAACAACTCGAAAGCGCCAACCCCGAGGTTGGGAATACCACGACGGAGCTGGAGGCCTTCGCCGCCTGCAAGGCAGACTTGGAAGAAGCTCGATCCAAGATGGACCAGCTTTCCACCAGGCTTGAACCTTTCGCCGCCTGCAAGCGAGACCTGAAAGATTGGTTGGTTCGGCCAGCCCATTCACCATTTCATTTCATTCTTCTTGATGCCAGGCAAAAGGACGTGGTCATCCTGACACGAATTTCCATCCTCAGGCCCGATGATCAAGCATCTCGCTGCGATGCACACCCTTGCCAGGCCGATGCAGATAGCTTCGTGCCAAACCCATTTACACAAGCCATGCCACAATCCATCTTCCGAGAGAGCGTTGTTTTGATGTGCGTCACTCGACCGGGAGGGAAAAACACAGCCTCGTGCCACGAAGCTGACAGACATCTGGCCGCTCTGGAGAAACCAGGCACGACATTTGCATTCCGTTCACCGTGAAGACAGCCGAGTTCTTCGAAGAAAATAGCTACACCAGCCCGACAGGTCCTCTCAACACACCAGCCCAACATGCATTCAATGCGCAAGGCAAGACACACATCTGGGACATATTTGCACAACACGGGCAGACTCAGGGACTTGCCAGGCTGATGGGATACCTGGATGCTCGACCGACCGGACTGGTCCGACGACGACTCGGGCTTCTCTCCGGTGGTCTGAGGTCCGTGCAGAGAGTGTCAGATTGACTCCGAATATCAGCCGAGTGTGCCCTAAACCCCATTAGGAATGTTTCGCGAGCGACACCACGCCGCTTTTGGCCCACACATTTCGTGCAGAGATTTCACAATCACGTTTGGTTCCTCGAGAGAGGCACGCATCTACAGAGACCACGACTGAAATTCTAGCAGAGAGAGTCAGACGCACTTCTCAGCCGGTCCAACGCTGAACTACGCTGGTCGCAGATCAGGAGCAGGAAATTGCCCTACACGCGGTTAGTGATAGACTTCCCGCCAGCGTGACGCTGCTAGAAGGGTGGACGATGATGCCTCTCCGACTCGGTTACCCTGGCCTGCACCATCCGCAGCGTCAATACCTTCATCATCTCCATCATCTTCACCTTCATCATCTCCATCACCTTCACCTTCATCATCTCCATCACCTTCACCTTCACCGTCTCTTTCACCTTCGCCCTCACCGTCTCTTTCACCTTCGCCCTCACCGTCTCCTTCACCTTCACCATTTCCACCTCAACCACCACAATCTCCATCTTCATCACCATCTCCATCACCATCACCACCGCGAGCACAACCACAATCTCAACCTCACCACAACCTCAACCTCAACCACAACTACAATCTCAATAACCACAATCTCGCCCTCAACCTCATCTTAACCTCAGCCACAACCCAACCTCAACCTCAACCACAACCATACCACAACCAATCTCAACCTCAACCACAACCAATCTCAACTTCAATCCTCAACCACCACCATCTCCATCACCATCGCCACCACGAGCACAACCATAATCTCGCCCTCCACCACAGCCTAAACCACAACACAACCACAACCATAACCTCAACCTCAACCACGACCAATCTCAACCTCAACCTCAACCACAACCTCAACCTCAACCTCAACCACAACCACAACCGTCTCCATCACCATCACCACCACGAGCACAACCACAATCTCGCCCTCAACCTCAACCACAACCACAACCATCTCCATCACCATCACCACCACGAGCACAACCACAATCTCGCCCTCCACCACAACCTAAACCACAACACAACCTAAATCACAACTCAACCTCAACCACAACCTCACCCTCACCCAGAACCAGGGCCCATTGACAAACTTAGGTCCGCCGTGGCCACAAGTATACGGAATGCCGTCTTCACTCAGTAGCCCTCCTCCTCTCCAACATCTTCCACAACAGTTGCAGAGGTAGCCCGCTGCCAGGACAGCGAGCAGAGGTCAGACAGGTTCTCTCCAGGCCAATGGCCCATAGCTTCCGGTGCCCACAACACCATCAGGCTCCGTTGATAAGGATATACCCACCGACAATATCGCCAATCTTGATCAACGGAAGACCAGGCCCCAAGCTAGCTCTTTTCACGGCGCTCTTCCTACCCATCCAAAGCCTAACAGCTTTCAGGAAACGGCCACCTCCGATGGGTCTGATGTCCTGAATAGTTTTAACTATCAGCTAGAAAAGAGCACTGATACAATCACCCTATCTCGCGCTGAGGTCGAACGGGCCCCGCTCTCCTCTTACTACGGTTATCACAGAGCGAGAATCTGTGATCTCAGAGTTAACATCAGCCCAGCACGAACTGGCTGAGCTAAAAACCCTCGCGAGGCTCGAGGACTATACTGGGGCCTTGCCAAATTTTTTGATGAAGACCGATGGGGGCATGAGGTGGAAAGGAGACTGGCTTACGTTCAGTTGTGCAAACAAGCGGAAGAGAGACTCGAATGGAAGAACTGAGTGACATAAAGTCTTCTCCGAGTGATGGGTCGTCCCCGGCGACCCGCAGCGCGAAAAGGCCGACTCGACCGGGACCTCGGCGACGACGGACGGACAGAGCGGGGACAAATGGATTTACCTGAGGGACGTGAGCAAGCCGAGTGACTTAATCAATAAGGAGCTTTACCTGAGGGACGTGAGCAGACGGAGTGATTTAATCAAGAAGGAGCTGGGCGTCGAACTTCGGCACGGAGGCGGAGGCCAAGGGGGAGTGACGTGAACCAGGGCCGCCGCGAGGGACCTGCAAATGGTGGAGCCAACACTGCACCATAGGTGGATATTACATCCTCTCCATGGCCACCAAGATGAAGCCATCCGCCACCTCTGGCAGCAACGCCGGCGTCGTTTGGTTGAGGTAGGCTGACACCTCAATCAGTTTTACCCACAACTGGATAGGAAGCCAAGACGACCACCGGCTCTCAATTCAACAGGTACTCGAATATCATCAATACAGAAAGTAATACTGAAAGAGGCACTTCAAATTCCCACAACAAAGCCGTGATCCGGAAGTGGGATCGACATTGCAGGTGGCAGTACCTTTTCCATTTCTCTAGACAAGATCCACAGCCTATCAGAACTGGGACAGGCTTGTGCCCATCTGACAATTTTATTCCGTTTGGCTGCAAACCTCGTTTTGTGGAACAAGCTGATGCTTGTTGTCGCAGAGACCACAGCCTGTTGCTTTGAAAGGGCCTCACCGAAGAGGATAATTCCTCATGAATTTCAGCCACTGTCACCCGGGCTCCCCGGCCGACAACACCCCATGGCTGTTACAATGGCTGTTACATTGGCTGTTACAATGTGTCACCCGGGCTTCCCGGCCGACAACACCCCATGGGGCCAACGGCCCCCAAGTGCCAAGGCGGCCCCCACGAGGCACACACAGAAAGAGATAAATAGGACCTCTATTCTCGCACTGCTGGAGAAGCCCTCAACAGTGCGAGAAGTCGATGTCTCAAGGACAGCTTTATACAATCCAGATACGTGTTCAACCCTCTGACTCTGCGTCTAACGATCCCACCCCAAGGCTCTCTGACAGCCACAGCGAGTTCATGGTTTGCTTCGGTGCTGGCTGAGGAGCAGATGGGTTGGAACATTGACCGGGCTTCAGCCACCTTCCTCGACGGAGCCAGAGTGAATCAACGCCATGCCATACATTGCTGCAAAGTCGGTGCTTGGAGCAAGGGGCAGAGACCGAGCGTCATTTCATTCGAGGGCTGTCGGTGATCGGGGAGGACGCGGCCTTTTCAACCTCCCAAATATGTCTTCCACTATTGAAGCCCGCCGTGTTTTGTGCAATATGAGTTGGAACCAACAACCTCCTTCCTCTTCCACCCGGGCATTGTAGATCGCCAGGTCAGCTGGCGCCAGCCACATCAGAGGCTCTACATGGCCACCGCGATGAAGCCGTCCCCTCCTCTGGAAGCAACGTCAGCGTCATTTGATTGAGGTAGGCCGACACCTCAATCAGCTTTACCCACAACTGGATAAGAGGCCAAGACGGACACCTACTCTCAATTCAACAAGTACTCGTATATCATCCTATTGAGCGAAGCGACACATTATTTACACGCAACCTCGTCAAAAAACGCCGCGGATTTGGTTGGTGCGGAAGAGTATTGAAATCCGCGCTTCGAAGACGACGACAAGTCATACATTCGAGTACCACTCTCCCCGAAGGAGAAGCTTCCCACCGCGACAGCTGCTCACCCGCTGGCCAAGATTCTCAGGCAATTCTCCAGGAGAGCTCGGAGGCGTCGATCGGCAAGGGGATTCAGCACCGCCGTCAAAACATGCTCGCGGTAGTCGTCCAATGGGGGGATTCGGACTCTTGAGACCACGTTATAGGCTGCGGGTGACGAGACCGTCAGCTTTGGCAAGGCTGGAGGACGAGTCTAATATGGCAGAGCCACCAAATACTCGCCCAAGTTTCGGTTATGGATGCTAACGCGTGTGAGAGGGCCTAAGGATCGCATCTGTCAATGTGCACTCTACCCGAGTCTATCACCGCTCCCCAGGTCTCGGAGCAGCTTATTTCAACAGTCGTTGCCAAAAAGCCGAAAGCAGACATAAATGAGTCGGCCGAACGAATAGTCCATCCAATGACTTCTTCACCACTCTCTAAGCCCCCCATTCCTCGTCACATGTGTCACATACAGCCTGCCTGCGAGCACCACTCTCCAAATCTCAGCGCAGTCTCCAGATGTCACAAACAGAGCAGAAGAGCACGTGGCTCGCGGGGGAGAAGCATCCTCCTGCGCCATCGCCAGTAAAAGGACTCCTTGACACCAGAGGACGGGCTAACAGGCACTGCAACTTTGTGACACGAATTTCAGTACCTTGAAATCGATGACGAAAGAAGCTCGAACGATCAATCCCGACATTAGCAGTACGCTTTTCGAAACCAGACTTTTCATACCGACCAGGGTGAAATCAAAGCGGAGAACAATGAGGAAGTGTTGGGACGCACGGTCTCCCAAGATATCGCGGGATTACAATAACTTGTCCTGGTGTAACCTGTCACACCTATTCCTCAAGGTCAACAACAACTAGCAGCAGCAGCACCCCCATACGCAACTGAGCATCTATATATCACTTGCGACCTCCGGGACCATCTCGAGGCCCTTTTCCACCTCCCGGATATGTCTTCCACTATCGAAGCCCCGAGTGGAGGATGGCGAATATGAGTTGGAACCAACAGCCTCCCTCTTCTACTCTTCCGCCCGTGCTTGTTCCAGTGCTCAGACTCGGTGAGGTGAATCAAGTAGAGGTTGGCTCTCGCTGAAACAGCTGGAAGATGAAGTGGAAGGAAGATGGAGTCGGGAAGATGAAAAGAAAGATAAAACTTGAATATTCACAACAGCCGCCGAACAAACAGATCTGGCTGTCCTCGCCGATGTCCGGCCCCAAGCGCTACGACTGGGCCGTCCCCGGCGACCCGCAGCACGAAAAGGCCGACTCGACCGGGACCTCGGCGACGACGGACGGACAGAGCGGGGACAAATGGATTTACCTGCGTGGCTGGAGCAGACTGAGTGACTTGATCAAGAAGGAGCTGGGCGTCCAACTTCGGCACGGAGGCGAGGGGGAGTGACGTGAACGAGGGCCGCGAGGGACCTGCAAAGAGTGGAACCAACCCTGCACTATAGCTGGATTTGACATCCTCTCCATGGCCACCGCGATGAAGCCGTCCGCCACCATTGGTAGCAATGCCGGCGTTATCTCGTTGAGGTAGGCTGACACCTCAATCAACTTTACCCACAGCTGGATCAGTAGGTCCTTAGCTTGCCTGCTACTGCCTGGTAAGGTGACGCCATATCAGCAGTCGTCTTTGGGAATGGAGGAAAATGATTACAGAACCAAGTTGCCTCAGGGCGTCTTCTCTCGGGACGAGCGTACCTAACTTTGACAACCGTCTCATAATTACCCTTACTGTTGGACAGGAGGAGGACAAGACAGACACCGGCCTTCGACCACAAAGTCCAAACACCGTTCAAATACTGATGAGTTGCCGTGGGCCAGTGTCGCAAAACGCCACGAGTCAACTGCTCGAGCACTAGCCACACTCCCAACAAACTCTGACACTGACCGAGGGACAGCACAGTCACTTGAGCACAGTCACTTACGGAACAGGAGGCACAGCACACCCCAACAAGTGGACCAGCCCCTGTCAAGTATCTAGTTCGAAGCAGTGGAATCGTCCACTCGCACCGGCAAAGTGGAGACAACTCACAACCGGCCAATGGGTACCCGAATACCACCGACACGAAAAGAGGAGCCTTAAAATCCCACAACAAAGCTGTTATCCGGAAGTGGGATCGATTTTGCAGGTGGTAGTACTTTTTCCATTTCTCTAGACGAGATCGACGGCCTTCTTGTCGAAACCGGGGATTTTTATGACCGCCGGTGCTGGATTAGGCGTCTTGGTACTCGGAGAAGACTTTGTTTTCAACCGCCTGAATATGTCTTCCACTATCGAAGCCGCCGTGGAGTGAACAACGCGACCTAAACAGTTTGGCTTTGACGACCACCAGTGCTGGCCCGTTCACGCTGTGTCAATGGCAGTCATGATCACGCCGCAGAGAATGGGGGGGCCAGACGGGCCCCTCGGTGCATTCAGTCGTTGTATACTAGGATGGAGTCGGCGGTTGGCAGTAGAGGAGCTGTGTGAGGACGGAGGAGCTCCTGTCAAGGGGCCGTCTGCAAAGGCACAGGACTGGGGATCGGGAAACCCTCCTGCCTATACTGTAATGGGCCTCAGAGGCAGTGTTTGCCGTCGACGCCGCGAGTCAATGGCAGTCAAGGTCACGCCGCAAAGAATGGGGAAGCAGACGGGCCACCTCCACCACATCTCAACCCAAGGACAAGCAGGCGGGAATGGAAGATGCGATGCGGCAGAGGATCTGGACTCGCAACGACACGCATTCGGTATGATGTCTCTAGTGGGAAAGACAGAAAAAGGAGTATTATATCGTCTTGAATGATTCCGTGAGCTGAGCCATGCGTCCCAAGACAGGGAGGTAGTCACAGCATAGCGAAGGAGTATTCTCATCACCACAATGAACCATGTGACAGCCAGACATTCCGCTACGTACTTGTACTTAAAGCATGAAGAACCCTACTGATTAGACTGTAAGGGGGAAAGGAGAGGGGGTTTGAGGCATACCGAGTAGTGCCTGAAGCAAGATTGTGCAGCTTTCTGCCGAGTTTGACGACCAGGAGCAGCTCAAAGCGGATCATAAACGAAGTAAACAAGAACTTGAGGGCATCCGAGCCACGGGTGGGGGCCGCTTGACAGGGCTCGAAGTCGTCTAGAGTTATAAGAGCGAGCTCGAAAAGCCGAGTTGAGGATCGAAGATGTGACGGAGGGAGTGAGGGAGGGATAGAGTAAAGTAGTCCATCCAATCTATACATATAGTACATACAGCACCCTCGCAAAATAATCCGTCCACCCCTTAGATATGTAGCCACTTGGACTTCAACGGCGAATTGGTTGATTCACAGCCGTTCAATTAGTTTCACCTTACCAGTCACATGCGAAAGGGTTGGGAATATGCTGAATCTCAGCGTGGGACACTGTCGTGTATGGACTTCATGTGGCTGGACAATCGCAGCGCGAAATTGGAACCGTGGTAAATATCCCCCGCAGATCTGTGTAGCATATCATCCACCAGCGTTAACCACATGGCCACCAACGGCCTGGAAGATCTGAGAAGCGCTCCTGCCTGCGAGCAACCGAGTAGGATGTTCATGCAAGACAATGCTCCGATTCACGGCGCAAAAAAAGGCCAAAGAGTGGTTCGAAAACCAGGTAATTTCAGTGCTGGACGGGCCACAATACTCGACGGATGTGAATCCCTATTGAAAGCCTCTGGTGTGGGCTGAAAGGGCGGGTCAACGAGATCGATCCTGGCCTTAAGCACATTAAGGGGGATGGTGAGGCTATTAGAGCACGACGTACCAGCGCGATATCAAGGGCATGGCCCCAGTATGAGTTCTGGAAAGACGAAGGCAGTGTTCAAGTCCATGAATAACAGGGATTAATTAACGCTGTTGTCGCCGCGGAGGGCTGGGATTACGCGATATCAAGCATTTTTGTACATGAACCCCGTTTATGATAGGTATCGGGCTCGCTATCCTCCAGTTTATAGAGAATTACCACACAAATGGAGTCCCGTGGTGGCTAACATTGTGTAGTGGTGGGAGAGGGCTGAACATTTGGTTGGAATGGGGTGGACGGGTATTTTTGTGAGGGTATTGGGCGTTCGGATTGCCTCCCATTCTTCCCTCTTCCCGGTTGAATGGTCCGTCCCACGTAGCCAGCTGGCTTGCATGCTTGAGAGCCAAGGGGGAAGGGAATACCATACCGCCTCGCTGCTCGCCGAGAGTATTTTTTGGTGTGGCTTTGCGTGCTATGCCTGGACTTTTGCGCACATGCTGTACCAACCAGCCGAGCGAGCTTGGTGCACTGACGATCGAACCCTCCGAACCATCTCCACCAATCCCAACCCAACCCGACCCAACCCAACAGGCCATTGCGAGGATGCACAGCAAAGTAAGCAAAGCTCTCTCTCTGTCTCTCACACACACACACACACACATACACACATACACACACACTCTCTCTGTCTCACACACACACACACACACATACACACACACACTTTCTCTCTCTGCCTTGCTTGGGCTGGTGGTTGTTGGTTGTCTGGCTGGGATGCATGCATGAATCCGAGGATATCCTCCATGTAGCATCATTCATCACTGACCCATCGCTTGACCAAGCAAAACGTCCACGAAGGCGAAGGGGAAGAAGGGTGGCCGGTCTGTGGGTGACCTGGCTTGTGACAGAAGGGAAGAGAAGAAGAAACGAGGAGCATCTTTGATGATCAGTTTTAGCAATGATGACCGTCTACACATATGTACATGAGACAGTCACGTCAAGCCTTTCGCCGTGTGCGGAATCTGGCCACCTCGTCCACGCCCAATAGTCCCTCCATAACTGCTCCGTCATCTGCGGTCTGGACAGCAAGATCCACGCCATAAATCGCCGCGGCGCCACGCATGCCTCCGCCGTCGATCGCGAAGAAGGGGGAAGTTTCTCGATGGGAGCCGCTTGTTTGAGCGAAGCTGGATGTCTTTTCGTGCATGCAAGCTATCGCGAAGCCATCGTTCCAAGCGGGGCAGGAACCGAGCTCAATACACGAAAATAGCGGGAAACGAAATGACATGGCGGATGGTTGGTGCGCCGCGGAGATAATACGCACCCTCCCCACGCACAAGTCGAAGTTGAGATCCTGTTGCAGTTTCAACCACGACTCCCGAGAAATGGTGAATTAGATAGGTTCCTCCTCTGGAGTGCAGGTTTGTGTGCCGTGACGTCTCTGCGAATCACGAAGTTCTTGTAGTTGATCGGGTTGTGTCGGTGGTGATGTGATGGCTACCCGTGGAGGCAGTGGCCGAGACAGGGGCAGAGACAGACGCACAGGCAGAGGCAGAGGCAGACGCATTTTTCGCCGTCCGAAACAGAAACAATCCAAGTGCCTGGCAAGGAGCGCCAGACTGCAGCGGATTGCCTGACCGTGGATTCATTCTGCGAAGCGAGTTAGACCATCTCTTTGCCTCGTCGATGATGAAGAAAAGGAATCATCTCGGTGTATGATGCACCACGGGCCCCTGTGGCGATGCCTGGAAGTAGACGCCGCTGGGGGCGTGGTTGACTGCGCTGCGACGCACAGCACACTTGTCACAAACAGAACAGAAGAGCACGTGACGCGCAGGGGAGAAGTACAGTAGGTCCGCAAACACCCCCATACCTTTCATGAGGTTTTTTTCTATGTATCTGCTATGGTAGAACAATGCAATCAGTATCAATCGATAGCTCAGTATAAGCACTCTCCGAATATCGCACATCGTCCAGATCAAAATCACGTATACCAGCCCTTGGGCTTCAATTACAGCGTTGAATCTCTCATGCATCGACTTGACAGTAATTCTTGATCTTCTTCCTATCGATATGAGTCTCTCTGAACGCTTGGATAGCCTTTTAGGTCGTCCAGTGCGAGCGTTCTTATTTGGCTGTGGATTGTGTAGTATATCGTGAATAGTTGATTTTGGAATCCCAGTGATGGTTGCGATTCCGCGGACGGACGCCTCCTTCAAATGCAGTCCATATACAAGGCCACGCTGAAATTCAGAATACTCTTTTCTAGTAGACATCTCTCAAACAGATAAAACAACAAATGAAGCATTGGTGGTTGGGAAATAATTGATTGAATTGTATACATCTATCTGTGGTGGTGGGTGCCAAACGGCCAGTGTCCGGTCACTTTTGCGGACCTTCTGTATCTATCGCTGAGTACTGCCTGTCTTCAATAAGGCATCCTTGACAACACTCTACCTCGATAGCATTACTGCTCTCCCTTTCTTCGTCGCTGAAATGATCGGCCGTCAATGTGCTGATGTCGGAATGGAGCTCCTTTGCCCGCTGACCCAGAGCCTTTATTCTGTCTATGCCCACGAAGTCGTACTGGGTGTTGAACATTTTGTTCGCCATAAAGACAAGGGCCTTCCACGAGTGCTCGGCCTTGACCTTGGTCTCCTTCTTGAAGGTAGACGACTTTGGAATACTCTGAAGTCCCGAATCCCTGTCCCTCCACGATAAATCCCCGAGTGACCCCGATGAGCCCTCATCATCGGAATCGGAGGTAAGGATCTCGATCAATTCGCCGTCCTTGACGACGGAGCGCGACAAACTGGACAGATCGCTGAAGGAGATATAATTGCCCTGATTCCTCCAGGTTTCATCCTCTTGGGTATGTGCACCCAGTATGGGAGCTTTTTTGTCCGTCGAAGGAGGAGTTGTCCGGATCTTCCGAGTAGGAAGCTCGGCAGCGACGGACGGACAATGGGGTTCGCGAGCCCAAGCGCACCCACCGGGGCGATGGCACGGAGGAAGAAGGCGCCTCTATTAGACATCCATCGGTAGTCTTCTTTGCCGCTTTTTGAGTGGTTGTGTCTGAGCCATCTCTGCGCGAGTGTGCTACCTCCTGTGGCTCTTCTTCGATCGAGAGAGACGATCGTTTGGCCGGGATTGTGCTCTTGACATGAGGCTTGAAGAACTCACTGATGAGTCTTATAGCGCCATACATTGGACCGACTTAGGGCGCAGGAAGGGTTCGGTTTGAACCGACTGCGCCGACGGGGGCTGAGCGTCGTATTTATATATATTGTTTATCATGTTCGAGCGTATCGCAGCAAATCATGATGTAGTTGTGTCGCATATGCTGCGTGTTTCGATCACAATGGCGAGGGGACCTCCTGCTACCGCCTGCGAAATGCGAGCGTGGCTCAGGTCAGAGGATTGGAGAGGATGGGAATTCGGCGTGTGAGCGATCAACGGCGGTCGGTATGGAGCTCGTGAGGAGCCAAAGCGATACGATACAGGTTCAAGAACGCTGTGTGTAACGGTATCATTTGAGTCTTGTAGAAGGAGAAGCACTAGCGTGTAACTGAAGCTGGTGTCGAGGTATCTAGGCCTAGGCTCCGGATAAAACTCCTCCCCAGAGTCCTCTTCGCCCTCTTCTTCTTCGTCTTCTTGTTCGGGTATTTCGGTGTCGGACGCAGCGGCGTGCAACTTGGATTCGTCGTCGTCGTCATCATCATCTTCGTCCTCGTCCTCGTCTTCAGAACGGTAGGCAGATTCTTCGTCTTCGGATGAGAGCTCGGCGTCCCACAATATCTCATCGACATCCTCCTCCTCTTCTGCTTCATCTTTGGGATTCGAGGGGAATAGTTCTACCACTCCGCCATCGTCGTTGTGGTCCCACGGCGGACCTAAGTTTGTCAATGGGCCCTGGGTGTAGGAGAGGTTGAGGTTGTGGTTGAGGTTGTGTTGTGGTTGAGGTTGCGGAGGTTGAGGTTGTGGTTGAGGTTGTGTTGGGGTGGAGGGCTGGTCGTCGTCGTCACCTTCGGCTGCAGCGCCGACATCATCGTCCATGGACTCGTCATCGTCAATAGGTGCTGGGCTATCCTCATCGTCCATGGACTCGTCATCGTCAATAGGTGCTGGGCTATCCTCATCTGCCATGGACTCGTCGTCGTGTACGGATACATGATGTATCAACTCTTTAAGCCTTCTGCTGTCATCTGTGAAGCCCTCTTCGAGGGTTTCTCTGGAGTCCCCCGAAGAGTCTTCTCCGGAGTCATCTTCCATGTCCTCTTTGAAGTCGTCCCTGAGGTCCCTTTTGAACAGCTCGTCGAGGTCTTCCTGTCTGGCCCCCGACTCATCGAGGGCTGTCGGGTGAAGACGATGAAGGTTTCTCATCCAACGGTGAAGTTTTCTCTTGCCAAAACGATATCGATGGCGATCCTTGAGTTCTTCGCAAATGGTGTTAGGATAATGTCAGGAATAGTGCAAAAAGATAGAGAATCGATAGTAGATAAGGATAACGTAGGAGTGATTAAGAAGCGTAAAATAGACTGTAAGAGGTGAACGGCTCCAAGCTTGACGTCGCCATTTTGGATAGTGTATCCGTGTCAAGATGCCCCGTCGACGTCTCGTCGAGCGGTATCAGCGAATGACTCTAGCATCTTGGCGACGAGAGGATCCTCGTCGATGTTTGGGAGGTCAGAAGGCTCTTCGTCAACGTATTGAATGTTGAAGATTGATAGGATAATGTCAGGAATAGTGCCGCCGACTCTGGACTGACGGATCGATTTTGTTCAGTCTCTGAGAGGTTGCAAGTCGAACCCTCAGTGTCCGAACCAGTAGACTGCGTCCACTCATAGTCCATAGTGTCGTGAAACTCTCGCTCACCATCGACCTCCAAATTGTCCGTATATTCCCTAGGACGTGGGATCATGCTCTGAGACCATTCTGGATCTGGAGACACCAACGTGGAACGGGTGAATGGTGTCGAACCATTCTACATCCTGGACGGTATCTACAGGCTCGGGAGATACGGAAGGAGAAGGTGTTGGTGGTCGCGAGTAAGCTCGCTTTCCAGCAGAACATTCGTTGCCGTTCATATCATCAACCTCTGGAGAAGATCCTGGAGACGGGGATGGAGTAAGTAGAGTCGGAGGTGTCGATTTTCTGGCATGCTTTGCATCTGCTCCCGTGATATCTGCCGCCCCTGGAGACACGGAAAGGACGTGAGGATGTTGGAGAATGACAGTCAAGTTAGGATAATGTCAGGAATAGTGCCTAATGCTGAAGCGTAAAATAGACTGTGAGAGGTGAACTCATGGAGGCTCCTCAAGGCGCCATCGAAGAGAGTAGTGTCTTCCCAAGGACTCAGTGGTCTTGAAGGTGATCCTGGTGGTGGTCTTGAACGTGATGCTGCATCCTGGATATGACCCTAGAGGTGGCCCTGGAGGTGATCCTGAGGTTGATCTTGAAGGAAGTCCTGGAGGTGATTCTGCATATAGCCCTGGGGGCGGTCCTGGGGATCGCCAGCCGGCCAACAAGAACGCCGCCATCACCGCCCACAAGGTGTATGGGTATTGTTCCCAAGCAGGTATATTTTGCTGGCAGTCACAGAGAGCCACGCTCGACTGACCACGACGATTGACTGCCCACTGGGTCTTGCCACTGACCCCGAGTGCGAGACTGACCCGGGTCTGTAATGCCACCTTTTCTTTCCAATGCCAGCAAGGCCTTCAAGGGCTGGGGATTGCTTCGAGGAGCGAGGTTCGAGGAGAGGACAAGGGTTCGGAGTGACGAGGGATGATTCGAGAGGCCTGTGACTCGGTCAGTTTCACGGTCTCACAACTCAACACACCGGGCTTTGGAGGGAGAGTTACCACAGGCGTATTGGATGTTGCCAAACGAGCAGACTGAGACTGTTTAAATAAACAGTTGTTGTTATTGTTGTTGGTATCCAGAATGCTGGGTCGGTGGCCGCGGCAACGCGACGAGTTGCAAAACAACAACAACAAAAATTCTTGCCAAGTCACGTGAGCTGTGTTATGGAATGCCAGTCGATTGGTGCCGAGGTTGGTTGTCCGAATCTTCGCTGGACGGATGGCACACGGTTGCACCGCAGGCTCTTCCTGTGTCACAGGGTGCCTCTCTCTGACTTGCAGATGGAAGCCCAGTCTTCACTGACTAGAACCCAGAACTGCGATCCCACCAGTGTGATGAACACACCGAGGAAAGCAAGGAAGGAAGCACCGAGTGAACGAGAAACTGTCCAAGTCCCACTGGCGCTGATTGAGCTCCAGCTCCTCCTCTTCGATGTTGATGAATGCTTTGTCGTGCCTCGCTGTGAACACCTGTGGGGGAAAGGTGACTGGTTCCTCGTGCACGATGGTGAGGCGGACTGAGGTAATGTGGAAGAGGAGGGCAAGACACGGCTGACCACGAGTGGACTGCCGCGCCTCGAGTGTGGTATGAGATGGAAGGGAGGTGATGTTCCGTGTGAAGAAGAGAAAGAAGGAGAGAAAGAAGACTCGATGCACGTCAAAATCGGTGGACGTGAAGGAATGTGTTCGCTGCCCCGAGTGTGGTATGAGATGGAAGGGAGGTGAAGTTCCGTGGGAGGGAGAGAAAGAAGAAGAGAAAAAGAAGAGAGAAAGAAAATTTGATGCACGTCAAATAGGTCGACGCCAGGAGTTTGGTCGCTGCCTCGAGATGAAAGGGGGCTGCGGTTCCGTGAAAAAATTTCGATTCCCGTCAAATCTCTCGACGCCAAGAACTTGCTCGCTGCCCTTGAGTGTGGTACGCGATGAAAGGCGGCTGTGTTTCAGCGAATAAAATTCGGTTCCGGTCAGATCGCTCGACACCAAGGAACTTTGCTTTGATCACCGCCTGGATGGCGACATGGACCTTCTTGGCAATGCCTGAGATGGCTGGGCGCTTGTCGGACAAGACGGTCAGCGTGCGGAGGCCGTCCTGCGATCGGACACGGAACGGCTGTAGATCACGGGGTTGGACTGAGTGTATATATAACCATAGTTAAACACAAGAAGCGGAAATGTCGATCAGACCGGAGCTACGGACTGGGAATTATTAATAGCTTCAATTTCCTTGTGGACACCCGACCTCTGTCTGTCCTGCACCATCCTCTGATGAAAAACGTATGGGGCATCCCCGATGCATTCACGAAAAAAGCACGGAGTCAAGGACACGCAATGTCCGTCATGCGTCGTGGCCATGTTGATCCACCAAGACGCGGATCTTGTCAAAGATGTTCGCGTCGGACAATGCTCGGACATCAGAAACACCCGAATGCCCCGTGCCCACGACGACGACTGTCTCATATTATACCGTGCAGACATGTGTGTGGCTGGTCGCAGCGCGAGGGATGGCACGAACAGTGGAAACCGACACATGCATGCAAGAATGGTTTGTGCACGCACCGGAGACTTGTGTTGTATTGAGCAATGTCGACACACCCACAGACTGTATGTACATCACATTCGGCACGGGTTCTCACACCGACGGGAATTACAAATTGCGACTCCACGCTGGCGACATGGACAAGGGGCTGGGCTTGCATGGGCTCACGATCGTTGATGACAAGTAGAAGGCCAAGGAGACGGAGGGAGCAGGGCAAGGAGAAGAACGAGATGGATGGTGGTGGGTTCAGCTGGTGGGTGATTAAGTTTGACACATACATCGGAGAGCAGCAAGAAGAGTCTTCAATTAAGTCTTCAGTCAAGCTTTGCACCCAAGTGCAGTCTGCATCTAGCCAACTCTCCCAGCCCCAATAGTCTCTCCAAACTGCTCCATCATCTGCGGGTCATCAGCAATATCCATGCCTCCTAGAGCCATCGTCCGTCAAGACAGGAAGGTTTCTTGACGGGACTTCTCTGAATGTTAAAAGCTCCCGGAATGTCGTTGTGCAGCACCACCACATGAAGCTCACAGATTTGCAAAGTGCCTTGGTCTCTGCGATGACCTTCACGCCACATTCCCACATGATGCCCGTAGCCTTCTTTCTTCGGAGCACCCAGAGGACGTCGGTAGTTTCGGACGGTTCACACCTTCTTAGTCTCACTGTCTGTCACCCTAATGGAAATGAACCTTTTGCTGGAAACGAACCCTTTTCTGGAAACGAACCTTTTTCTTCGGGCGCCGCCGTTCAAAGAGAGAGTGATAAGACGTCGCAGGTCTGGGAGAGGCCATGGTATGAATTCCCTCGTGCTCGTCCCTGCTCATTCTCCATCGCCTCAAAAAATCTCGTCTTTCTTTTGCGGACTTGTATTTTTTGAACAAGTGTTTGATGCCGAGACCCCCCTGGAGCCATTTCTTGGTCTTGGCCTTGAGGGTAGACATCAGGTTGGATCGAGTTTTGAATATGCCTCTGCGAAGGAAATGGACGCCGGTCTCGTGGCTGTACTCAGGGGGAGGTATGATGGTGACAACAGAGCGCGAGGGGTTGAATGAGGCGTGGAATAAGTTCCTGACAAGATCAGCGCCGCCAGAAGAAGAGGAGGAGTACCGTACCGTGCTGTGCACAGGAGAAAGTTGGAGCTCCGCTGCAGTATCAACCACGACCTTATCGAGATGGTGAATACGAGCGGTCCGTTATCGGCGGTGAAGTCACGTTTGTACGTCGCGACGTCTTCGGCGAGTTTCAGCACTTCCTGCAGTTGATCAGGGCCAGTGGACGGCTGAAGAGTCGACGGTGACTGCCGCGCGTAGGCGGTGCTGCCGTACCCCAGCTCCTCGCCGATGCTTAAATCCATCCTGCGCGGCGAGGTGCACAATCTCTTCTGCTGCGGAAGACGTGGTCGATGATGGATAAGAGGAAGATGATGGAAGAAGACGAAGTTTTTATTTGCGGTGTGACTTTTGACCGCGGAGGCAGTTCCGGGTGCGGAGGAACTTATGTCCGGTGGACCATTTGTATCTGCATTTGTATGCACAGGAATCACCTCGCGGTATGAGATACCAGGACGCCGATGCACAGTATACTCTGGTTTGATAACAGGTTGGTTTTGTGCATTCCACTGTCAGTCTGCCTGACTGGTCACATCAATTCACGCTCCAGTGTGTAGGTGAGAGTGGGACATGGACAGAGAGAGAGACATGGACAGAGAGAGAGACTTGGACAGAGAGAGAGACATGGACAGAGAGAGAGACATGGACAGAGAGAGAGACATGGACAGAGAGAGAGACATGGACAGAGAGAGAGACATCGACAGAGACAGAGAGAGCAAGAGAGAGTTTCATCTCCTTGCCGCTGCTACGAACTTTCATTTCCTGGCCACTTCTATGGCTACCACGACGACAACGACGGCAACGACGGCCACCACGACGGCCACCCGCCTGCAGAGTGAACCAGGCTCGACTCAATTCAGCTCCATGATATCGAGGTTCCTGGCGCGACGAAATTCTTCCCATGCTTCCTCCAGTCTCTGCTCACCTAGCAGTGGCAACATTCGTCTCCTAGCGTCTTCCCAAATAGAACGAGGCCAATCCTTCATCCAGAAGTCCTTGATCATTTGCGGCGTGACAGAAGCATTCACATATTCCCAAGTACTCGCGTTGCCATGAGGACCTCCACGGACTTTCAAGAAAGGAAGGTCTCTTGACGGTATCTCGCCGAACGCGAAAACCTCCTGAAAGGTCGGCTGCGGAGCACCAGCAGTATCTCTTTCCCACACCTCCCAAGTTATCTTCATCTCTCCAATTGCCTTGACGTTTCCGAACCAAATGACACCTGTGCTCTCGTCTGTTCGAAACTCCTGAGAGGCATCGACTGAATTTGGAGATTCAAATCTCGGTGTTTCGGCTATAGCGATGAGGACAACACGTTGGATCTGGTGGTGACCGTACAAATAGAACCGGGCGAGATATCGGAGATCATCAAGGGATTGGGTGTCGCTCGCTTCGACAATCGTGTGATCTATGATTTTGTGCGTACCCTTTGCCCATTGGATAGATAAGTCGGCTACTTTTTCATCGGGGTGTCCGAGGACTGTGCAAACAGCTGCATCCGGTTCGATCCGTATCCTATCCCCGCGAGTAGATGTGTCCGCGAGAAGAGATGTGAAAGACTTTTTGGTCTTGTACGCGAGTTCCATGAGGAAACGAACAAAGGACTGGTGTCTGTGGCTCCGATAGGGTATGATAGTAATACAATGGCGCGAGCGTTCGTAGAAGTATCGAAATAGTTTCCTAAAAAGATCAGCGCACCGCCAGAGGAACAACGAGCATGATGAGGTGCCGTACCCTTCTATGTACAGCTCAAAGTTGAGGTCATCTTCGAGCCAGTCCCACGACTTTGGAAAAATGGTGAATTCGACGGGTTCGTCATCTGGTGTGAGACGCAATTTGTCTGTCGCGACGGCTTCTGCAAATTTCATCAGTTCATGCAATTGGTCAGGGTGGGTTGGCTCTGATGGCTGCGGCAAGGAGGCAGAGGCAGAGGTAGCGACAGTGTCGCCATCTGAGAGAGAAAGCGAAGCAAGCGCCGCGTCAGGAGCGCCAGGCTCCAGCGCGTTGTCTGGACGTGGATTCATCCTTTGGTTGATGCGAGTTGGTACACAGTGTCTTCACTGCGCTGATGGAAGATGATGGAAGATGATGGAAGATGAAGAAAGACAACGACAGATTTTGTTTCTTTTTTGCCTTCTTATGTGCAGGTGAAATTGTGTCCGGTCGAGTATTTGCATCTGCTCATACAACTACAGTGGAGCAGGAACCACCCCCGTGCATGATGCATCCCGGCGCCTCTGTTGATGCCCGCACGCGAACACTGCGATTCACAGCAGTCTCTGCCATTGGCGACAGGCGGTCCTTGTGGGTGGCGCTGCGGCGTCTACGCGGATCCCACCAGGGCTTTGTTGATCGGACACGGATTCACCGCAGACTCTGGCTTGATGATGGCACTTCAGCCTGTTCGACGCACCAGGATATCCTGCTGCCGGGGGTTGTGTGGATAGCAGCATCATATCAACGGGGGCCAGCAGCAGCAGGCAGCAGGCAATCAAATCTGATGAAACAAGAAGCAGAGCGGAATCAAATCATACATTCAGGTGTCATTCTACCCACGGGTTGTCGTCTTCATTCACTCCTCAGCACTTGCTTCCCAGCGCGCCATGATATCAGATCTCACGTCGTCGCCATCGTTTCTTCACTCCCTCCGGACGTGCGATGTCGTGTCGTTGTCGTCTTTCACTTCTTCGCAAACGGCCCCAATTTCTCGATCAACACAGCATACGCGGCTCTGTCCAGTTCCTCGTCTTCCTCCGCAAATCTCACGTCTGCGTAGAGATCTTCCATGGACACGCTGAAGCCAGGACGATCCGCGCCTGTGTCCACTCCTGGAGGAAAGCCAAAGTCTTCGAGTGACAGGAAGAGTCCGGCCGCGGGATCGGGGTTCATATCACCACGTCCGTTGCGAATCACCTGGTTGATATCATTAGTCATATTATCGACGAAAAGGATGTTGACGTACCACGGTGTCGCCGCGAACGACCTTCTTGAACTGCCCGTCTTCCCCAAAGCTTGCCCTCCAAACTATGAAACTTGCTCTCTTGCCTCTTGGATAGGAGAGGTTGAATGTGATCACAGTTTGGATACGACCTTGAGTACGCTCGATATACTCTCGTGCCCGATTGTGTAGCTTGTATGCTGGCTCCGCGTATCCGACTTCAAAAACGAGGACTGGGCATCTGCCTATCTTCCAGTTGCTGATTAGCATGTCAGGTTGACGTTGGATCACCTGCGTAGCGATGTCAGACGGATACATAATATCAAGAGAGTCGAGATATTTGAGTGACTGTGTATATCTAGCGATAGCAGGGTCTCGGAGAAAACGATAGAAACTATTTCCGATAAATTCTCGGAAGAGATCGTGTTTCGCGCTAGGCATTCTGAGAGAAAGAATTTCGGTGGCGGAGGAATAGTCGTATCTATCGTCGACCGTCAGTAAAGCCTCGAAATGGGTGATTTGGCTCTCAAAGTCGCGGACACCTACTTGACAAGCGATCCCGCAAATCTACTATCCAGAGCAGACTCCGCTTCAAGTTGCTCCCATTGCGCGTGGGGGAGGTAGAATTCCTTGATTTGATCGTCGTAGGCTGGGTGGCTTCGGAGGAAGTCCGCCAGCTGTTGCAGTTCGAATGGGTATTCGGAGGAGGGCAAGTCTTCAGAGGCAGGAGGCGGTTGGGCCGCCTGCAGGGTTCGGGTTCTTCTGCCTGACCGTAACTGCATTCTGGAAAGCGAGTTGTACGTTCTTTTCAGCGCGTCGATGAGAGACCAAGCGTTGGGTTTGACTTTGGTGTGCGGAGGAGGTTGGATGCGGAGGAGGTTGGATGTGGTTGAGGATCGGCGTTATATACACCAGGAATCGTCTCGGTGATGATTTAGCACACGCTTTGTTGATCGCTGCAAACAGACGTGACCCGGGCTTTGTTGATCGCACTGTGATGCACTGCAGTGACGGCCTGGGTGACACGGCGGATTTGTTGGGTGCTGCAAACAGACCTAACCAGGGCTGCTTTGTTTGATCGCGCACAGATGCACTACTGAGCCGTGCGTGACAAGACGGTGATAAGACGGTGAGAACTCGGTGACAAGACGGTGGCCTCGTTGACGGCACGGGCAATGTCTGAAAGCAGATTCGATCGTGGCTTTGATGACTGCAAACGGATGCACAGCAGTCAGTCTCTCCAGCGGGTTTGAGGACAAAGGGATCTTTGTTGAGGGCACTCGACCACAGATCTCTTGGTTCTGGCAGCCACGGAAATCTCTGCTTTCACCCAAGATTATGACTCAGAGCCCTGCTACGGGGGGCAGGGACAATGCAAGACGCAGGCGGCGCACTGAGTAGTCATGAAAAATGTGGGCGGATGTTTTGGCCTCCTGTCCGAGGTACCAGAAGCATGACTTCAAAGTGAGTTACCCAGGCCACACCTCCTTCTGGTGGCTGTGCCCTCGCTTTCTGAGGCTGTAGCGGAGTCAACATCTTTCTGCTCGGTGTTCGACAAGCAGTACTACATTGCCACAGTCAAAATGATGCCCCCCAACCCTGTTCTCTCCCACTCCGTCGATGCCGGGCGAAGTACCCAGGGCCTCTGAATAAACGCAGCTCCGACACTTCCCCATGGTCAGAGTTCGGCTACTGACAAGTGTCCTTGTCGTGTTCCCGCAGATACTGCCCGTGACCTCGCGCCATACACCAACGAGATAAATGGGTGCTCCAGGACGACAACAATTCTTTTTTTACAATCTGTCGTTGCAGACAACCAAGTGATCCGGAGATCAGCTACTAGACGATGGAATGAGGCGTCCTGCAGAACCTTTGTATTTGTCATCTCGTGCGCTCCGTCCCGGAGATTCAGACCCAAGATTGCATTCCCAAGGGAGTAGGCCGACACGCAGTCATTGTATATAATCAATGGGGGAGCTTTCCACGATGCCGTAGTTCCCGGGTTCACGGTTCTGTGCACAGTATGCAAATGTACAAGGTATCAACCCAAAGAATGAAAACAAACTGATTCACAAGTCCGTCTAACCGGGCAGGAGGGTGTAGGTCGACATACTTCATCTAGACCACTGGTGCACACACGGGCAATGAATGACAAAGACTGCATTCTGTGATGGAAGACAGAACAACGGAGACCGAGTATGGTTGCCATTTCTGCCATCTTCAACGACAGAGGGTAATGAGCACGCAACACATGTTCAAAGCCATTCGACACAATCTTGAACTCGGGGCCATTGAGGGTCGCCAACCTGCTTTGAATCCTGTTGAGTAAAGTCACCATCGCCAACAACAGGACGTTGAGGGCACTCAGAGCCGCTCAGGGTGTCTTCGCCGCCCTACAGCGTGTTTTTACCCTGTGCCCCAGCCACAAGGAAGGCAGCGATGCCCGCACGCGAACACCACCAGGGCTTTATTGGTAAGACACAGATTCACAGCAATCTCTGACGTGGTCACAGGACTACTTTGTTGACTGCAAACAGATGCACCGGAGACTCTGGCTTGATGGTGGCAGGACAGCTTTGAGGATGGCACTGCCACACGCAGTATGCTCTGGCTCGATGACCGGGCACCTTTGTGGATGATTGCACGGTCAGCCCGTTCGACGCACCAGGATACCCTCCTCCTGCCGGGGCTTGTGTAGATAGCAGCATCATATCAACCCGGGCCAGCAGCAGCAGGAGGCAGCAGGCAATCAAATCTGATGAAACAAGGAGTAGAGCGGAATCAAATCATACATTCATGTGTCATACTAATACCGAAACGCCGTCGTCTTCGTTCACTCCCCAGCCATGATATCAGATCTCACGTCGTCGTCATCCTTCTTCCACTCCCTCCGGAGGTGGGATATCGTGTCATTTGTCGTCTTTCACTCCTGCGCGTACTGCGCGTACTCCTCCAATTGCTCTATGAACTGAGCATACGTGGCACGCCCCAGTTCCTCACCACTCTCCAGTTCCTCGCCACTCTCCATTCCCTCGTGTTCCGGGGTTTCCACTGCACTCTCCAGTTCCTCGTCTTCTGAGGTTTCCTCTCCACTCTCTCCACTCTCCAGTCCCTCGTCTTCCGGGGATTCCTCCGCACTCTCCGATTCCTCGTCTCCCCAGAGTTCCTCCGAATCTTTCAAGTTCGCGTAGAGAGCTTCCACGGACACGCTGAGGATAGGACGATCCGCATCTGCGTCCACTGCTGGAGGAAAGCCAAAGTCTTGGGGGAACAGGAAGAGTCCGGCCTCGGGATCGGGGTTCATGTCACCGTGTGGGTCGCGAATCTCCTGGTTGGTGTCATTAGTCATATAATCGACGACATGAATGTTGACGTACCACGGGGTGGTCGTGAACGACCTCCTTGAACCGCCCGTCTTCCCCAAAGCTTGCCCTCCAAACGATGAAACGTGCTCTCTTGCCTCTTGGATAGGAGAGGTCGAATGTGATCACAGCTCGGATACGACCTCGAGTACTCTCGATATACTCTTCTGCTCGAGCGAACAGGTAGAATAGTGGCTCCGCGTATCCGACTTCACAAACGACGACTGGCAGTCTGCGCGGGTTTGTGAGTACGGCGTCAGGTCCACGGTGGACAATGTGCCCACGGACGTTGGACGCATGTTGCAAAGAACAAGTTTTGCTAAATACGAGCGATGCTGTATATTCAACGTCCGCGGAGTTTTGGCGGCCACGTTCGAGGTCATCAAGGAGAAAGACAACGAAGAAGTCATGTTTGTCGCTCGACATTCTGAGAGAAAGAACTTGGGTGGCGGTGGAATAGTCGTAGCTATTGTCGACCGTCAGCAAAGTCTCGAAGTGGGTGATTTGGCTCTCAACGTCGCGGACACCTACCGGATAGGATATCCCGCAAATCTACCATCCCTTGAAAGCTGCACAAGTTGGTAAAATTGGTCGACGGGGAGGTAGAAGTCCTGGATTTGATCGTCGTAGGCTACTTCGCTTCGGATGAAGTTCGCCAGCTGTTGCAGTTCGACGGGGTATTCCAAATCAGAGTCATTGTCGCCGGCCGGGGCAGGGCCGCCACCTGGCAAGGTTCCTCTGCCTGACGACAACGACATTGTGGAAAGCGAGTGTGCACGTTCTCTTCAATGCGTCGATGGGGGACCACGCGTTGGGTTTGACTTGGATGTGCGGAGGAGGAGATTGGATCTGGTCGAGTATTAGCGTTATATGCACCAGGATTCGCCTCGTTGAAGATCTAGCAAACGCTTTGTTGACCGCACTTTGATGACTGCACCAGGATGCACAGCAGTCAGTCTCTCTCCAGCGGGCTTGAGGACAAGGGGACAAGGGGGTCTTTGTTGAGGGCTCTGCGATGCACGGCAGTCAACGTTTGGGAACTTGGGCTGTTGTCCAAGTGAATTTACCAAGTCAACAGCAAACACTTTCAACAAGGGATGTCTTGGATTAGGCAGCCGTGAAAATTTCTGCTTCACGCCAAGGCGATGATGACTCAGAGCCCTGCTGTCGGGGTGGGACAAATGTGGGACAAATGTGGGACAAATGCGGGACGCATGTGGGACGCATGTGGGACGCGGCGGTGCATCGTGTAGCCATGAAAAGTGTGGGGCGGATGTGCTGACCTCCTTCTGGTGGCCGGACCTGGCTGTGGCCTAGCTATCTGAGGCTGTAGCGATGTCAACGTCTTCCTGCTCGGTGTTCGACAAGCAGTATGTTGCTCCCAACCCTGTTCTCTCCCACTTCGTCGATGCCTGGCGAAGCATCCGGGGCCTCCGAATAAATGCAGCCCCGACACTTTCCCATGTTCAGAGTTCGGTTACTGACAACCAGGTGATCTGGGGATCAGTTACTAGACGATGGAATTAGGCGTCCTGTAAGACCTTTGGAATTGTCATCTCGTGTGCTCCGTCCCGGAGATTCAGACTCAAATTTCCATTCCAAACGGGTTCAGGATTCTGTGCACAGTATGCAAATGTACAAGGTATCAACCCAAAAAATGAACACAAATTGATTCACAAGTCCGTCTGACTGGGTAGGAGTCTGTAGGTCGACGTCGATACTTCATTTAGACCAGCACACACGGCAAGGAATGACCAAGTTTGTATGCTGATGCAAGACAGAACAACGGAGACTGAGTGTGGTTTGTTGGCATTTCTGCCATCTTCAACGACAGAGTGTCATGAGCAAGCACCACACATGTTCAAAGCCATTGGACACAATCTTGACAAAGGATCCATTGAGGGTCGCCAACCTGCCTTTCATCCTGTTGAGCGAAGCGACAGCAGTGTTGCAACAATAATCCTGTTGAGCAAAGTAATCATCGCCAACAACAGGACGTTGAGGGCACTCAGAGCCGCTCAGGGCGGCTTCGCCACGCTCAAAAGGTCGCCTTCGCCGCCCTACAGCGTGTTTTTACCCTGTCCCCCAGCCACAAGGAAGGCAGCGATGAGAAGTATCAAAGAAACATCTTTCACTTGATCTTCACCTTGATCTCAGTGACACGGCGTCACTGCCTCCTCGGCAACAAAGACATTACAATCCCACTGCCTGGCACCACGGCTTCGTCTTCTCGTGTTATCGTGTTATAAATACCTTCTCTTCCTGGCTCTCTGCACACTTTGCTCTTTCCCCAACACAACACACTCCATCACAACACGCTCCATCACAGCACATCACAACAACGCTACACAACTCACAACACATCACAGCAACACATCACAGCAACGCTCCACAACTCACAACAACATGTCGTTCTCCTCTCCCTTGTCGCCAGCCCTTGGGGACGAAGCCACCGGTCTTACACGCGAAGAATACAAGATCAAAGCACTTGACGGAACCGAGATGTCTCTGTGGAGAATTGCTACTCGCAGCGCCGCCGCCACTGAGACTCCGAAGCCAGCCCTGCTCCATATCTCTAGTAGTCTTAGCTCAATCCGCGAAGTCATGAGAGTTGGCGGCGGCAACATGGACCTCGACACTCTCAACCGCGTCATCATCGATGGGCTCGGAACAAAGCCATTACACGACACGGGGATCGTCCTCTTGACAGTCATGGCCCGTCCTGGGCAGCCGTCGCCATTCTCGGGCCCGGTGGCGGATGTGTATGCGGCCTACGAATACGCAGTCACTCATGCCGACGACCTCCGCATCCAGCCTCACAACATTGCCATGTCGGGTCAGTACACCAGCGGCCAGTTCGTGTGGTCGGCCACCCACATTGCCATCGAACTCGGCTTGCCTGCCCCGTGCGGTGTCATGGTCCTCAACCCGGATCTTAATCCGGAGGTGAACTGGGAGACGAAACTGGGACACTGGGAGAGGATACTGGGATTTGAGACAGGGTCCTTGACTCGCCTCGACGAACAGCGCGAGCGGGCTGTCCACGACTGGCTGAAGACAAACTGGGATGTTGCCTTGCGCCGGATCGACTTCACCTTGTTTCCCGACATCGTTCGAAAGTACACGGGACTGTTGCAGCTGCCACGCGAGGACCTTAGTCGACTACCCCCCATGTTCGTGGACGTCGGATACTATTGGAACCGCTGCCGAGAGGTGCGTCAGGCGCGCGCGATGTTGGCCGAAGCTGGCGTCGAAGTGTTTGGGTTTGACCAACAGCCGATAGAGTTCGAGCAATTCATGCAAGGTGACCCGGGCTGGTACAGAGTTCACAACGGTACGCGCTTGGTGCAAGAGAAGAGATGGGAGTCCAAGCGCCAGTTCTTCCAGAAGATCTGGAAGAATTGACATGCGGCAAATGAGAAGGCGTGTCGTCAGCGAGTGAGATGACGGGGGTCATGACAGCGGAAGATGGAGAGAGAGAAGCGTGAGAGAGAAGCAGTAGAGAAAAGCGGTAGAGGGAAGCGGCAGAGAGAAGCGGAAGAAAGGGGCGGTAGAGAGAAGCGGGAGAGAGAAGCGGTGAACTCAGGGCGGAGAGACGATGGTGGACAGCAGACAACGGAAAATGTGAGGGTAGCACAAGGGGAATACTTCCTCAGACAGCATCAGATACCATAGAAAAGAGGCCAATCAGCCATAGAAACACCATTCATTCATTATTTTAACTCGATCGACGAGAAACACCCCGTTGGGAATCTGTGATGATGATTTCATAGAAAGTGTTCTGTTTGTTTGCCCGGGTCGGACAGCGAGGCTGCCTTCTGCCTTGGTTGTCTATCTCACTCAGGCTGGGGAACCACCACTTCTTACTTCATCAAACGCCCACAACTAACTCGTCCGGAGGTTGAGGTTGTGGGTCACTCACTGCCTCTCAAAGAAGGAGTCCGACCTGTAATTGATAACGGAGAAAGAAGTCTGAGATTGTGAGACGGACAGAGTCAGAGTCACACGAGGCCAAAGGATCCTCCGCAGCCAGCCAGCTCGGACAATGATATGATACACGCAGTGTTGACCGATGACGACGACTCAATGGACTTCCAAAGCGGCAGGCACTGCAGTGCAATCTGAAATGCTGGCCGCATGATGTTGACCAAATTCTGGTCGGCTGGGTTGAGAAGGGCCGTCTCGTGCCACTTCGTCGATTTCTGGCGGACGATGCTGAATAAGCAAATGGATGATGCTACATGCATGGTAGATGACGATGCGGCGTTTCGCGGTGTCGAATTCAAAATGCAAGCATCGGCATCATGTTCAGTCCGTAAAATTTGCTCAGCAAAGATCCATCTCCTGAATTTGCGGAAGCCTGACCATCAGCCCACCTATAGTTACCATCCCAGGACCTGTCTGGCTGTACACATGCCCGGGTCCCGTGGCGCTGTTGCAATTCTTTGGGTGACCCCCTCCAGATCCAAATCACGATACGTCAAACTCGGCATCAGCCAACGGGAGAAGAGCGTGATAGTTTCACAAAAGAGAAAGAAAGCTTTGTCCAACAGTCCAGTCCCTTCCAAGCCAAGGATTCTTTCAATGGGGGAGCAAAAGGTTCAAAGAATACAGCATAGCACATATAAAGGACGGTTCGCAGCAGCCTGGGGAACGTACCAACTCTGCATTGCGTATTCTCCCGTTCACCATGTCGGAAGGCGTTTGGATGTACGATACGATGGGAAGCGCAGAGGTGAAAGGTTTGTGAGAGAGCAGGAACCGGAGGTGTTCCATTGATGAAATGCGCGCATAATGGCACTGCTTCGGGTCATCTCCGAAGAAAGACTACCTTCATTGAGACCTACCAAGCATGTGTGTGAGGACGTGAAACCTTGGGGACCAGCAACGTCCTGAAACGCAAAAAAAGTGCTCACCGGGAATGCCATAGGGGAGGCAAGGGGGGCAGAATCAGGCATGCGGACGGGGAATGCTCGATATCAGACACACCCAAGGCCCGCTCCACGGCAGGCTTCAACGCCTCGTCTGCCGTTCTCGAAGGGAAACCTCTCGTGCTCTCGATCACCTCCCATCAAGAGCATCATCCCAAATTCGGCGAGCAGGGCGGCGTCGAAGCAGCATAGACGCGGTGGCATTGCCGACTAAGCATGGGTTGAACATCCTCAGACAATGCATTCAACGCCGTGTGGACTTGAACTGGCCATGTCCCACGGTCGGCTCGTTGAGGGGGAACATCCACCTCGACAGCGAGCGACCATGCGCGGCTGAAGCTGTTTCAATCCTCCTCCGATGGTCGATGCCCACACAGGTCAAGGCCATTTCTCCCATCGACCGCACGCCCACGGGCACACAAGGCTCAGCGTCAGCGATGCGGTTCTGCTGATGGAGATGTGCCCATCATATTAACAATGTTGGACTACGTTGTCGTCTTTGAACGGAGCCGCGTTGCACATTTCTGAGCGACATCTTGACATGGGATCAATCTTTGTATTGAAGAAGTCTCTATATAGCGCCTGAAGCACGTATACCCCTGCCCATGCCCGCACGTATGAAACACCAATTTGAATAGGAACAGGATGACGAATCGGATGCCGGGTTGGAGGGTTTATCTTGGAGGCTGAACACAAATCTCCTGGCTTGTTGTACACAGGAGCTGCGTGGTGGCTGAAAGAATTTCGGAGTTCAGGTGACACGACCATTTGTCTGGACTGCCGTGTCTTGGATACCTCGCGGCATGGTGCTCGAAAGACAAAAAGGGATTGGGATATATGTCCCCTCTGCGATAAAAGTTGCAAAACCATGGTCCCGAAGCTCTGTCTCGTGGACGTCGAACGTGTGGTTGGTTCCCTTCTCCAACAGCAAGCATGTGGTTCAGCGCCTTTGCAGTCCTTTCTGGCATCTCGTTCGGCCAACATCTGTCGAGACCCTGCCCTCGTTTCACAGCTGCGCCCTTGCATGCGCTCTGGATGCGAATTGGCAAGGAACGCTGCGCCCCTGAGATAGCCACAGTGCAGCGAAAGACAATGCCAACATGCGCCGGAACCGGGCGGAACGAGACATACTTGGTTCCTGTGGCTGTGTTGCGCTGATAGTATTTCGACTCGGTTTAGATGATCGCCACCACACTGACAACTCAATCAGAAAATTCGCGCCAATGCGCGTCGTCGAGGCATGCTCGATCAGTAGCCTCTGGGGCGTGGCCTGAATCACCATGCCCTCGTAGAGTGCACTGTGTGTCTCGATGTCCATCATCTGAGGATTGTCCAGGGGTCTTCGACGGAGCAGCTGAGCTGATCGTTCTTTGAATCCTGCAGCTGTTGGTTCAGGGGAGGGGCTCCGCTTTCGGTATAGGTCTCCAGGACCTTGGTCATGTCTGCGAGCCTTTTGCGGAGTTGGCAATTCTCCGTCTCTGCCTTGTCCAATCTGATTTTTTTTTCGCTCTTCAACTTCTTCTTGGTTTCGTTTGTAGAGATTCTGGGTCTTGAGCAGTTGACGGTCGAGACTGCGTACCGAGCCAAAAAAGGCTTCCGGGCGAGACGTGGCCGACTCCATCGGCTCCGAAGTGATTCTGAGACGGAACTGCTCAAATCCGGTCGTGGATCCTTTCGCTGCGCTTGCCAGCATGAACGACGGATTCGGGATGACGCAGGTAGGGATCTCGACGTGGTCATCATCGGCACGAGCCTTTCCTTTGGCTCGCCCACCCCGTAACTGCGCCCTCTGCTGGCCAACCGGTGAGGATCCCCCCAATCAGTCACAGTGCAGAGAGGGACGATCCCGAAATCTGTCGAAAGCGAGTGAGATGGAAAGGATACTCGGAGGCAGACGACTCATGGGAACCTACGGCTTATCTGCTACGCGAACAGGAAGCAATAGCAGACTTCGACAGGGACGAAGGGCAACGATTGTAACGGATGTGGCTGTTACAATGGCTGTTACATTGGCTGTTACAACGATACGGTACTTGCACTGTGGAAGAAGTGGATCAACTTGCCCGACAGTCGCGGGAGGGGGCAGAATCTCCGGCCACGGGAGCAAAATGCTCAAAGCACCCTCGGGTCTGATATTGTCTTAGATGAGCAAGGGGGAGTTCCAGAGACGTCCGGAACGAGAGGAAAAGAGGAAATTGAATGCTGGTAAACAAGTCGCATGCTGGCCGGTGGTGCTTCTTTTAGCATTTCTCCCCTCTCGGCTCCTTTGAAACGATCTCCTTCGTGCCTTCTCCTCCGTCCTGTACTTCGGTCAGTATATGACTCACACGCCGCAAAGGTTAAGTACGATCAGCATCAGTATGACGTAGAAGCTTCCATAAAACTTTCTATCGTGTGTCATAAATATGACTCACGACCCAACATCACATTCCATCTCTTTACATCCTCCACTTCTCTTCTTCTCCTTTTTTCACACACTATTCTGGGTCTCCCTCCTGACAGTTCTACCAGCTGCTTATAGTACTGTGTCCCAAAGATCCTCTTTACTGCTCACAGCTTTGCATCCAGGAAGCACCATCCCAACACAGCACCATACCAAGAGAGCAGCACTACGTCCGGACAGCTACTTTCAGCACAGCATCCTGACAGCATCACTTCCAGACTGGACTACAACCAAACAGCTACTTTCAGCACTACCTTCTGCCTGCCACTTTCAGCAAAGCATCCGGACAGTAACATCCAGAACTACATCCAGCCTGCTCCTTTCAGTATAGCATTCCGACACAGCTGTTGTCAGAGAGCCTTGGGGTGGGATCGTTAGACGGAGAGTCAGAGGGTTTCAACACGTATCTTGATTGTATAAAGCTGTCCTTGAGACATCGACTTCTCGCACTGTTGAGGGCTTCTCCAGCAGTGCGAGAATAGAGGTCCTATTTATCTCTTTCCTGTGTATGCCTCGTGGAGGCCGCCTTGGCACTTGGGGGCCGTTGGCCCCATGGGGGCCACTCGCCCTATTCGCCCCATAGGGGCCATTCGCCTAGGGGGGGCCACTCGCCCTATTCGCCCCATAGGGGCCATTCGCCTAGTGGGGGCCACTCGCCCCATGGGGTGTTGTCGGCTGGGAAGCCGGGGTGACAGTCACAGCAGACGGAGAGAAGATGTCTCCTCCTGTCCGGCTTCGGTCCACCTCATATATCCAGAGACGTTTCGTGGACCCAGTCTCCATCATGTTTCGTTGTGTCCGGCCTTGAGCACGGCAACCAGCCGGCGGCGGCCGGGTCCGCGGGATCGAGGAGACGCAGGGTTCGAAATGGCCTTTGCTGCCGGCCAGAGGACCGGGGAAATATGGGGAAAGCAGACCGAATCACCATGGTCGTGTCCAGCACAGAATGTAGCACAAGAGAAGCAGCAGCATGTACCTGCAATATCAGCCAGCCACGGCGCGGTGGTTGGCGGAGTTTCTGACACAGAGAACAGAAGGCCTGCAGGGAATCATCGTCGGCAGGCACAGTTCTCTAGCGGCAGTTGACCCCGTAGTCGTGTGAACAGATGCGGTGCGGTTTAAACAGGTGCGAAATATCAATCCCACACCCCTGCCCCACCAGGAAGTAGTCGCTCACCATCGCGCAGGTGTTGCCGCTCAGGACGGGCGGGTACACGACCATGAACTCCGGGAACGCTGTGGTTTGATTGTGGGTCTGCCACGCACAGATGGCGAAGCCGACCACGGCGCCGATGAACTGGCCCAGCCGGAAGTTGATGTATTTCGGCAACAGAGCCGTCAGATCGTTGGCGAAGGTGATCGAGCTGGCCGTCACGTTGAACATGGTGTTGAGATGATGAACAGATACCGGCGAAGAACTTGCCCCGCAAGTATCTGCAACATCAGCCAGCCACAGCGGTATCTTGTTGGGGCTTCTGAAACAGCAACAGAAGGCTCGGAGGGCATCGTCGTCCACACGAATGAGAGGGCTGTGGATGTACAGTGATGGCATCCGGGGGATACACCTGGAGGTAAACCACGGCTGCATGATCATCACCGGCGCAGTGCAACGCAGGCTCGCGATATCTCTGTCCCTGAGCGGCCGCAGGAAGAGAACATGTTCGGTGTTGAGTTCAGGGACAGGCTTGCTGGGCTTTAGGCAGGCTTGCCCTGGGGGTTGGTGTAGTGACTCGTGCTGTCGTCGATCCTCGCCGCGAAAACAGACACGGAGATGACAGTCTGTGAGAGCCGCCGCCAACAATGCCAGCCAGTATTGACCCCTGTCACCATTTCCACGGCAGCAACGTTGGAAGCAGGCCAGGAAGTCAACAAACTCGATGTGTGCCGCTCAGCAGTGATCGTATCGCATGGGAAGAAGCCGGGGACAAGACTGCGGCGACAGAACCTGAGTTGCAGAGGCCAGGGCTGTTCATCTTTTCACAGATATGTGCAGACAGGCTGTTCATCTCTTTGAATCCTCTCCTCAGGTCTTCAACTTCAACAGCCCAGTGACGCTGCTCGTCGTCGTCGGTTTGTTTGTCCTTGCCTTCATCCCCGCCGGTTCTGCGTGGTGGCGGCGGCGGGTGAGGGCAAGTGTGAGGATTCCGTGGGATCTGGGCCTGGTCTGTTCTGTGCGCCAGGCTCCGCCAATGGCGCCGCGGCGCCGTGGGAGTGTTGGTTTTGTTCCATGGCAGAACTGCCGCCGCCGCATTGGCTGCTTTCGTGGTGATCTCGGACTTCTGCGTTGGAGCCGGGTTTGCCAACACGCCTGGTTTGCAGTCTTGGAGATGGTCGAGGACGACAATGACGGCGGCTTGATAGGAGCTGCTTTCGATGTGGTGCTTGTGCCGGCTTTGGTTCGAGGCTGGGGTCGCTGATTTCGCAGGAGCTAAGGGTGCGGGCTTCTTACTCGTATGTGTCGCCGTGGTCAAGGTCGCTGGTTTTTTTGTTGCTGCGGAAATTGATACCCCGGTACTTGCATTCTGTGCAGGGTGTGAGGTCGCCGCCGCTCCCACCGCAGCAGTCTTCTGCCCATGCGTGGTCGTTTTTGACGCATCCTGGGTGGCAGGCGGTCTTTTGCCTGGACCTGGCTCGAGCTTCACGGGAGTTTTCTCGACCAGGGCTTCGGTCATGACATCGTTCTCACCCCAGCGGGCTCTGAGCCAGAGTTCAAATGCTGTGACATTATGCGGCGGGGTCTCATCTACCGTAGATGGGCGCCAACGAGTGCTGACCGGTTTCGGAGTTTGGCCCTCTGAATAGCCGGCTTTCAGGGTGAAGATGTCTTGCGCGTACTGCCCACGGGAGACCTCTTCATAGGCGATTGTGCAGTCATAGAGGGATTCCACGGTGTCCTCGAGTTCCTCAGGACAAAACTCTATGCCGGTGCTTCGAGGGAGGAGGACGTGGCTTGTGTCGGGAATGTTGTTCTTCTTCGCCGAGTCGGCGCTTCTTTTGCGAGTGCTGGGAGTAGGGTTGGTCCCTGCGTGGAAAGCAGAAGCCACATCGGATCTGTGGGTTTGTTGAGTCTTTGCAGTGCGCTGGCCATGTTCGGCTTATCCTGTTTCCATTGCGCTTCAAGATGGCAGATACAGCTCTTCGCAGAAGTGTCCAGATATGTATGTCATCCGTTCTCTTCCTCTTTTCGAGTCCAAGTCCCGATCAGCTGCTGTACAAATATCATTCTGTGTGATTCATTCCTTGCTCTTTTCCATCCGAGGGATATTCATGCTTTCGTCTCTTGTATACCCAGTTGCCTGCGGGATCACCCAGACAGGCCGGATATCAACAATACTCGCCGGGCGTCGGAGGATAGCAGGAGAGGAGAAGAGAGGGGAAGGACGAGGACGACGAGGGAGGACGAGGGGGCTCTGGAGAGCACGGAAGGAGAGAATGGCCACAAAAGCAGCTGGGCTGCTATTCTCGGGGTGGCTCATGCGGCGGACGGCGTGGGTGTCCTTTGGGCGTCAGTTCGAGAGTAAGACTCAGCTCACCAGGACGCAGGAGAGCAGGAGAGGAGGGGGGGATAGAAAGGCTGCTGAGCTGCTAGACTTGGAGCCGTGCGGACGCTGTGCTGCCTTTGGACGGCGGTTCTGCCAGTGAGACTCAACTGAGCTCACCATGGCGCCGGAAACGGAGGAGAGATCATTGCTGGCCGGTATTGTAAGCCCAGATGCAGATGCGGACGTCGACGCGGTTTGTTTGGGGGAGGGGTCTGAGCAAGAAGGGAGAGAGGTCGGTGACCAAGGAGCAGCCGTTGTGCACGCACGCACAACCACGCACAGCGCGGCACCAGGACCAGCCAGAACCAGGTGAGAAGGGCACGAGAGACGTGATCCTCGAAAGTTGTGCATGTACTGTTTGACAGGAGCAAAGACGAGGGCGGGAGTGTGTTTGCAAAACACAGGAAAATACCTGACTGATGGCGCAGATTCAAATGTTTTCACCGAGACTACCGGCCATTCTTCGGTTCGGGGTCATGACGCATTACATCGATGTTGATCCCATCCGAGACTTTCCGAAAATAAGCTGCACGGACCAGCGGCCACATACCATCGACCGGCTACAACATTGCTCGCAGGCAAAAGCCAAATAAGCCGCAGGAACCAGTGGCACATACCATCGAGACTTTCCGAAAATAAGCTGCACGGACCAGTGGCCCAACATTTCTCGCAGCTAAAAGCCAAACAAGCCGCAGGCACCAGTGGTCACATACATACCATCGACCGGATCCCAACATTCCTCGCAGTCAAAAGCCAAACAAGCCGCAGGAGCCAGTGGTCACATACCATCGAGCGGGTACAACATTCCTCGCAGGCAAAAGCCAAACAACAAACAACATTTTTCCTCTTCTCCCGCCATTTAAATCCCTTTCTCCCACCATTTCCCTCTCTTCCATCATTTCCCTTTCTCCCGCTATTTCCCTCTCTTCCACCATTTCCCGTTTTCCCACCATTTCCCTTTCTTCCGTCATTTCCCATCGGCGCGGTGAAAAGACTGTGCAACTCGCTCCACAGGATGGAATCACAGGGCTATGATGGCTGGTGGTGGCCGCCGCAGCGACCATGGGCACCTCAGCCCGATAGATTACAAGATGCGCTGGGTTGGATAACAGCCACCGTTGAAGCGGATCTGCGCCTCCCACTGGAGTATACCGTGGAATTCACACTTCTCCCAGAGTCGTGGTTGGAACTGCAACAAGACGCCAACTTTCAGGTGTGCAAACGGTACGTGTTATCTCCTTTGATCCCTCTAACAGCGCGCTAATCTATATTTTAGGAGATTATTTCGAGCCTCATTCGATAGCTCACGCTCTGTTGTCACTATCATGGCCCCTCGACCCCACAGACACCGCGCCGTGGTCAGATTCCTTGCCGACCTCGCGCGCAAGACTATATCGGACCGGAGACCTGATCTTTCGCCTATGCTGCTTGTCCCACAAGGTGAAGATATGATGCGTGAGTTTGAGGGAGAATACAAGTCATCACAAATACAGCCGGACGTTTGGATCCATTTGCCTTCCGCTCCTTTCACCAAGCAAGGTCACACCATGGTCGAGGTCGGTGTTTATCAGCCACTCAAAAACCTCCGGGCTCTAGTGCCGCTATACATGAAAGGATATTCAAGTATTCAACGCGTCATACTGGTCAAAATCACAGAGACGCCAGTGTTCAGCCAACTGGCTTGGGTATCAATCGAACGCCCGCAACGCTTCGACTTCTCTCAGGACTTTCGGAAAGAGTTTCGGAAAGACATGGAAACGGGTGAGTTTTGGTTCGGCGACGTCAGGCTGACAGGAAAGATCGAGTTGTTTTGGGAGGTGTGGGAACGAAATGCCACTGGTGATGCAGAGAAGACTTTCGAGGAGTGGGTGGAGTACGGATCAGCCCCGTCGAGGAACCTACCTTTCATTCACATCTCAGGAATGGAGGTTCCTATTACGCCGGAGATGATGAAAGGGTTCTGGAATGATTATTTTGATTATGGGAGTATGAAGGATGCTTTCAAACGCGCGTTTGAGTCGTTAGATGAATTGTGGCAGCCATAGTCGCCATAGTCGCCATAGTCGCCATAGTCGCCATAGTAGTCGTTGGTAGGAGAAGAAAACATCTCTCTCTCTTCTCACACACACAGGCACGCGAATTGATGCTACCAGTAGGCCAGCCAGACCGACCAGCAAACCAACCGGGCAGACAGACAGACGGACGGTGCGATCCACAAAGCGGCCCTGTCATCAAGCCAGACTCTGCCATGCATCTGTGAGCAGCCAACAAAGTGCTGTTGATGTTCGCTTACAGGCATCGCAGTGCCATCTACAAAGTCCCCCTACCATGAAGGGAGGGTCTGCTGTGCATCCGTATGCAATTAACAAAATGCTGGTGGTTTTTGTTTGCGGTGGTCAACAAGGGCCTCTGATCGATCTGCACTAAGGTGTTCTTGATATACCGTTGTTGTACATGCAGATGCAAATACTCGACCGAAAACAATTTCCTCCGCACCTGGAAAACGCCTCCGCAGGCACTGTTTTGAATAACCAAACACAATCTTTCACCTTCTTCCATCGACTCTCTCTCATCCACCATGCCTTCAGAAGAGATTGTGCAATGCGCTGAAGACGTCGTAACATACAAATTGTGTCGCACACCAGATGACAAACCCCTCGAACTCACCATTTCTCGAGAGCCGTGGTTGAAACGGCAACAGAACTCCAACGTTGACTTGTGCACAGAGCGGTACGATACCCTATCATCCTCGTTAACTCTTCTGACGGCGTGCTGATCTACATTCAAGGACATCATTTCGAGCCTTCTTCGACAGCTCCCGCTCACTCGTCACCATTATGTCCCCCTCCTTACGCCAGACACAATGCCATCGTTGATTTCCTTCAGAGCGTCCCATTCGAAAGATGTCTACTCTCAGTTCAACATATGGATCCGGGGGGGCAATGTACTCTCATATTCTCATATTCACGGGTGATCAGTTGCCTGAGAATACAACCCGACTTCTGTATTGGATGGAAGAGCAGGAACGGCCCAAGGCTTCATACGATTGTTGAAGTGGGCAAGACACAATCTCTGGAAGATCTCCGACGTCTCGCTCCGTTCTATATCGACGGCGATAAAAATACACACCGCGTTATCCTTGTCGACATAACCGAAACACAAGAAGTTCGAAGTCCGAGATCTATCGATATCTCTCGGGAGTTTCGGAGAGACGAGGAATATTGGAGGGTTGGGAGCGGGATGTTGCTGGTGTTCCGCAGTCGACTTTTCAGGAGACGTTCACGTTCGGAGACACCCCATCAAGAAACCCATCCTCTCTTTACAATCCCTAAAGGAGGTGTCTATGGCGGCACCAGAATTTGGAGAGAAATGGACATTTCTATTATACCGCAGATGATAAAGCAGTTCTGGACTGCCTATTGGGGTTCCGCGAGATGGACAGATGTCGATAGATGCGTGTTACCGTTGGGTATATACAGAGAGACAGAAGCTCACTTGGCTATCCCTTCAATGAATTGCCCGATCAGGGCTTCCAAGAAGCCCGCAAGATCCTCATTGCCGACCGAGCAGAGAAGCCCAAAAAGATAGACTTGAGAGGTCTCGCATTGCTCGGCTCCGTGATGCCGACTCGAGCACGTTGCTAGGAGGAGAACTCTACAAAAAGCAGGTTGAACAGCATGCTCGCAGAGCTGAACAGCCCGGAACCTTTTCCCATTGTGGCTTCGTTCATCGAGCGAGTCATCCAAGGGCTGTTAGACAGAATTTGACCCTGTCGGACCCCAAAAACCGCTTTCTCGAATAAGCTGGGCCATGTCTGAAAGCCCTGTTCACTTTGGCTCACGGAATGGCCTCATCTGCGGCGTCGAACCAGGATGGGACTCCAAGGACCATGTCCACGAGCATGGTGTGTTACTTTGCCTTTTGCATCGTCGTCGACTCTTTGCCCTACCGTGCCGCCATTTGTCCTCTGGTTCTGGGTCGAATCTAGGCGCCCCGTTAAGCATTGTGTCCCCTTTATATCTCTCTAAACACTACGATCAGGAGAACGAGATAAAGGTGAATCACTCCAGACTGCTCGTTGCTCTGAGGTGACTGTACGAGTACACTGACCCAACTCTATCAACAAGCCTTCGATGGCAAAGCACATCAAGAGTGGAACCACTGGCATCCTCAACCGTTCCCCGAATGATATAGCTTTGCACGGAGCGGCCAGCAGCCTCAACCACAGCGAATCCAGGTCACTGCAGCACCTCGGCTTGGTCGCAGTCACTCGGTGAATTCGGCATTGTGAAAATGATGACAACATCACCCTCGAACCCTTTCAGAGCCTTTGCGAGGGCATCGAGGGAATCACGGTCAAGGTAGTTGGTGGGCTCGTCCAGAACGATCAAGTGAGGGTGTTGCCACGTGCAAGCCGCAAGAAGGACCTTGAAACGCTGGGAACCAGACAGACCACGTATGCGAGAATGGGAGATCAACTCAGCATCGACACCAAAGTTGGCACCATATGCTTCGATCTCACGTCGGATCAGAGGGCGGAACTGACCGCAGGCCAGGGCTTCCTTCTGATCGACCTCGCCCACCATCTTCAGGTGGGATGACAGAATTTCAGAGCGAGGAACTCCACACGATATATGTCATGAATGACAAGCATATAAGCTAAGAGGTCCAAGATCTGTCATGAAATGACAGGATTCTTAGTCTTTTTGGGCGATCCCCAAGGGGCTGTGGACCTCTTCCTGACAATATACCACCTGCCGGCCAACGGACAACACCTTTGCATTTGCATTAAGATACTTGGAGTTGGTACATGATTTTTGCCATCGGACGCTCTTTTCCACCAACCACTTGCCTCGAAAAGCTATCACCAGTTTGTGCCATGCCGATAACGATGGCTTCCGAAGAACAGAATCACACGTCTATAAGACGCTTCCGCCATCCCAGGAAATCTTTCCGTTTCACAAGTGCTGCGTCCGTTTCGAAGCTGCATCTTGAACATGGCCGATATAGAGACGGCTCCAGCTCAAGTCGTCGAATCAACGGCTGAAAGACATCCAAAATCTTCCCGGAACAGATGAGAAGAACGTGCATCATGCGGTATCTCCGGTGTTGTACATCCACTTGTTGCAGCGTGGATGCCTGAACGATCGAGTGATGGCTGGGGTCTGGTGATTCTGTCGGTAACAAACTAGTGCTCGTGCATGGGCACAAGCATTCGGTGTTGGCGACAATTCGGTCAATATCGAGTTGTACGGTGTTTGAGAGTGTCACAAACAGAGCAGAAGAGCACGTGATTCGTAGGGGAGCCGCATCCTCCTATGCCACCGCAGCTCAGGGGAGAGGACGGAGTAAAAGGACTCCTCGGATTCCCCCAAGCCGTTTTGGCTTCCCCAGCCCACACGAGAAAAGCATCCTTCCCACACCCAAGAAGCATCCTTCTCTCAAGTTTTGAGTCTTGTTATTACTGTACGTAAAGGATACTTATTACCGCGGAATCTATCCATCGCTGAGTACTGCCTATCTTCAATAAGGCATCCTTGACAGAGAGCTGTTTGATACCCATCTTTCGACAAGTTAGCTTTACCTGATTTGTGGGATTTGAAGACGTCGGATTGCCAGGAAGACGTCCACAGTCCCTTGGGGATCACCCAAAAAGACAAAGGGTCCCGTCATTTCATGACAGAAACTTGGATCTCTTCGCTTATATGCCTGTCAGACAAAAACCCAGTTCATGACAACGATTTGGCAGGTCCCGAGAGGATGAAGAAGAAGATGACGAAGCGCTGCTTGCTCACCGAGCAGTCTCGACGCGACCCATGCGTATCTTAGCTCGGGGAGGAGCGTATGAGGATCTGGCTCGACCAACTGCTCCCTCGCGGGCTGACTTCCTGTCCTCCGCATTTGCCAACGAGCACGGCAATAAAGCCTCCACACCTACCTACCCAACAGGATTCTTCCCTCCTATCAACATGACTGCGTCTAGAGGGCAGAGTTCTCAGTCACACTGGAGGAACCTTGACACATAGCTGAATGTAATCCAGGCGAGCTGGCCAGAATCACAGAAGTCAATGTGGATGACTCCTTCTGGAGGGTCTAGATCAGCAGTCTAGCTTCAGAGGAGCCAACCTCGAGAAAAGCCGCATTTATCGATGCGCCTTATTGAAACCGGTTTCTCAGATGACAAATGGATGGTTGTCACGGCCGTGAAAGCGAAGGATAGATCCATCCAGATCTATCAATACCTGACCGTAGGGAGACAGTGCTGGGATACAAGTTGCCGCTGCCACAGAACTAGGCGGCTGTGATTAACTACTGTGGCAGGTGGGGGCTTGGCAGAGGCGTTCGCCACACAAAACTGGCGCCAGCGCTTTCTTTCTTTCTTTCTTTCTTTCTTTCTTCCTGCTCTCTCTCTTCATCTTAGTCTCTTGTTATATAGAAATACACATTCTTGGAGCTTTCTCCATCACATATGTGCCCTGCCGTCACAATGATGATGGAACCCTCCTCTGATTGACGACCAAAGGTGGCCGGATAACCCGAAGAGGGCCGGTTTCCTAGAAGAAGCCTCTCTCTCCCAACGCACAATTCTCTGCTGGCAATCGAGCAACGCTGGCGCCAGATCAACTATCACCAAAGGCACTACAGAAGGCTTGGCACCCAACATCTTAGATTCATCACGAATCGTGGCATTCACCACCCATCTAGCTTAGCAACATCAATCAATCAACCATCTCATGAAGCATGCAGACGCTTGCCATCAACATGCTAAAATCCAAAAAGCCGCAGCCGAGCTATCCAGGAGAAAAGAGGCCGAACAAAAGGATGAGCAAGCCGCTTTGACGACCCATCGCCGACGTATGCAAGATCCCATTGCACCGTCCAAGACCAACAGCATCTTTACACTGGCTGTCACGGTTCAGCACCTGGTGACAACGTTGTGCAGCCACAAGTCCGTATGACGCCACAACGCCACAACGCTCCCATTAGTCAGCATCGGACACGCGGTCTGATTGGTCGTGCCGCCGCAGGAAAATTCTTTGTTTATTCACTCGACAAGACCGCGTCCAGGATCTTAGACCTAAACGTCTTAGAGCTCATATCATATTTCATCGTTACGAACCGTTCAGTCAGCTCGTTCGACTCTCCTTGATATCCCCTTCCCCCCGAGTACGGAACCACCAACTTCTTAGTCACCCTGGACGACTCATCACCCCAGCAGCCGTCCTCTCCCGAAACCTCAAACTCTCCTGAACAACTACCTTCAGAGTCCAACTCGTCCTTTACGGCTTCACCGAAAACTTTATTACCGCAGTTCCCTTCCAGGCCACCGTCGCTGGGCTCTCCTAGAAATAGCATGTCTCCTCCCATGGACTACTCCTCTGTGATGCGTTGAACCCAGGAGAGGCTCGGTTCGAAGAACCAGCGCCGAGAAACGTACGAAGGGAGCAAGACATAAAAGAGAAACGATATACGCAAAGGGAGAGACGACACAGAAAACCCTCTTACTAAGGGCCTACGATATAAGGAGCGAGGAAGACGACTCTTCTCTCTTTCCTACTGTCCTCACATCTATCCTCCTCGTTACTAAGTTGGCTAGTTGGTTACAGAACCCTTTCCAAAGCCTCACAACCATACCGTTGCTGGATCATCACGCCAGCAGCGATCCTCTCCCGAAACCTCAAAATCTCCTGGACCACCTTCAGAGTCCAATTCATCCTTTATGGCTTTACCGACAGCTTCCTCCGCAGTCCCCTTCCATGCTCCTGTCCCTGAGTTCGCCTGGAAACAGCATGTCTCCTTCCATGAACTCCTCTTCTGTCAGGCGTTGAACCCAGCAGAAGGTTCGGTTCCGAAGAACCAGCGCCAAGAACCTGGGAAGGTAAAGGAGCAAGATATAAAAGAGGAACGACATGCGCAAGGGGAGGGACAAAGAGGCAAAAGGGGAGAGATAATATCGGAAACCCCATTACTAAGGGCGTACGATATAAGGAGCGAGGAAGACGACTCTAACTTCTTCTTTACTCTCCCCACATTTATCCTCCCTATTACTACGTTGGCAGTTAGTTGCCGAACTCTTTCAAAACCCTCACAACACCGTTACTCAATCATTGCCCCAGCGGCCATCCTCTCTCAAAACCTCAAAATCTCCTGAACAACCACCTTCAGAGTCCAACTCGTCCTTTATGGATTTCCTCGACAGCTTCATCACCGCAGTCCCCTTCCATGAACCTCTCCTCCGCCCCGCTTGGTCCTGTCAACGCAGCCAGAAGATCAGGCCCGTTACCCTCGCGTACCAACGGGTTGAACTCGGACATTCAGGCAAAGATGAAGGCGTTCTCCCTATCCCTGCAGGGTGCACCTCCCGCAAAAGCATTGTACGAGGACTCGATAGGCAGTTGGCATACACCTGCGAGAAGGCACAGGAGCCTGTCCCGCAGGTCGGCATTGACTATACCACCACCACCAACAACAACAATACATGATCGCATTAGGTGGCCATAGGCTCTTGGAAACGAAGGATAGAATGTCTCAATGCAACTGGCACTCTATTCTCTGTGAAGCAAGGCTCGATACTCGATCTACCACTGTTGCTTGTCGTCCATCAACTCCGGTGCTCTCCAAACCGTGAAGATACCCGGTGCAGAGCTGTGGCTGTACGAGCCACCACCACCTCTGAGGCCAATTGCAGTATAGGCAGGAGTGTTTCCCGATCCCCAATCAGGTGCCTTTACAGGCGGCTCCTTGACACGAGCTCCTCCGCCCTCACCCAGCTCCTCTACTGCCAACCTCCGACTCCATCCTGGTATACAACGACCGAATGCACCGAGTTGCTCGTCTACTTTATCGTTCTCTGCGGCGTGGTCATAACTGTCATTGACTCAGCGTGGAGGGGCCAGCACTGGTGGCCGCCAAAGTCAAACTGTTTGGATCGCGTTGTTGGGTGACCTGGACGCTGCTATTTGCCACACTCCACGGCGGCTTCGATGGTGGAAGACATATTCCAATTCCAAGCAATAACGATGCAGCGCTGAACAGAAACGGGGGAGACTGGCTTAACTTCAGGTGTGCAAACAAGTGGAAAGGAGACTCGACTGAAAGAACTGAGTGATGCAAAGTATTCTCCGAATACAAAGACGCTCATGAGCACGAAGTATCGTCGGACATCCTTTGTTGCCTGCCGAACCCTTCATTACCTTGCTGCGGGCCCTGCCCTCAGACCCTAGCATGTGGTCACGACTGCCCAATCCAGGGCCGGCAGTTTCCGAAGTTAAGCACGCTCGGCTCAAGAAGATACGTCCTATTCTGGGCTTGCGAGGCAATATAATTCTATATACCACCGACACTGGGTTGGCAATGACAACGAACCACCGCCTTCTGGTGCTCAAGCTACACTTGCGCAGCTGGAATGTGCCGACTCAAACAGGGCGGGCTTCGATAGTGGAAGCCATATTCAAGAGGTTGAAAACGAAGTCTGCTCCGAGTACCAAGACACCCAATCCAGCGTCGGCGGGTCATGAAAATCCCCAGTTTCGACAAGAAGGCCTACGGTGACACCACGCGACGAGGTCCTCAGACTTCGCCACATGTCCCTTCTCTTATTTACCTTCGCCTCAGATCCCTAGCACGCACTCTACAGAGGTTGGCCCAGATGACCAAGCTGTGACGTCAAGGCACATGTGGAATGGAGAGCGCTCCAAAGCTATACATTCCTATTGTACGAAAGACTAAGCTGAGGAATGAAGGAAGAAAGAAGAGAACAGTCGGTGCGGCGTTTTGTAAACACTGTCACCTGCCGCAGCAGCCAATCAAAGGGCGGCCTGGTTCGATCTGGGGTATTCACACTTCAAGGTCGTCACATAAGGGGTGAAAGACGACAAACTTAACGAGGACCGACGTCGCAGTTTAACGACGATCAGCAAGATGAATTCTGCTGAGAAAGCTATGTTGTTGGGTCGCCCCGGGACCTTCGAGACTCCTGAACAGGGGAACGAGAACGCAGATCAAGTCATCACTGGCCTTCAAGTAAAATTTCTTCGCGAAGTGACTCGACGTATCCAGCAGGAGGACCATATTGAGAACATTACCACCACAGGCGTCTCTATACTAGACTTCCTCCGAAGACACCCCCCACACGACTTGGAAAGGCCTCAGCAGCGAGGAGCCACTTTCCCAGCAAGCCCCTTTCCAGATCCGAATCACAGCCACCCACAACCTACCCGAAACAGAGGTCAACTATCTAGCTTCAACCCTCCAGAGTCAAACCAAACCAAATCGGAAAGACGAAGAGATGGAAACTTTCAGCTGGCGCCCCTTGAATACATCGTCGTAGCTTTCACAAACTTACTCCAGGGTTCATCGCAAACATTCATCAGGTGCAAACACGATGAGAACCACGGCGCACAACCCTGAAATCGAATTCTCTACCATCTCCCAATTGTCAGATGCGCACAAGCCTGTCCCAATCTTGATAGGATGTCGATCTCGTCTAGAGAAATCGAAAAGGTACTGCTACCCGCACAATCGATACCACTTCCGTGGATCACGGCTTTGTTGTGGAAATCTAAGCGCCTCTTTCTGTATCAATGATATTCGAGTACCTGTTGAATTGAGAGCCGGTGTTCATCTTGGCCTCCTAACCATTTGCAAGGAAGATTATGGGACGGTTTTCAAAGTTAGGCACGCTCGGCCCAAGATGAGACGCCCTTGTTTGGGCTTGCGAGGCAACATGGTTCTGCAATCATCAGCCTCCATTCCCAAAGACGACTGCTGGCAGGGCCGCCATCTTGCCAGGCAGTAACAGGCCAGCGAAGGACTTACAGATTCAGCTGTGGGTAAAGTTGATTGAGGTGTCTGCCTGCCTCAATCCATTGACGCCGGCGTTGCTGCCAGAGGGTGCCGACGGTTTTATAGCGGTGGTCATGGAGAGGCTGGCGAGAGCTGACCTGGCGGCCTACAAAGCCCGGGCGGAAGAGTAGAAGAGGAGGGAGAATGTTGGTTCCAAACGTATAGCGAGGCGCTGGAGAGGGACATCGCCGTGAGACGAATGATCATGTGTCATGAATAATGAGAATGCAGAACATTTGAAGCCCTCTTCCATCGCGTAGTCGTTTCTTTGCACATGGCGGGCTGCATCTCAGTAGCAAGACAAGACGTCGAGTAGAGTGACGAGAAGCAGAGTGATGAGAAGGAGAGTGATAAGAAGGAGAGTGATAAGAAGGAGAGTGATAAGAAGGAGAGTGATGAGACGGACAGTGAGTTGTGTTTCCTTCTGGTGGAAGTTATGTGTCACGGCCGTGAGCACAGACAGACCAGATCTGACCAGATCTAGCCAGATCTGTTCTGACTCGACGACATGTCCCATACCGGTCAACACCACGTCAAGCAAAGACGAACCGTAACAGGCCGACGTTGTCCCGGACGAGGTACGGGACAAGCGTGTGTCTCTGATTGGTCACATGGGAAGGGCGGCTTGGCATACCAGGGCCTTGGCAAGGGTAGTCGCCACATAAAACTGTGGCGCCGCACCCTTTCCTTCCTTCCTTCCTTCCTTCTTTCCCTCAGTTTAGTCTCTCGTTACATAGGAATACACATCCTTGGAGTCTTCTCCATCTCACATGTGCCCTGCCGTCACATTATGTATATGTAAACATTCATTTCAACTCGCGACACCAACATACGAACATTTCTTGCAGTTACTCAGTTCTTCCGTACTTGATAGTTATTCCCTTCCTCTTGTTGCTATTGCATCAACTCTAATATTATGGCAAATCCTCAAGAAAGCATCGGACAGCAGCCTGACTTTTCACGCCTTGCTGACTCTCTCCAAACTGCTGGTGAAGAATTCAGCAAATTGAGGAATCTTCCCTTGAGGAATCTTCCCGCTGTCAACTATTGGCCCCGAGTCATGCAAGCCATCGAGGAGCTCTCTCAAGAGATACAAGACATGCGGACTGAAATCAGCACCAATATCAACACCAACATCGCAGCCATGCGGACTGAAATCGGGAAAGTCAACACGAACATCGCAGCCATCAATACCGACATCGCAGACATCAATACCGACATCGCAGACATCAAAGCCGACATCACCGACATCAAAGCCGACATCAAGACCGACATCAAAACCGACATCAAAACCGACATCAAAGTCATCAAAGGGGGAGTCAAGGTATCAAAGAGGAAGTCAAGGGCATCAAAGGGGAAGTCGAGGCCATCAACACCAGCATCAGGAGTACTAAATAAGAAGATATCACGGGGCTCAAGATCTCTATCTCGGTGATGTTAGATAGTTCCCTACTTTTCTTCTACCTTTGTCAGCCAGCTAATCTGTGAATACTCTAGCTATCTTGATGCCGCGGCTCGATCTCACAATGCACAACTGCTGCACTCCGCTTTCAAAATTTCTCGATCCCGCCAACACCTAGGGTTCACTACGCATCCACGCGTACCTTTCACTGAGAATCCGTCCATCTTATTCCCCGATAGTGACAGCTTCGAGAATACCCCCTCATTCACCTGTCTTTGCATCCCATCACGCTGCACGTTGTCGCACTAAGGAACGGCCCAAAAGCTCACATTGGTTGTCAGCTTATGTACCTTGCTCTCTATTGACACCGTCACGGGGGGAGAGAATGTCGTCGGTGTATCTTTCTCCTCATGCAGGATTTGCAGATAGACCAATATGAGTTCTAAGCTGGTCCTTTCTATCATCGATGTCTCCGTCAATTAGTAGTCCCAGAGCTCGTAGGATACCGTTGACACTTCCGAAATTGATCAAGCAAATCCAGGGTGACGTTGCAGGGAAGTTAGGAATTGCTTCAGCAGTAGTGATGGTCTCTAGGTGTCACCCGGGCTGGCAACCAACCCCCCGGTTGACAACACCCCATGGGGTGATTGAGGCGAGAGGCCCCGACGAAATGCACCCAGGAAGAGATAAATAGGACCCCTGTTCTCGCACTGTTCCAGAGTCCTTCAATACTGCGAGAAGTCGATGTCTCAAGGACAGTTTTATATAAATCAAGATACGTGTTTAGCCCTCTGACTCTCGTCTAACGATTCCACCCCAAGCTCTCTGACACTAGGTGCCTGCGGAGGTGAACTCTAGGTGCCTATGGAGCCTGTGGAGATAGGCTCTAGGTGGTAGGTTAGGCTAGTAGGCGTCAGTAGGCTAGGTGTGAATATCCAATTGAAAAGCCCAGGTGTACGTGACCCTACGAAAAACAGCCAAGAGACCGACCAGCTGCTCACTGCGCGCGCCACCGACGCCGCCACCACCTCGAGGCACGTCTGAAGGGCACAACCAACGCTCAAATTCTTTGGCCGGCCAAGATAGACTGGCACCCCGTGAGTTTGATCACGCTGTTGCTTGACTGGGGCTAACTTGTCGCAGTGCCTGACACTACGCTGCACAAGGAGAGGAGCAAATTGGGTGGTCTCAAACGTCTTGGTACTGTATTCTCACTCCCCCAGGCAGTTCACACTTCAAAGGAATGAAGTTTGACGCTGACCTAGATGGCTTGAACTTCTGACGGCGGTGCCCATCCTCCCATATTCACGACTGCCTTCGAACAATAACAACCAGAATCATTCGAGCTCCCCCAGCTGTCCAACATGAGCCTGTTTCGCTCACGGCAGCAATACCAGCCCGTCAGAGGCGGTGCAGAAAGAGACGATGAGAGCATACACGGTGGGCCGGATGAGGATATCATATCATGGCAGAGTCGCCCTTTCATGGGTCGAATACGCCATCTTTGTCGTGCTGGGGATAGCGATGCTCTGGGCTGGTGGGTGGCTGCCCCCCCGGCTGCTAGCTGGCACGCTGGTTGCGCTTCCCTGTTACTGACTGAACGGATCGTGCTCTAGGAATATGTTTCTCCCAACGACACCCTCTTTCCAGCACCGCTTCCACGGAAATGTTTCCAGGCCGCCGAGGTCTCGGTCTCGATGGTCACGAATCTCGCTTCTATCAATGCTGGTTCACGCATCCGCAGGCGTGGACTTTGGCTTTCTCCTGGTGGCACCTTCACGGCGAGCTTCTCTACCCGGCTGTTCCAGAACATGAATGTAAACACGAACATGAATAAGATCAACATACGCACACACACATTCACACACACACACACACATTCACACTCACCCACACACATTCACACCCACACACACACACATTCACACCCACACACATTCATTCACTCACTCACACACACACATACACACACACATTCATACACACACACACACACACACAGACACACACAATATCGTACAAAACCGGTCCGACTAGAAACAGGGGGAAGGTAATCAATTCAGCGACCTCTTCCCAAAGCCTCCAACGCACAGGGTTAGTGGTGGCACTGCATCTGCTACCAGAGAATTGCAGTATGCCGGCGTCGAACCATTCCGGATCCTCTTCTACATGCACGTTTGTTGCGGGACGATAAGTGAATGAGTTAAGCACTAGCCCACAGCCAAGGAAAAAGGGGAGATAGTGAAAACGTGGACCGACGGTGTTATGCCCTGATCCCGCCGCTCATTTCAGATCTGCAACACCGAATGTACCAGGACATCACGGCGTCACTCCGGATTCAAATATACAAGGGAAGGGGATGGAATGGGGATGGATGGGCAACACACACATATACACACAGCCGCGCGCGAGGACGACCGGCATGCAAAAACCGAAAAATTTGTGACGCCGTTGGCTTGTTCTCGTTCGCATCAGGGCTTGGAAAGAAGTGAATACATGAAGGGATTCACGACGGCCAGGGCATCGCCGGCGTGCAGCCGCCCATGGCCGGGATCATATCAGCTTTGTTGGTCACGGCCAAGAAGGACAGCAATGGTGCTGACACGACCGATGAATCTCCCACCTCAGCCCCGGTCTATTTCTTGACGGTCACTGCCATCTCCTCTCTTGCCCTTGGCTTTCTGCTATATCTGGAAGAGAAGGGCGAGAAATCGAGCTCTCGAGTCGGGTCTAGTTCACTCTGCATGCAGGCAGCTGTCGTGGTAGTCATCGTCGTGGTAGCCATAGTAGCCATAGCAGTGGCCATGAAATGAATACATCTCTCTCTCTCTCTCTCTCTCGCTCTCTCTGGCGCTGGAGATGATGTGACCAACCAACCAACCAACCAACCGGGTAGACAGGCAGACAATGCAACCCACAAATCGGCGCTATCATCAAACCAGAGTCTGCCATGCATCTGTGTGCAGTCAACAAAGGCGTGGTGGCGATGTTTGTTTACAGGCATAGCAATGGCATTGGCAAGGTCGCCCTGTCAACAGGGCAAGGTCTACTGTACATCCGTACGCAGTGTAGAAAGGCCTGGTGGCGTTTACGTGCAGGAATGAACAAAGGGCATCTTGCTGGGTTGGGTTATGCACTTGAGGTGTTATTGCACTACCGTTGTTGTGCAACACATCAAATACTTGACCGCATACCGCATTCCTCGCAGGTAAAAATGCAACAACAAACAAAATCTGTCCTTTTATTCCATCATCTCCCGTCTTCCATCATCTCCCGTCTTCCATCATCTCCCGTCTTTCACCATTTCCCATCGGCGCGGTGAAGACATTGTGCAACAACTCGCATCAACCAAAGGATGGATTCACCTCCAGACACGCCCTCGCCGCCGCCAGGATTACCACCCACTGGGGAAGATCAATTTCGGCATCTGCTGACGTTCGCGCAAGACGTCGCGGCAAACAGGATGACCCTGAAACCAGATCACCTGCCCCTCACATTCGACATTCATCGAGAGTCGTGGGTCAAACTGTGGAGTGAAGAAGAAGGGATATTTCTCACTTGCGTAGAAGCGTACGGTACCCCATGGTCCTCATTGACTCCTCTTCTTCCGACGGCGCGCTGATCTTTTCAGGAGATGGTTTCGATACTTCTACGATAGCTCGCGCTCGCTTCTGACCATTCTACCTCCTCTATCCTATAGACACCAGGCTATCTGTACATTGCTTATGCGGCTGGCGTACGATGCGAAATCAAAGTTAGCATCTACTTTCGAGAATGAAACGTCGATCATGCGGGGTGAAGGTATTCTCGAGGATAAAATGTCGATCATGTGCAGTTCAGGTGCTCAAATGAGCACGGGAGTGTACGCGGAATCGGAAAAACAACCCGACATCCTTATCCAATGGCACAAGAGTGTAATCGGTGTCCACGCTCACACAATTGTCGAAATCGGTCTGAGCCAATCGCTCGATGATCTCCAAGATCTCGCTCGGTTCTGGTTGAACGGCGACACTCATATCCAACGCGTTGTCCTCATCGATATAATCGAAACACCAAAATTTGACCTCCACACGAAGGCATCACAGATTGAAAATCTACCGTGTTTCAAAGATCCCACTCAGAAATTTCAAAGAGACGAGAGCACAGGTGCAATTTCGTTTGCGGGGTTTACGGCTGTCGGGGAGTCTATGATAATATGGGAGGCGTGGGAACGGGATGCGACTGGTGTTCCGCAGTCGACCTTTCATGAGGCTTTCTCGTTCGGCGAGATACCGTCAAAAGATCTCCCTTTCTTTACAATCGCCCGAAATGTTTATGGCGACAGGACGACTTGGAGAGGGATGGATACCTCTGTTACGCCAGAGCTGATTCAGAAATTCTGGAGGGAAGAGTGGGTTCGTGCGAGTTGGACTGATGCTTGCGAACGGATGCATCCATTTGTGGGTGTACAAAGAGCAAACGAAATATGGTGGGAAGCTCGTGCTAGGGACTTCGCACCATTGCCTACCGAGCCGACCGCGTCGGGTTCGGTTCACTCTGCGGGCGGGTAGTCATCGCAGTTGCCATGAAATGGTAACACCACACACACGCCAGTGCTCAAATTGATCCGACAAGCCAACCAACCGGTCAGACAGACAGACAATGCAATCCACAAAGCTGCCCTGTCATCAAACCAGAGTCTGGCATGCATCTGTGTGGCGATGTTTGTTTACAGGCATAGCAATGCCATCCGCAAAGTCGCTCCGTCAACAAGGCAAGGTCCTCTGCGCACGGACTTGGTGGCGTTTGGCGTGCAGGCATGAACAAGGGGCATCTTGCTGGTTGTTGGGTTATGCATACACTTGACGTGTTATTACACTACCGTCGCTGTGCAGCGCGTCAACGCGTCAACGCGTCAAATACTTAACCTGCATACCACATTCCTCGCAGATAAAATTGCAACAACAAATACTTGACCGCATACCACATTCCTCGCAGGTCAAATTGCAACAACAACAAACAAAATTTGTCCTTATATTCCGTCATTTCCCTTTCTTCCACCATCTTCCTTCTCATCATCTTCCTTCTTCATCATCTTCTCATCTTTTTTCTTCTTCATCTTCTCATCTTCCTTCTTCATCATCTTCTCATCTTCCTTCTTCATCATCTTCTCATCTTCCTTCTTCATCATCTTCTCATCTTCCTTCTTCATCATCTTCTCATCTTCCTTCTTCATCATCTTCCTTCATCATCCTTCTTCATCATCTTCTCATCTTCCTTCTTCATCATCTTCCTTCATCATCTTCCTTCTTCCTCCTTCCATCATTTCCCTTCTTTCCATCATTTCCCATCGTCGCGGTGAAGACATTGTGCAACGACTCGCATCAACCAAAGGATGACTTCACCTCCAGGCAGCCCCTCGCCGGAGGCAGGACTACCACAACAAAAGGCGAATGTTCGTTCATACCCAGATCAGTCACATCTTGCGCCAGCCGACCGGTTTGATCAATACAAGTATGTGCTGATGTTCGCGGACGCCGTCGCGAAAGGCAGGGGGCGCATGACACCAGATCACCCAGAACTGAGATGCGACATTTATCCAGAGTCGTGGATCAAACTGTGGAAGGAAGAAGGTTCGAAGTTTGCCCTGTGCGCAGAAAAGTACGGTACCCCACGATCCTCATTGACTCCTGCTGACGACGCGCTGTTCTTCTCAGGAGACTATTTCGATTCTTCTACCATAAGCAGCGCTCACTTCTGACTATTCTGCCTCCTCAATCCCATCGACACCACGCCATCTGTGCATTGCTTATGCGGCTGGCGTACGAAACGAAATCAACGTTGACATCTACTCTCGCGGATGAAATGTCGATCCTGCCGGGTGCAGGTATTCTCGAGGATAAAACGTCGATCATGTGGGGTGCAGCTGTTCGAATGAACAAGAACGACTACGAGCCATCGGTAAAACAACCCGACATACTTATCCAATGGCACCAGCACCAGAATGTGTCGGATACGAAATTTCACACGGTTGTCGAAATTGGTCTGTGCCAACCGCTCGACGAACTCCAAAGTATCGCTCGGTTGTATTTCATCGCCCACACCGATATTCAACGCGTTGTCCTCATCGATATAATCGAAACACCACAATATGAACTCCACAAGAAAGAAAAGTTTGAAGATATAGGGTGTTTCATCGATGTCACTCAGAAACTTCGAAGAGACGAGAGCACGGGTGTAATTTGGTTTGGCCAGACCAAGATTGTCGGAGAGTCGATGATAATATGGGAGGTGTGGGAGCGAGGTAGGCGTGGTATTCCGGAGTCGATCTTTCATGAGACTTTCTCGTTCGGCGAGATGCCGTCGAGAAACCTCCCATTCTTTACAGTCTCCCAAGGTGTTTATGGCGACCTGACGACTTGGGGAGGGATGGAGGCTTCTGTCACGCCAGAGATGATTCAGAAATTCTGGAGGGAAGACTGGGTTCGTTCGAGTTGGACTGATGCTTGCCAACGGATGGTTCGGTGTTTGGGTGAAGAGAGAGCGCGCGAAGCATGGGAAGAAGTTCGTGCTAGGGACTTCGCTCCATTGCCTACCGAGCCGACCCCGTCGGGTTCGGTTCACTCTGTGGGCGGGCATTCATCGCAGTTGCCATGAAATGGTAACATCACATACACACACACACCGGTGCTCGAATTGATCCGACAAGTCAACAAACCGGGTCAGACAGACAGACAGACAACGCAATCCGCAGAGCCACCCTGTCATCAAGCGAGAATCTGCCTGTCATGCATCTGTGCACAGTCAACAAGTCCTGGAGGTGCTTGCTTGGTGCTGCCTCTCCCTCTTCTTCTTGGGTCTTTCACAAGTTTATTGGTGGTGTCACGTCGAAGCATCTCTTTTTCTTTTTCTTTTTCTTTTTGCCTCGGGTCGTGCGGCCCAAGTTGTTGTTGTGTTGCGTGGGCTTCTTCTGCTCGGGGGCGAGTCGAGAGGGGAGACAAGATGGCGCAGGCAGGCGCTGCGGCTGGGCTGGGTTGATATCTGTTTGGCCGAGATGGCGGAGATGGAGACAAGGAGAAGAGCTGGGCGCTTTTTCGACCCCAGTGTTGTGTCGTCCTGTTTTCTGCAGCAACCTGGACGAGATTGCTTGTTTGCCATCCGCTGGCAGCCATGGGAGTTCGCTCGTTCGGGAGAGGATAGGATTCGTGGACTTGTGCATCATCATCTCGCAATTCAGGAGGGTGGGACAGCGGATGACGATTCTCTTGAGTTAGGCTATTTTATCCACTCGCTTTCCTCATGTTCCCTTTCCATGTTCATTACCCTCCCCTAGGCGCTGCCACCTCCCTTCAATGGTTCATCGACAGGTTCCGCATATCGTTCAGCTCGCCCGGGGTGAGACGGTACGTCGGAGGATCGGACGAATGTATGCATGCAGGAGTCACTCGCTCACGGACTCCCGCCTGTCACGGCACCGACACACCGCGCAGGGCAAGTGATATGAATACGAACTCGTGAGGAGTGAGTGTATCTCAGTGTGCCAGCCTGCGACGCGGTAGAGGGCCGCAGGCGGGCGGTTGAATGTTCACGTGCTTACCAGGTCTCGGCGGAACCATGACATCGCCTTACCACCCTCGACGCACGGGGCACACCAACAAATCGCCCGAATCGAAGTGTTGTTCAAAGAGTGAGTGGTGCCCAAGCTGGCATCGACCCCCGACACGATGGCCGAGCCCTGAATCGAGGTCCAGGTATTGTTCCAGGTGGAGCTGGACCCTTTGAAGACCCTTCCACGAACGTGCGAAGGAGAGAATGAATGACTTTCTTCACGGGATGCTCAAAGTATTCCCTGTGAATAAGACGAGCACGTTGACCGCGTACTCGCAACAGACGGGCCGGGTCGACATTTCGTGGGAACGGCGGCGGGTGGACTGCTGGTCATGAAGCAGATGCTTGTGGTACGTTGCCCTTGTCCCTCCTACGGGCCTTGCCGCAGAGCAAGTTGAGATGGGCGAATAGGTTATCGAAGGGCCCCTTGACCGAAAAGTATGCTATGGCCTGGACGACACCCGACGTTGAGAAACCGCTCCTCGAGGCGGACGACCTCGTGGACCTGATCCGGCACAACTCGGCATCGGACATCAACATCTTCCCCGACGAACCGTTCGGCAGAGGCGGCAATTCAACCAACACATTGTTGGAGATCGGTGCGTTCACGGGTTGGAGAACGACGTGACCTCAACCTCGACGTGGAATGTGCTCCCACAAATGGTGAATCATCAACCAGAGGAGCAAACCCTCTCGACATGAGCGAGACGCCAGAGGAAAGCAATACACCTCTACCTATGGACGACGAGAACGACATATCTCTCCAGGAGGCGTGAATGATGCGAAGCCGGCCTGAGGACTGGCTTCCATGAACCTCCGAGATGAGCAAATGTAACTACGCCTTCAGTTTCACCTCCAACCCCGTCACTTTCATCCGCGCAGCTGAGAAGCATAGAGTGCCATTCCGGAGGTCTCCTTCTGAAGTTCCCCGGCTTTTCAGCCTCGACAAGAAACCGAAGCCACCTGATAGACAAAATATCCAACTCGACGGCTCGAGACTAAGGGCTCTTGTCATTATGGATAAAGCCACTCAGGATGCTGGAGGTACGGGGCTGTATTAAAGACAATCCGAGCCTCAAGGCAGAAGTTCCGGCTTTACGTGTGCAGCATGACGGCTTTCTTCAAGGGCCAGCGAGCCATCGTCTCTGTGCCCACGGTCCTGTATAGCGAGATCGCCTTCGACCGGCACAGCAGCCCTTGTTCGAACATAGCTGGCAATGACGCGTTGGGGCAAGTCGCGCGCCCAGCACAAGGAAATGGTAGACGGGAGCTGCACAGGGAACTATTCTCGACATTACGCAGTCCCCTGTCGCTCGTGGCCCTCGAATCGTTTGTTACGAGCGTCTCCAATTGTCCCAGAGACAGGGGGGTCTCGATTCACAAAGGACGGGCGGTCATGATCTCAAGCTCGGAGTGACCTTGAGGAACACCAAGGGCGAGCAGAAGAAGACACGGTTGTGAGAGATGCCTCAACTTACCCTTTGAACGACGGTCCAGACGTCCTATACTGACCGCCCTCTGCAGGGAAATTGACCGCCTGCTCACCTGCTCGTCGGCCGTCAAGGTGGACGAAGCGTGCGGCAGAGGACGAGACAAGGGGAGGCTGGGGAAACAAAAAGAGAACGAGCCTGGGTCGAGAACAGACCAGGAGAACAATGAGACAAAACAGGCCGAGAAATAAGAACATGTATTTCTGAACGAGAGGCTGTGCTACAGTTGTTTCCAGCTCTCGCAGGCCTTGATATCGGACTCCCTGCAGCATCGTCCATCGCGAGAACGCTGTGTCGTATTTTGACGATGTAGGCCTTTCAGTGTTGTACTGGACAGTTTCGCCAGATCGGCCTAGAAACGGCGACCGAGCGCCCTCTCGAGTTCACGGAGATTGGTGCCTCCTCCAGCACAAGGCTGTGTGAGGAACTGCTGTGTCGCCCAATGCTGCGGCCGTGTGCCCGCTTTTGCTATCGCATTGTCAGACAGAAGAATACGGTCTGAGCCATCGACTCAATATGCCCCGAACCTTCCATTGCCTTTCGTTTTGTATGGTCCTCTATTTTCCCCAGCCCTGCCCCCTGGCCAACATCCTCAGCCTCTTGCTGCCCAGATTTCGTCCCTCCCATTCCCTGTCTACACCGGGCCCGACCTCAAATGGCCCCTACTGCTATCCCACGGCCATCTCCAGCAGCTCCGGCGGGTACGAGGTAAGGTCCTTATGCTCGATGACCTCGATCTTGGTGTGCTGTTGCAAAGTCGCCAGAGCAATTTATTCATCAAGGTGGCAGACACAGTCTCAATAAATGCTCAATTGCTTCTCGTGTTCGGGGGTGAAATCCGACACGAAGCTCTCATAAGTCCGAACAGTCTGTGGCCCTTGACGCTAGGGCTTAGGCTAGGAGTTAAGTAATACGACCATTAAAGCTCCCAAGGAGGGCAGAGATGTGAGAGGACGAGATCAGCAGAATTCCCGAACGGCAATGAACACAGCCTGCCAATAAACGAGACCCACCAGTGCTCGCGGCAACCATGGGCGACCTTGGAGACCATAGGCATCGACAAAACCCACCATCTGAGGTGAAGAAACGAGGAGTCTCCTCACGGACGGACGGCTCAGTGCTGAAACATTCACACTTTTGAGAGAGACTATCGCACTGTGATCATTCGCCTATGTTAGAGATGGGGGAGCAACTGGAAACCAGTCTTGCATTCCTGCCTGCATTCCTGCATTCGATCCCTCCTCCCTCGGTGCACGGCCCCTTCCTTTTTCTTTCTTTCTTTCTTTCTTTCTCCCTCGTCTTTGGCCGGGCAACGTGGCCGTGGTGTCTCCGACAGTCTAAAGTGCGTTGTTGCTGCTGCTGATCCTGTGAAGTGACACACGATGTCTTGAAATGAAGCATTTGGACAGGTTGAAATTCCTGGAAGCGCGTCCACCAATCAGGTTGTGCGGCTTGCGGCGCCGGAGAGTCACGTGACTCCACCGTTCGCGCGGTGAAAGACTCTGTAAATCGTCCTGCGCTGTGTTGTTTAGTCTCCCATCCGTCTCCGCCATGGCCTGTCTTGCAGGATGTCGAGTTGGTAAATCTTGCGCCAACTCCCGACGGCACTTGCCGGCAAGGACGCAATGCTACAGACAAATGCAAGGAAGAACTCAAGTGTCAGGCTGAAAGAGACGCTCAAAGGAAGGTATGCTGTTGTTGAAGCCCTCTCCATCCCGACGCGGTCTAACTTGTGGTATAGGTACCCAGACATAAGATTTGACTACTTCTGAAGTGAGTAGCCCCAGGCGAACAATCTCCTCGTTCTTCTTCTCACACAGGCCTCCCCCTTGTGATCCCCTGATCCCCCAGTCGAGCTTCGCTTATAGCGTGGAGGTCCTCTGCTGCATTGCACCCAGCGTACACCACATCGAGGCTGTCGCCTTCATGAGAGGAACCGTGCAAAAGGTTCAGAGACGGTAATTCAGGTGACCGACCGAGTTGAAAAACAAAGGAGGATGGACGTCAATCAAGACCAGCAAGGACGGTTCCAACTCCGAAGTTTCGGATCGAGCTTTGAATGACGTGGAGAAAGAGCGCTGGATTGCGTTATTTGGCCAGATCGATGTGGCCTTTAAACAATTGTGGCAAGCAGGCAATGATCGAGGAACTCGACTACGCATTCCTCACGCTGCAAATCACCAAGAAGCCAGCGTTTTCGACCAAAGCTGATCTTGAGGCGAGAGCAGCCGAGTGTCCAGAGGGTAAAGGCTTTGCAAAGTACCTCGAAAAGACAATCAACAACTTTTTGGCTGAACGAGTGTGAAAGAGTGGTGTCACACGAACGAAACCGTTAAGGCCATGGGCCAGTCGACCAGTCGCGCTTCGCATAAGCGACATACGTCCCAACTATCCCTTCTACTTGATCTTGAGTACTGCGTTGTGACAACGGCAATGGGGATCCTTGACCTGATCCGGTTCGCCGATTCCAAGGTCGAAGATGGCACCATAAGGAAAAGACGGCTTTTATCCCCGACCGCAAAGCAGTGGAAGAAGTGGGCAAGGGCAATCATCAGCCGGGAAGATAGCAATCTGGATTACACGGCATACAGCTACCGAAGCGATCCCCCGACAAGTTTATCTGGGAGATGCTCTCGGGATCAACCGAGATCCTGAGCACCTTCCGCCGGTGACGTGGTGGGAGAAGGTGACTGATCACTTCCGCCTGATTCCAAGGCTTTTCGGCTCCAAGGAATCCTGGTTCGGCTTCAAGGTCGCCGTGGGGACAATGATTATCGCGGTCACAGCCTTCCTGCGCAACTCGCAGCAGTTTTACGGGAGACTTGGAGATGGATGAGGTGTATCAGTCAATTCAGCCGGCCTGCACGCAGCAGGCTCACGGCGCAGAGTATCCGGCTGTTGACGGTGGCAAGCACGGCATGCCTACAAGACGATCTTTTCCCACCGCCACGAGGATGGAGAGTACCACGACCGACTTCGTTTCGGCATTTTGGTCGTCGGCTTGTGAGAAAGCCCTCCCTCGGGTCTCTATGGCTCTGTCAAACTGCTGCATCCGTCACACACGTCGCTGGCGGTTCGCCCGGATGCCGAGGTGATCAGAGAGGCCTGTGAGTCAACTAAGCTTCGGCCGTCCTCGCCTCCACGAAGGGCCCGCAAGGAACGTGGACAATGTTGCAGAACGACTCCGAGAGCTAAGGACAAATGACCACCACGAAGAACAGAACCAGGACGCAAGCAACGGCTCTTTGTCAATCCGATTCCATAGTCTACTACTATTTGTTTCTGCTCAGGAACCTTCGGGGGCAAGCTGAAGATCTCCGACACCGAGAGCGAGCAGGTCGTCGACACCAAGTTTGAGGACGTGCCCAAGAAGTAGTTGAAGCCGTTTGACGGCGGCAACAGGGTCAAGTTGGTCACCAGGCTGGGCTGAGACAGCAGCAGAGGACACGACAGAGAAAAATAAAGCGAAGGGGGGTTGGGAGGGGTTTGCCTCGAGCTATCTTCCCCGGTCGGCTCTTGTCGGACATATATAGACTACTCAGTCTGTCAGAGAGCTTTGGGGTGGTATCGTTAGACGGAGAGTCAGAGGGTTGAACACGTGTCTTGGTTTGTACAAAGCTGTCCTTGAGACATCGACTTCTCGCACTGTTAAAGGACTCTGGAATAGTGCGAGAACAGAGGTTCTATTTATCTCTTCCTGGGTGCACTTCGTGGGGGCCGTTCGCCCTAACCAACCCGGACAATAACTCCGATACGATATATCTAGGGAAATTATGGGGCGGGGAGGCCACCATCAAGATCGAGCTAGATAGTCACGAGGGTGTGTAGTGGATAGGGCACAGCTGATAAACAAAGGTAATACACGAGGACTAGACCGCCTCCGGGTTTTGGCAGGCGTTTGGTCTGAAGAGGGTGATGACTGCTAATGATCGAATAATTGATTCCGTCCCAGCCGTTGAAAGGGGCCGAGTAATTACAGAGCACAGCTTTTCAGCTGCCGATCGACGTTTGCTGAACGAAGAGAGAGAGATGCCTAAGGCGACCTGCTTTCCGAGATAGCTGCCTCCGTCGGAGGTGCAATAGGGCCAGGATAACCACTCGCAAAGGATTTCACAAATTTTCTCTTCTGCCCCACGTGAGGTCGAGAAACCTTTTTTTTATATGCTTTCGAATGCCCCGGTGACGTAGAGATGGGGTTGAAGCAGCGTCAACGGCGATGGACATCAAGCTGCTGGATCTTGGGAGACCGAGTATTTCTTCTTCTTTAGCACCGCAATTCGAGATCGACGCTGGCTTGGAAGAGCTCCAGGGCTAAGGCTTTACAATACTCTCCCAGGATTCGCCCTATTGCTCCTCGCCCAGTCGAGAGATGAAGGCTTTCTTCAGTTCTGCGGGGTCTTTTGACGAGGCCCATGGCTTTGTGCTTGTGTGTGGATATTCACTCAGGGGAGCTCGAGACACAGGATCACAACGACCTGCACGTTCGCTGCAATCATGTCCCCACGGGCGAGGCAACGGCCGAATAACTTGCTAACCCGTCGGTTCTCGCCCCGGAATTGGAGGAATTGGGCGAAGTTGGAACCGAACGATGCTCAGAAAGGCGGCGTTCCAATCTCAACTACCCGGTGGTAGCGGTTTGATGTCTGAGTCTGTACGAGGTACATACGAGGACCTAGGTGTTGGTATACCCTGCCTCACTACCAATGCCTCGGAAGACCTCTCACGTCTCTTCCGCCGCCGTCGCCTCCGGCTTCTTCTTGCTACTGGCTAGGATCTCGTCGACGACACCCCAGTTCTCGAGCCTTCTCGGCGCTGAGGAAGGAGTCGCGCTCCATTATCTTCTCGATCTCGTCGACGGTCATCTTCTTGCTGCCCGTTAGGTGGCGCTCGTAGATGCGGTTCAGCTGGGATCGGATACGTAGGATCTCCTTGGCGGGAATGGCGATGTCGGCGGCGGTGCCGTAGTGGCCCCCGCTGGGCTGGTGCAGTATGATGCTCGAGTGTGGCAGGTAGTAGCGCTTGCCGGCTGCCCCGCCCGCCAGCAGTAGGCTACCTATCGACGCCGACACCTCCGGCACGATGTAGTTTATACAGTCGTAGATCGACAGCCCTGCCGTCATGCTCCCGCCAGGCGAGTTGATGTACATGGAGATGGGTCGGTCCGACTCCGCCTCGAGGTACAGCAGCGATGCCGTCACCGTCACCGCCATGCGGTCGGATTCGATTGTACGGGAGTTTGCTATTCATGACCACAATCACTTCAGTCTTGAGCAGGATATTTCGGTGTGTCTAACGTCGGTTGCAGCCAAATGGCTTGGTGAGTGTCTCTCTTGAAGAATAACATCCACATGTGACAGATGCTGACTTATACTGATAGCAGTGGTTTGGCTCGATGTTGGTCAGGACCTGACGTTCAACGATGCTGAACCTTGCAACCCGCAACTAATGTAAGTCGATCCACTCCAAATAAGTATCCTCCCTACCAGCCAGCGACGTGATAATATCGCCTTGAACAGGAACGCATACATGTGCAGAACTCGGAGATCTGAAGATGATATCAATCCATCGCGGATTGCGCAGACGGCTTCGCTTGCTCCACCTCGACTATGACTGTCGTTTGGAAGCACATGCAGTATCTAATGGACCTCTCTTCGTACTGTTTGATGATATCTTTACATCCATTTCAGAAGCTTTCCCGTGTCGGTCTTGAGTCGGCCCGTCCTGCGCGTTTGCTATCATGTCCAGTATGCCCTACCATTTTCTGGGATCCTGGTCCCCCCTCCAAGAATCTTGTGGTTTCTAGAACGTGTGACCCTCCTGTTTGGTGTCGGCGGCTTGCTTTCTGATATACCTGCCATCAATAATGAAGTCACGCAGTGGGTGCACCTTCCCGAGTCCCAAAACAAACTGATAAAATGAAGTGATTGAGGACAGAAAACCCATGTCCGCGTAACGCCTGAGATCGGCGCTGCAACCAGGTAGATGCCCGCAACTTAGACAGTCGAGTAGCACGTGCGCACATGTTGTCGCCGACGATCGAAACCATGACATAGGCGTTCCTGTCCATTGGTACCTCGAGGGCATATCTAGGCGAGCGAGCCTTGTCGCCAAGATCCAAGAACAGAGTGACGGTTCGCCGCGAATTGGGTGGCTCGCTTGGGTGCTTCCATCATGATGGGAGCGCCGAAACCACGGTATAGCCGAGAGGGTCCTTCATTTTGGACAATCTTGCGCAGCCCTAGCGTCCTGGACCGGGATATTCCAAGCCTGGCAGGGAGAGAGGACCCTAGAGCCTATCCCAATTCTAGACCGGACAACGACGACGAACGAGGCGGTGAATGGTGACAGATTCAGTCATTGCTCCGTGTTGCGTGACACAAGTAAATGAGTCTCGACGCCAGCCGACAACTAGGAAAGGGAGATTGCCACGATGGCAGGGGTTGTTCGTTGAGTGTATTCTGTCTATCTGAGTCTCCTGGTCGTGATCAGCTGGGGTTGGAGTCAAGGACGAGGTGGTCAAATCGTGTGCTAGGGGAGTCGATGAGGGTCCAGCCGAACCTGGGTCCATGATGTCTGATTGGCTTTCCAGCAGCAAGGATGAATTGAAGGTTCGATGGCTTAGTTGCGATGGACTGGAAACTAATGGCCAGTCGACGGACAACCGCCTCTCGGTCTGGGCAGGTCGTTGATTGACTGAACGAAAACCCAAGTCCGGTGAGCGTGTGGTTTCTCTGCTCAGAGTGGTTGAGTCTGAGTCCTGAGTGCTGGGGAGAGGGGTTGGGTCTCTCAGTTGCTGAAACGCCGGGGTTTGATAGGAAGTAATAGGACGAGCTGCCGTAGGTAACGGAGCGATTCTTGGACGAGGATTGTCCTTGACGTTGTATGGGTAACGGTTGGGAAGATTTATCCTGCCACTAGGGATGACAGCTGGGTTAGATGGGGGTGGTAACGATAGCTCTTGCTGTGCTCGAAGAGGGAAAGCCCTGATCACTTGTGGTGTGACGCATCCCACTCTTTCTTGGTTTTCCTCGCCTGCGACTGTTCCACATCGTGAGGTAGGTACTTTAGCTGACCGAGACAGGAGCGTTCTAATGGTAAGGGCCAAGTCGGAATCAAATGTTCTCTGATGTGATCGAATAGGTGTTCGTGGCGCTGGGGGAGATGCAACCGGGGGAGGGGAGGGTTAAGCTGTAGGTTGCTCTGACCCAAATCTCTGAGGAGCTTTTGCGTTGCGTTTTCCCAGTGGCTTTGTATCGATATTCAGGCTCTTGATTTCCTTGTTGCTGATGTTTCTCGGTATGAAGACGATAAAGGAGATGAACGATTGAAATGAACAAAGGAAAAGGGTGTCGAGAGGAAGAGGGTTCGACGAGTAGGTGAGGAAGTGGGGGATCTGAGAATAAGGAAAACCGAGCGCAGTGCCACGGAAAACCTAGGAGGATCGTCTCCAGTCTTGTAACAAGACCTTTGGCGGAGTAAAGCGTTGCTACCGGATTGTTGCGTGACACAAGTAAATGAGTCTCGACGCCAGCCCACAACTAGGAAAAGGGAGATTGCCACGATGGCAGGGGTTGTTCGTTGAGTGTATTCTGTCTATCTGAGTAAGTACAAGTGAGAGTCGATGACTCGAGTAGCTAGAACAAAAGGTAGGCAGGCGAAGACAGGCTAATCCTGTCTTGGGCTAGCGCCGCACGTGACACTCCGTGGCCCCACGACCGGGCACGGCGATGGATTTGATTTCGCTGAGTGTTCTGCCATCTCTCGATGAGATCTCTGTGTACGATTATCCCTCGGTGAGACCAAGACTTGCATCCTCATCCTTGATGCTATCGATATCCAATCCTCTGTGGAAGCGCATTGTCCACCGACGATGGTGCTGGCTGATCTTTTGGAGTGTGTCGGTGGATATCATACACCGAGGACGATGGCGGCCTGATCTGTAGCGTCAGAGGCAGCAGCAACTGCAGTGGCGACTGGAGGCAAGCATATGCTGACTACCTGGTGTGGACTCGAGTTGACGATCGCAGTATTCGGGAGAGTGGGAAACATACACGTTCGAGATGGACGACAACCTGTTGTTCTGGATATCGCGCAGATCGCGGCTTCGGCCCTGCCTGAGCATATCTTGTAGCCCTGCATGAAGCGGCTTGGAGAGGGCACGGGCTACATTTGCGCCGTGACCATGTACTGCCTCCGGCGGGCGCCGTCGAGATCCGGCTAGATTCAGGTTGTTGGTTCACTTCTTGAACTATGGAAGGAAACTGGCCATAAGACACCTTTATCGGCCTAGTATCGCGCCATGCTTGACATTTTGGAACATGTATGTCAGGTCGCTTTCGGTTTGAAGTACAGCCAACCGCATGGATGGATGGACTCCAAGACCCCTCTGAACCTGTCCCGATACAACCTAGCCTTTCATTCGTTCGTGAGCCAGCTGACCCGCCCGCAAGGCCAAACGACGGCGACGATCCAGCTGGGGAATGTCGTGCAATGCTCATACAACGCGGTCGCTGCGGTATACGCCCATGCCACGAAAGTCATTCCCCATCATCGCATATACAACCTGGCTGGTATCCCGAGTATAGCAGGCAGGCGTCGCCGAGACGTCGTCTCGTGGCTGATTACGTCCTCGAGGTCAATAACTTTTCATCTTCTCCCATCGAGGGAAGAGATCCTGGCCGAGGGTCGCCGACAAGTCGCGGTGTGTTTTTCGCCGGGGGCCTGGCTCTATCGGTCGCCCCACGTCGGTCGGCTCTTCGAAGATGTTCACCAGTCGCCCGGCCGCAACCCGGACGCCTGTGTCGTTGAGTCTCGCGAGCTTTTCTTCGTCGGATCGGGCATACTACATCGACATCAACAGGCCGCCGGGCGAAGCGACAGGGCATACATGGCGAATGTTCTATCTTCAGAACGGCACCACTGCAGGGGAGTCTACCGTGACAGTGTCCCTCTTCGAACATTAACAGATAGGGTCACGGCCACGATCCACATGCTTGGCGCAGGCAACCGGACCAGATACAGATTTTGACGGGACCTGCCCGGCGGTCGAGATGGCAATTTCCCCCCCGGCGACGTGGACACGGCAAGATAAGAACTCGGATGATAGGTGTTTCAAAAGTCTCCTATCGGACGCGCCATTCTATAATATCTGGGTTTAGAAGCCTAGCACTGCTGCCTTTCTCGGCGGTACCGATTGTCCTTTTCTCGCGACTGACATCTCTACATGGGGCGGGCCACTGTCTGGAGGCCTCGTAGCTCGTCCCGGTTCGGTCGGCAGTTATTGTTGTTGTGTACTCCATCTCTTGGTCGGTTGTGCATCGCCGGCAAGCCAGAATCTCGTATTTCCACGTCGGCATTGCATAGGTGAAACACAAGGCCCTGATGTGCCCCGACCTACCGACGCCCTCAACTCTTGTCGACAGCCTCGACGGTCCGGCGCGACGTGGCGCCCTCCGAGTCCGCCCTGTGACTCGTGGACCTCTCCCGTGCCGCTTTCACCGTCCGCGATAAAGCAGATTGCCCGACCGTAACAGCCATGAAACGAGAGCAGGGCGTCCACAAAGGTCTGTCGACCTTGCTGGGTTTCTTCTCCGTCGGTAGAGACGTGATCGAATATGTGCAACCGGCGGGGAGAGGCCGACGCGCCCGACACTGGATGGAGGATGCCGTCAGCCGACGGATACGGTCTTCATGGTGTCGATTTTCGCGGTAAAGAGCAGCGGCGACATGCCGTCGCACGCGAGACGTCGCGCCCAGCAGGGCCGTCTTTCTCCCGTAGAGCCGCACCAAGTTCCGTGAGCCGAGCAGCTCTCGCTCGAGCTCACCCACTCGTCGTTCGAGTTGTTGGGCATCCACCCTATGTGAGCTCGACGCATCGGCTGCTGAGGTGGTTACACTGGCGAAGCCTCTCAGCAGACTGCTGCTCGAGGACTTTGAGGTCACGATCCGGTTCTGCCCGGAGGGTCCGGATCTCAAAGTTTGAGGCTCTGAAGGAGGATCAATCTGGAAGCTGTCAGCAAGTACATGAAGTTGCGCTGGACAGCCTGCAGAAGGGGCCCCTTTGATCAGTATGGAAGAGGTAAGGGAGGTCAAAAAGGCCTGCGGGTGAAATGATTGGATGATTTGCTAGCACAGCCACAACTCTGTACTAGGAACTCTTGTACAGACTTCTAGAAAAGGCTAGCGCGAACCTTACTTCAGGGAAGCCGATGGACCTCGGGATGCAGAACGGTGGAGCAGACGCACTTTCAGATGCCCTCCTTCTCGTTGGCAACTTGATCCTTCCTTCCTTTTACTAACTGCTTGAATCTCTTTGGCCTTGTCTCTTTACCAAGCCCAGTCAGGCTTCCTCTTCAGATCTTTTGAAGTCTCTATTCAAGAGTGTCACAAACAGAGCAGAAGAGCACGTGACTCGTAGGGGAGAAGCATCCCTATGCGCCACTGTAGCTCGGGAGGAAGGGCGGAGTAAAGGGGCCGCTGGGACGGCCCTATAAAGGCACGCTTCCCGCACCCGGAAAGCTTCCTTCTCTTAAGCTTTGAGTCTGTTATTACTATATATGAAGGATATATATTACAACGGAATCTCTCTATCGCTGAGGACTGCCTATCTTCAACAAGGCATCCTTGACACAGAGGCGATGAGAAGACGCTTCAGACTGTCACGTGTAACCGACTTGACCAGATCAGGTCTAGCCGATCTTGTCTGGCCACACCGCTTTTTCTCAAGGCAGCCGAGTCCTGGCGACTCTCCCACTTACTTACTCCTCAGATCGACAGAATACTCTCAATTCAATGAACACGGCCATTGTCGCAACTCTTCTTTCCTAGTTGTGGGCAGGTGCTCGACGCCATTCGATTGTCGTCCTGCAACACAGACCCTTTTTTGGTCAATCGCCTGTGGCAACTTTTCGTTCTCTTTCACCACTCTGCCTCTACTACCTCTTCTATGACAATGTCTACTCGGAAGGGTAGGAACCCAGACCTGGACGCTACAAATCGTACACCGTCGGGCTCTGGACAAGGGGCAGGAAGCGGTGCCACAAGACAGAGCAGTGGCAACACTCCACCAACTCCTACCTGCTCTGCGATTTCCGAAAACCCCGGCAGTTCGCCTCTTGCGCCAACTTCACAATTGGGACGCTCTCCTTCACTGAGTTGTGAGCCAGAATGTCAGCCTCCTCCTGCTACGCCGCAGAATGCACCAACAAGATCTTCTTCAATGGATCCTTTCATGCCTGCGCCCGGTCAAGGAATGACGCTCAGGCGACCCGGAGCAAGAATGCAACAAGTTCAGTTTCAAAGTCCATTACAACGCCCTGCGGTCACGGTCAACAACACTGTCATTCCTGCCTTTCAATCAATGGCCGATGGACCCGCTACTGCCCCGGGGCTTGTCATGCGCCACCCTTATGGGAAACTCCAGCAGGGCACGCCAAAGGAGATGCTCGCAAAGATGAAGACGAAACGCGACAAGGCTGCTTGGTTCACTGCAGCCCTCACGGCAATTCGAACGATTTCTCACGTTCGAGACAAATTTGCATTGGAAGTGGATGATCTGATCCAGCAAGATGAGGAACTTCAAGCAGCGATACGGGAACAAGTTGCCAAGGATGAGATAAGAGACTTTCAAAAGATCGCTTCAAAAGCAAAGAACAATCGAGTCAGATACATGGAAGCGAGAAAGAGGTTTCTGGAGGGAACCGATAAAGTGAGGACTAACAAGGCATCAATCTTCCCTCCTGGAGATAAGCATGATCGCAAGTTTGACCCGTGGGTTTCAGCAGAATTCTTTGATGGATATATCATTCAATACCTTGGGAACTCTACTGCCATGATTGATGCCCTGTGGAACGCAAGAATGGCTTCGAACCTTCGGCACCTTTCCCCACTAGGCATGATGAGAAAGATCAGCTTCTCGTCGCTCCTTCGCCTCGCACGGATCAAGGGCAGTTATCACAGTCAACCCTCGCCGCTTCCAAAAGATGTCATACGTTTGTATGAGGATCCCAGCATCCTCTTGGACACTATCGGTCTTCCAAATGATCCTCGCATCCCCGTGGCTGCGAAGACACATCATCTGATGCAAAGAAATGGAGTCTGGTGGCTTAATGGAGGTGAACCACCCAATGCCTATAACCTGGTTAAAAGTGAAGGGTGGCCGTTTGGCAAAGTTGAAAGAATCAGCTGGGCAGAGCAAAAGGTCATTGAAGGAAAGAATCCGACTGCACCAGCTAAAACGAAAGACAGAAAGAAGGATGAAGGCAAAGGCAAAGGCAAAACCCAAGAGAAGCAGCAAGCACCAGCTAAAACGCAAGACAGAAAGAAGGATGAAGGCGAAGACAAAGGCAAACCCCAAGAGAAGCAGCAAGCACCAGCTAAAACGACAGACAGAAAGAAGGATGAAGGCGAAGACAAAGGCAAAACCCAAGAGAAGCAGCAAGCACCAGCTAAAACGACAGACAGAAAGAAGGATGAAGGCGAAGACAAAGGCAAACCCCAAGAGAAGCAGCAAGATGAAGGGAAAGGCAAGGAAGGACAGGGCGAAGCTATATATAACAATAATGAGAGAGGTGGTCAGCTCGTACAGCCACAACCCTGCACTAGCATCTCAGCTCCAAATCTTTCACCGCCGCTTCCGGCTTTCCCAACCACCCCAAAGCCCGGATGGACTGACTCGGAGGCACAAAAGAAATGGCAACAGACCGTCGCAGAGGGAATGGCTGAACGGCGCCTGGCAATTGAGAAACTTGACCAAGCAGTGCAGGATCGGGCCGTTTATGTCAAGCAACTCATCGGACGCAAGCGGAGTCGTTCCATTCCCACAGATATTCGAACTCCGACGGATGGAGTGAGTCCTATTGCAAAGAGGGTGCAGATGACCGTGAACGAGAAAGCTTTGGATGACACCAAGGTGGCTGTCATCAACCATGGCGCCCTGCAGAATGCAACTCCGGTCATACAAGAGGTACCTTTTGACGAGAAGAACCCTATTACAGATCCAAATCCCGTTCAACAATTCGCCTGGGATCTCATTGTCAAGTGGTGCAAGGCCGTCAGCAGTAATATCGGTCGCGCTGATGTGAATGCCGAGGAGGCAGCAAAAATCTCCATGTTTGGGGTTGACAAGATTGCTACGGCGTTTCAAGAATTGAGCGAAAGGTTTACAGTACAGCCTCCTGCCATCGTGAGCCTCCAGTGCTGGGCTGTGCTTGCCCGAGTCTACAGTATGGAGCGTGCAGACATGGAAACGGACCATTCGACCATGCGCCAGGTTCGAGAATCTCTCCACCTATTTCACTGGCACCATCGAGGAGATGGATATCGCCTTCGAGGTGGATCTATCAATAGCGGCGGGGGCTGTTACATCGATGTCCAAACGCTTCAGTGTCTACTCATCAGTTCTATTCCAGGAATGAATGGATGGTTGAACACTGACACTGTCCTCGCTGGCATTGCCGCGGGTCGCAAGCATGTTCTCGAGGACGGGTTTTGGGTTGTTTCGCCCGATCAATTTGAAAATTTCATATCCTCTAGAACGGTCCCCTCCTCCTGGCCTTGTGATGAGAAAGTCCGCACGTTTATCCCGGTGTTCACTAAGAATCATTGGTGGTTGATGTATCTTGATCCGTTTGCCGAGGTTGTGTACGGAATGGACTCTCTCTACCCTCGAACTTCCCGCACCCTTGAAGTGAGGAGAGTTCTCAAATTACTCGGCAAATTGCACCCTGGAGCGAATTGGGCATTTAAAAACGTTCGGTGCACACAACAGAAGAATCACTACGACTGTGGTATGTTCGTGATTTACAATGTCAGGCACATTATGGACCATGGCGTCAACAATCTGGACGACTTGGAGGTTACTTTGGCTCATCGAATTGCGCTGGTCCAAGATATAAGCGCTGCCATCAACCGGGAAGAGGCTGTACCGGTGGATTGGAACAGGAGACTGGTGAAGGTAAAGGCAGAACTTCCGCCCATCTCGACGGGCCAATTCATTGTGGATTTTGAGGAAAGTATCGTGATTGAATAGCCAACGAAGACAGGGAGATCGCGAAGCGAGCCGCAGAAAGCGAGGGTTCGTCCGGCACCTGGGACTGACGGATGAGGACATGCTGTGAACGGGCTGCAGTGGCGGTGGTGGTTAGGACAGCCACAACCATGTGCAAGGTTTATCTTCACGCGTCAGAGGGCACTGTGTTTGGAAAATAACGAGTAACACGACCAGTAACAGTAACAGATCAAGCTTTGAGCCATGTTTCATAGAGAATCGAGTGCCAGTTGCACCGTTTGAAAGTACGTCTACTCCACCGTTCTGCATCTCACGGTCCATCGGCTTCCCTGAAGTAAGGTTCGCGCTAGCCCTTTCTAGAAGTCTGTACAAGAGTTCCTAGTACAGAGTTGTGGCTGTGCTAGCAAATCTGTCAGAGAGCGTTGGGGTGGGATCGTTAGACGAAGAGTCAGAGGGTTGAACACGTATCTTGATTCTTGATTGTATGAAGCTGTCCTTGAGACATCGACTTCTCGCACTGTTGAGGGCTTCTCCAGTAGTGCGAGAATAGAGGTCCTATTTATCTCTTTTTTGTGTGTGCCTCGTGGGGGCCACTCGCCCCATGGGGTGTTGTCGGCCGGGAAGCCCGGGTGACACATTGTAACAGCCAATGTAACAGCCATTGTAACAGCCATGGGGTGTTGTCGGCCGGGAAGCCCGGGTGACACTTAATTACCACCTCAACAGAGAGAACCACGGCCTGTACGAGTTAGGCGGATGAATTGGTTGACGAGGTACTTATGGCGAAACTTTAGGCGGATCGCCGCTAGGCACTAGCCTCCTCGGCCGGGCCAAGTGCCGCCCGGGCGGCGTGAGGACTAGATGGAGGCACTCGAGGGCGCACTGGTCAGGTAACGTGCATCCCTCCGTGCCAAGAGTCCCGCCGTACTATATTTGGACTCAATTGAGCGTCCGACGAACTTCCTTACAGTCGTGGACCTACGTCACTGAATCTAGGCGCGGTTCCTAAATACAAGATTCGACTATACGGCCCGATTGACCGTAGTCTGACGGAGCTTTTCGATCCAGGGATGCCGCATCGGGTGGATCATATTCCAATTCTATTCAGTCATTCTGCATAGGTTTCTTGCCGCCACCACATCGCATTATGATGCATGATGTTGCGCCGCATTTGCGTCTTTAGATCCTTGCGCCGCCCGACTGCTTCCCTCGAAACTGCAGTATCTATTGTCGCAGGCTTCTTACGGTTGTCCGGTACTCAACTCAGACTCCGAAATGAATGAACGGTGCCTATCTGAGTGGGATTTTCCTAAACCTCGACCGAACCCGCATCGTCGCCTCATGAACAGCCTCTGCCACCGCGCGATTTGCGTCTCGTCCTCCAAGGCCGCCCTCCAGACGCTCATAAAAGCCAACTGCCATGTCCACACATACCTCATCGACGGAAGGCCACATCGCCGCCACGACGTGACCAAACCCGGATACCTGGAACCCACTTGCCAAATGGATCACCTCGTCCATCATCCGGGCTGCGCGATTCTCCGCAGTCGAACACGCCGATAGATAAGCAATCGACGCTCGGCCGAGATTTGCATTCGACACCTGTTGCACAGTCAGAGGGTCGACTGTCGCCGCGTCGGACGGGCCATGTTGCAATAACAGGCTGCTGTTGAACGGGTCTAGGGCATCTGAGGTCCCATGACCGGCAAAATGTACTATATTACAGTGCGCAATGCGCTCCAGCACCGATCGAGCATCAGGGTGCTCCAACAGCTCGCGTGACAAGGTGGTACCAGTCGCGGCTTCGATGGCACTGATCTCTTGCGTCACGCTAGAAAGTGGACTTGCTCCAGGGGTCGTCGGCATCGACACCATCAACATATGAGGATTGACTGTGCGATCTTGGTGGAGTATCGCCTGCCGTGCACGGGTGTGGGCGAGCGCTTTGATGGTCGGCGTGTAAGAGGAAATGGCCTAACTAAGCGTATTATTGGAGGAGTTGTCCAAGTGATCACCTGCGGTATGGAATGGCAGCGAGCTTGCGAGACCAACACCGATCCACCAGATACGAGGCAGACAGTTTGACGAGGGCTGGACACCGTGATGGACCGCCTGTAGGATCTGTCGCACACATTTCTCCCACAGCCAGCGAAGGAACTGCACATATCGCGTGTTCTTCTTACCACGACCTTCGCGTGTCTCATATGGCATGAACACAGTTAGGCCTTCTCCGTGCCAGGCCTCCATGGCTGTGAGTGTCAAGTCAGTTAGGGAGATGGACTGGACACCTGATGGTGTTATAATGATAGCGTCACTCCTGATGTCGGAGATGTTGACCACTATAATCGGGCCATCAGAGGCCCGTTCTTGGAGTTCTCCCTGTGTTGGCCCTAGCAGGAAACGTTGGTGGCCCGGCTGGTCGCGGATGTTGTGGATACACTGGTCGAGCTCCCGGACCGCGGCCAAGTGTCGCAACACTCGAACGCTTCGTGATTGGGGGTCGTCCACGTCAGCTCGGGACAGGCTTGCCGTAGCCCTGACACGTCGCTACGATCGTCCATTAACAACCCAATGATACTTCCACGAGCGAACTCAAGCAGCTCTAGCGCGTGAAAGGCGTCTCCCTCATTCTGCAGGACCAGCGCAACGACGTCGGAGGCGATGCCAGAGAACTGTGCGACAACATGGCGCTGGTCGTCCCGGCTCAGCGAGCGATTGTTGACCAGCGGGAGGAGACGGGTAACACCGGTGACCACCTGCGTGGCGCGAGTCCATTGGGCGCGTCGTTTCAGTAGATCGATGGCTTTGACCGCCGCCGCCAGGCGATGGAAGGGAATGCCGTTGGCACAATTCCAGGCGTGGAGGAAATGTTCGAGAGCCTCCTCGTTTTCGGGCGCCTGGGACAGGACGAGTTTGTTACCGAGATTGTTCAGCGTGGCTACCAGATCAGGATGGTCGGGCGGAGTGACCTCCACGGCTTTTCGTGCCACTTAAATAGCCTCTTCGAGATCTTCCTTCCTTCTTATCCGCACAAATCGGCTCTGCAGCTTGGATCCGAGACTGTTCAGCCAGGCTACTTGGTTAGGCTCGTCGGGCGGAGTGACCTCCACGGCTTTTCGTGCTACTTGAATAGCCTCTTCAAGATCTTCCATCCTCCCTGTCCGCTCGAAACGGCCCTACAGCTTAGATCCGAGATTGTTCAGCCTCCCTGCCAAATTAGGATCGTTAGGCGGAGTGACCTCCACCGCCTGCCGTGACAATTGAATCGCTTTTTCAACATCATGCACGCTCCCTGCTCGCTCATACCGGCTCCCAAGAATCAGCCCCGGACAATCTAATCTATCTGCGTATTCTGGATCAGCTATGATAGTCAAGACCTGCGAACCCTTCTCGATAGCCTCGGCCAGGTCGTCCAGGCGCCCGTTCCGCCAGAACTGCTGGATCTTTAATCTCGCGTAGTAGGACATGACATGTGCTTGGAGGGGGGCGTCGTCCGAGGCCAGCGTCATAGCTGCTTCGAATTGGTTCAATATGAAGTCTTCGATCACATTTTCGTCCTCAAGCCATGCCTGAAGGTTCCCCATTTGCTCTGACACGATGCTATATAAGAGTCCCGGAACAAGGCTTTACAAGGTCTACGTCTCACAGTGGCTGTGGTTGTCTATATTTCAGGAAGTAACGTGCTAATTACTTAGGAGTATATCAACTAAGAATGCGGAGGAGTCTCTTGCTCAGCCCTATGCATAAGTGTTCAGCTGCAGTTGGTGGCTGTACACTCAGCAACCACAGCACGGCAGTGGTTATGCGTCCATAGCGTCATGGAACACAAGTGGGATAGTGAACTGAACCTTGGACTTCAGACATGCACCTTCTCCGTATTGTGACCCCTTACAATTCGTGTTAATTGTGTAAAGGCGAATCGGTGGCAGAAAACATTCGCCGGATGCCGGAGGGAAAAGAGGTAAATGTACTGTGTGGCGGCTCCTCCTACGCATCGGGCCACAGAATTTTCAAGGTAGGGAGGGCATGTTAACGTTGTGAGGCGGCAGGACTAGTGCTGCGGGCCGGATGAAGCGGGCTTCCCGTCTGTAATCGCTTCTCAGACTCAGAAAAGGGAACTTATATCTATCGCTCAGGTTGTAGGTCTATTTGCGCGAGTTCGCCAGTGGTCTGCCACCGATAACCTAGACGGTGAATGTACCATACGCTTCCGATTCGTATTCCTCGAGCCCACCGCCTAATTCTGGATTATCTGCGAGTTCCACCTCCACGATATTATTGATGTCAATCTCTTGGCCGCGAATGTTGGAATACATTTTCCATCGCGAGTCGTGATGGAGAAATGCCTTGTCTACATCCCGGCTGGAAAACCATCTGGCCAGTGGAAGTCAGATGCCGGGGCGACTCTAAGAATTAGCTTCGTCCAAGCAAACAGACGTAGTACTACCTCTAAGGCCATGCAGCCACACCTCAACGATGCAATTAGGGCGAAAGTCACAATCCAACGATCACCACATCCAACCAAATTGGCTCATGTGGGAAGGTACTGGAGGCCATCTAGACGATACTGGCCAGGAGCTGGTTCCAGACCTTGTGGTTGCCGATGGCAGCTCCCAGTTCTGGTTGACTGATGGTCGGCTTGTTCCAAGTCTGTTGTACTGTACAGTATGATGACAGACAGTCAACTGTGTTTCGCCAGTATGATTAGACATTCAGACTTTGCGCCGATCATTTGCTTCTAGCTGATTGCAGAGGCCAGTCTCACACCTCGTCCGGCCAGCCCTCTAGCAATGACTTCGATCTGACCACGACATCACGGACTTTGTCTGGACTGCAGGACAATCTCCCAAACTGAGCTTTTCGAGAGAGTCGTAGATCACCGCCTGCGATATCAGACAAAGGGAAGAGCTCTCGGGCGCTCTACATATCGAGACGCGCCACGGCACAGTTTGAGGTCGAGTTACTACGAAGACACAATGACGGATTGATGGGAAAGACGCCGTATAGCCAAGTTAGCGTAGGCATTTCGTTCTCATCAAATCTGCTGACACAACCTCAGTATGTTGATGTTCTACTCTTCCGCATTCTCGCCTCCGCGTCGTGGGGAAGTACCAAACAGACCGTTCGTCACCGTGCCGTCGAACCTCGCTAGAGGAAGAACCTTCAAAAAGCCCGTCCGGAGAGGTTTGCCTTGGATCGAACATCTGACGAGAATCTAGAGAGACACAGAACAGGGTCTTCACGGGGAGGAACGTGGTTGGCGCAGCCTCTCCTTACATGTCTCGACTCGCGTCCTGTGGACGAATTCAGGAGGTCCGTCCTATTACTGTCGATATGAGACTTCCACGCCTGCTACTCGAATAAGCATCGATGGCGTAGCTGCAGAGCCCTCCTACTTACCGCTCTCCCCCAACCACCACGAAATGACGCCTCCGCCGTGCTTGATTGGGGACAGCTGTGTGAGCTCGGGAGCCCATTGAATATACGAGATCATAAAGACGGATTGGGGTAAAATGGAAGGGTATGCTGACATCGGCAATCTCCAGCGCGGGTGCTGAGCGCAATCACTGAGGGAGACAAGAGCAAGTGGCGCTGTAACTAGGCGTGAAGACTCGACCACCAGAAACAGACCCTGCCACGAGACGGAAGGTGCACGATATACTACTGGCAACCCTGCTAGTCTCCGCAGAAGCAATCAAGGGATGTCGAACTACTGGATCTATCTGTGACAGACTGCTTGATCCCTCCTGCCCCACCGTCGACCGTCACTCGCGGCCGAGGCCTGTGGCTACCTAGGTTTTCTGTAATTGCCCCTGCTGGTGATGCTGGAACCGGGCATAAGCCTTGCATCGGTGGGAGATGCTGCTTAGCGAAGTCTGCCTTGTGACAGCCCCAATGTCAGAGAGCCTTGGGGTGGGATCGTTAGACGAAGAGTCAGAGGGTTGAACACGTATCTTGATTCTTGTATAAAAGCTGTCCTTGAGACATCGACTTCTTGCACTGTTGAGGGCTTCTCCAGCAGTGCGAGAATAGAGGTCCTATTTATCTCTTTCCTGTATATGCCTCGTGGGGGCCGCCTTGGCATTTGGGGCCGTTGGCCCCATGGGGGCCAAGCGCCTGATGGGGGCCATTTGCCCCATGGGGTGTTGTCGGCCGGGAAGCGCATTGTAACAGTCATTGTAACAGCCCTGCTTCCCGGGTGACAACTTGGGTCTGTTTGCAGTGTGTCGCAGTGCAATCCACAAAGCCACCCTGTCATCAAGCCAGAGTAAATCCCTGTGCAGTCAATAAAGCCCTACTTGGGTCTGTTTGCAGGCATCGTAGTGCCATCAACAAAGCCACCGTGTTATCAAGGCAGAGACTGCTGTGCATCCGTGTTCGATCAACAAAGCCTTGGTGGGGCTCTGTTCGCAGACATCGCAGTGCTATCAAGAAAGCCACTGTGTCATCAAGGCAGAGACTGCTATGCATCCGTGTCCGATCAACAAAGCAGCCCTGGTGGATCTGCTGACAGTATCAACAAAGACGACCTGCCGCCAAGGCAGTGACTGCTACAAGGACTCCCTGTCATCAAGGCAGGGACTGCTCATCCGTTTGCAGTCGACAAAGCCCCGGTTGGGTTTATTTGCAGCGATTTGACAAAGGCTTCTGTGGTGGATCTGCCTCCAGTATCAACAAAGGCTTTGGTGCATTATGCACTTGAGGTGATTCCTGCTCCACCGTTGTTATACATGAATATGTAAAGTACTCGACCGGATACCACTGCCTCCGCACACAAAAGACGTGTCCGCCCTCGCACTGCCTTACTATCTTCACCATCTGATGTGACATATATGCCACAGCCTTCACAGGATGAATTCACGCTCAAACAACGCGCTGAAGCCTAGCGCTCCTGGCCAGGTGCCCGGCTCGCTTTCTTCTTCTGATGGTAACACGTCCTGCGCGCCGTAGCCATCATCACCACAACAGTCGAATCTTCAGCCACTACTCAATCAGTCGCGTCTTCCACTACCCACTCACTCTGATCAATTGTAGGAAGTGCTCAAACTCGCAGAAGAGGTCGCCTCACACAAACTTCCTTTAACGCCAGACGACGAACCCATCAAATTCACCATTTCTCGAGAGTCGTGGTTGAAACTGCAAGAAGACTCCAACTTTGACCTGTGTACAGAAAGGTACGGTGCCCCAAGATCCTAGACTCCTCTTTGTCACCCGGGAAGTAGGGCTGTTACAATGACTGTTACAATACGGCTTCCCGGCCGACAACACCCCATGGGGCAAATGGCCCCCATAGGGCTAACGGCCCCAAATGCCAAGGCGGCCCCCACGAGGCATACACAGGAAAGAGATAAATAGGACCTCTATTCTCGCACTGCTGGAGAAGCCCTCAACAGTGCGAGAAGTCGATATCTCAAGGACAGCTTTATAAAAGAATCAAGATACGTGTTCAACCCTCTGACTCTTCGTCTAACGATCCCACCCCAAGGCTCTCTGACAGGTGAGAGAAAAAAACAAATTATATGGTTGTATGATTGTCCGCAGTGGGAGATATGTTGGTTTTTCGAGTCATATCACACACCTTCCAGACCTTTTAATTATACAAAAAAGTGGCCACGACGCAGAAATACGACAACAAATTCCATGAGGCTAGCCACGGCTGCGACGACCACGATTCGGAGATTGAAGGCAGCGGCGATGAAGATGAGGACCAGGCTACCACATCCTGTGGTAGGGCAAAACGACCTCTCATTGTTGCCGTCGACATCAGGCCTGTCACGAGTTGATCCTTGTTTCGCTTGTCTGGAGCATTAAGATTTCAGCGCACTATCGCAAGGCAATATGAAAGGTAACTTCAAGCCACCAAGCCGGGAGTCAGCTCATGTCGTTTCCTTAACCTCCGACAGAACTTGTCGGCAGCCGTGAAGTAAGCGGCGATCAAACTCCAGGTGGCTGCCGAAACAGCGGGAGTTTCAGCTGATGGACGGGATCAAGCAATGATTCATCACCTCTTGTGCACTGGAACATCCTCCTCTGGTTGAGCCTAAGTGGACCGCACCGAAAGGAATCTTTTTTGCTTTTTCGATGTTTATGCTGGATGTGTCCTTGAAAACCGAGTTTCTGCTGTGTCCGCCACTCAGTCACTGCATCGCAATCCGAGACTGGATAGAAGGGAGGCTGACAGCGCTGGTGGTGGCTGGAGTAAGCCGCGTCGAGAAGTTACATACTTGCTGCCGCCGTGGAAGAAACGCCTCATCCGAAAAAGCCTGTCCCAGCGATCAAATGTCCCAGCGGTCGCACAATGGGCGCTCCCGAAACCACAAGACCGGACGCACGCCCAGTGAACGCACGAGGGGCATTGAACCAGCGACAAAGCCTGCCTTGTTACACGGTAACAGCATTCATGTCGGTGTGATTCAAGCAACCACCTTAAGCGATCTATTATATTGAGAGTCGTGATCGCAATGACCTCTCTTTATCTCGTTTTCCGTCGTTCACTTGCATTCGCGACAGCATCCACTGCACTGGCCGGGCCACGGAAAGTGTCTCATGTAGACGACGGAATGGCTTTGTTATGATGGCGACAAGAGAACTTGCAATATCCTCGAGTTGAGGACCGTCGAGGAAGCCTTTTTGAGTGCATATGGGAAACACACCGTCAGCCGCAACAAACGAAGCAACAATGATATATGAGCACAGATGGTACGCTTTATCAGACAGACATTTTTGCCGGAGCCATTGCCATTCGTCCATCGACCTTCTCACAGGTATGGGGGCTAGATGAGCATCGAGTGAGCAATAGACTCCAAGTCCCAAAACCCGCGGCAAGAGTTCTGAATTCGAGAAAGACACGACAGCCTTACTGCGTAAACGCCGACCGCACGGTCGATGTGTCCAAGGCGCGGTACCTAGTCTTCGACGAAGCGGACTGGATGCTGGACAAGGGAGTTGAGGATGACATCAAACACATTATTTCCCAGGTGCCGTCCGCGAAGAAGCGACAGACGGTAATGTTCACCGCTACCTGGCCGCAACCTTTACGCAGCAACCCGTTACAATCACCATACGGCGAGGATACTGATGGCGGATGTCACGATTAGGTTAGCACGTGGACGCGCTAGCACTAGCGTGCCTGCGCCACGTGATCCTCGCTGTCGATCCAGCAACCTTTTTCAGATAGTCCTTTGTACTACAATTTCCATCAATTCAAGCTCAAAGCGTGGTAGCGCGGGAGAATTGAGGGCTAACACACGGATCGTGCCGAATGTCGAGGTCATTGACGGCTTTGAAAAGCAGCAGCGTCTTCTGCAGTTGCTGAAACAGCACACCGCCGGCGTTCTCTGGTGACAGATTGCGAGAGCGTGTTCAGAGAGACCGACGCCATGGTCGCCAGGGCCGTGGAGAGCGCTGCCTCAAAGAAGGGATTGGTTCAGAAGGGTGTGCTCGCATCGAAATCGTGATCGAGGTCCATGAACGCCAAAGGATCACGAGTCTGGAGCCGGCCAGGCAGGCCAAGTCGCCTATGCTGTAATGGACCAGCACCAACATATATCCGGCCCCTCGGAAACAGGCTCCTGGCTTGGACCATGGGCATCTTGCTTCAAAACAAGAAAACTGGCTGGGGTATTCGCATTGGACGATGACAGTGGATAGATATCCAGGATGAGAAAAGGGGACAAGAAAGGGTGCATGTTGGAAGTGGTACGAGGGAACAACAACAGTTTCCTCCTAGATCAGGTCGTCGTTGTAAGGATGCGCAAAGGTCAAATCGGGTGTCGGATGACTGAGGCGTGTGCCCAGTTTACAGCCTCACGACGAACGCACATCGGAGGTATGAGGAATTTTGACCCAGCTGACGATGCACCCTTACTCGATTTCGTAAATCGGCTTCACTCTTCTCAAGTCTTCAACAATGATTGTCCTGAAAGAGCGTGATGTACACTCTTTTCTCTCCAATGTTTCGGTCCTAGAATGCGATCGTCGCCTTACCGACGTGCACGACATTCTCCGAGCATACTCTTCGACCAAAAATGTCCCGTCGTCCGGACACACGATTCATCATCCGGAGAGGGAATCAATCGTCACAACAACCGGTAACACCTTACACTTCATGCCGTCTTCCGTCATAACTTCGACGGGCATTAAGACCGAAACCATTACTCCCAAGGGGTTCAAAGGGTGTGTGAACGTCTTGGCGCCGGATGGAGAACAGGGGTCCTGGGCATATTCCTCCTCCACCGTGAGCGGCGAGGACAGCCTCAACGTCCCGTGCATAACAGCCAGGCATCGCTTCAACCTGGGGAACGCCTGTTCGTACGGGCCCATCATTCCATCACATCGGACGCTCTGTTGTCATTGACTTTTGCAGCAGAGATCGATACGTGTAAGGTGTCGTTCCGCCATGCTTTTCTGCACGCTGAGATTGGATGTCTTTGAACTTCTTTGTTCCTCTCTGAGTGACGACGGGCATGACTGTCTCCATGGCACAGTTGACGACTTGGGCTGGTACTGCCAAATAAGTCATCCGGTTGCATCGGCGGTTGGGGGTGATGCTGAAGGCCACCGGCAAGGGCGTGTGAAGCTGCTTTTCGTCCTCGGCGAATGCTTTGGCTGTCAGGCCGAAAGGGTGATTTCTCCCTGAATCAGTTAGCCACGCCATCCGCAAGGTTGATAGCGGATGAGACTTATGAAAGGTACATCAGCACCAGCCTCCCCGCCGAAAGAGAGGAATTCATCAAAGATCGGCTTGTCGGGGCGGTCGAGGTCATCCGCAACCGCACGCACTATGCGAAGATCACGCCTGCGGACACGGTGTGCTGCGCGTCCAACTCCGTGATCAGCTGGAACACCTGGTCCGGATAAACCACCGCAGCAATAAAGATGACCCTCGGGTCATATTGACACAGGGGCAGCCAGTCTTCGGACACCTTTTGAGGGCAACACTGAGCATTCTCGTAGTGATTGATCGGGCTCGGGCAGGAAAAGCCAAGGTATCGACCAACGGGTGCGAACTGCTCACAATTTTGTTCCATGACCTGGAGACGCGGAGCAAATATATGTTCGAGTGGTACATTATCTCGAACGGCAGGACGTCAAATGAGTCTCTTGCTTGTGAGTGTACGATGTCGATCCTCATCTGCTTGGCCGCTTCCTCCATTTCCTTGGCGAGCAATGCCTGATTCGCGTCTGAGCCGGGGACATTCTTCAAACCGTGCTTAAAAATCGTATTGCACCGGTCTTGTTGTTCTTGCGTCGTTCGGTGATCCCACTCCGAACATGGCCTCGTGCGTCCTCGGGATCAAGTCGGATCGTGGCTTTTGCGTCTTGCAGACCCTGTGCTTCATCCTCGCTTGAATTGGTCAGACTGAGGTAGGTGTCGCGGCCACAGCTAGGACAGTGCAGGACAGATCTGGATAGACCTGTCCCATGCTATGATTGGCTGGCTACAACTCTGTACAAGGCCCTGCTAGTACAGGGGTTGGCGGAAGGAAGCTTGACAGACGTGCCCGCCACACCAATAGGCGCCAGCACGTTCCTTTCTTTCTCTCTTTCTTCTCTGTCTCTTCAGATCAGTCTCTCGTACAATATGAATACACATCTTTGGCTCTCGAGGTGGGCAGATAAACGTCCTTGAATTTGGTCAGAACCTCTTTCCTTCCACCTCCGCTGGCTGTCTTCAAACGTGAGCTAGGCGACGCCAAGCCCATCCAGCTCCTATGGTGTAACCTTCTTGGTGGAGTCAGATGCGATGACTCTTGCAGCACAGCTGAATCGGTCAGCGACGGATCTTCCAGGGGCCTTGGTTACTCAATGGCTTACATGGATTCGGCTCTTCGATCTTGATATCGCGGTCTGAATTTGAGGCTCTGAAGGAGGATCAATCTGGAAGCTGTCAGCAAGTACAAGAAGTTGCGCTGGAGAGCCTACAGAAGGGGCCCCTTTGATCAGTATGGAAGAGGAAAGAGAGTGGTTGAGGAAGAAGGTAAGGTAGGTCAAAAAGGCCTGCGGGTGAAATGATTGGATGATTTGCTAGCACAGCCACAACTCTGTACTAGGAACTCTTGTACAGACTTCTCGAAAAGGCTAGCGTGAATCAAGAAGACCTGCGGGTGAAATGATTGGATGATTGGCTAGCACAGCCACAACTCTGTACTAGGAATTCTTGTACAGACTTCTAGAAAAGGCTAGCGCGAACCTTACTCTAGGGAAGCCTATGGGCCGTGAGATGCAGAACGGTGGAGCAGACGCACTTTAGCTGCGACGATGGGGTTCGAGAAGTCTTACGATTTTTGGCCGGTCTAAGGCTGATGGAGGCTGTCCCCGAACTACCAAGCCCGGGATGACGCTCAGATACTTGTCAATTCCTTGGCAAACGCTCGTCGCCGCCGCCGCGGAGGTTCGTCGGTCCAAACTTGACGTCGACGACCCCCTGTCAACGCCACGAATCTTTTATCTTTCCACACCATACTTTGTGGGCTCCGAGACCGTCTCGTTCTGGATCTCGGCAGCTAAAAATCTTCGATATAAGCCTTCGAATGACTATAAACGAGGCCAAAAGCAAATATCGGCCGACATTCCGAGCGGATATCTTAAATTTTCTCGCCGTCACAGGCCAGGAGTGCTATAGGTCTACGCTGCCAACGGAGAGCTCGAGGAGACGTATCGAACGATACCATTTGGGACACTCCACAGCTTGAATTGCGCGAATGCGAGCCTCAAAACGGATCTCCCATACAAATTCGGGGCCAAAACTTGGAAATTTTGAAAAATCAAAAACTGGTCAAAACCACTTAAGAATAGGTCCAGAAGCAAGGGCGGCTTGCGAAATGTACGGAGCTGTGGTTTGGAACCGTGTAATACGCGTGGTTCTCGCGCTAGAGCGGATTCTGTCGACGAAAAGTGCGATTTTCGTCGTCGGCGCGACGCTGGGGTATCGCCATATCAGTTCCAGAGGATATATAATATATTGTCGGAGGATATTAGGCACTGGCCGAGACTCGGGGGCAGTTTATTTCGCGCAGAAACCTCTTCAGGCGGGAATGGTCGTCCTCTGTCGAACCCCTTCTGGCGACTTTTGCTCGACAACACGCTAAAATATCACCACACCAGTTCCAAAGCTCATCCAACACATTACTGGAAAGTTCCCGAGCAATAACCAGAGAGCCTCCAAACCTATATAGCTCAAAATCCTAAAAAGAACCTATTCCCGGGGAGAAAACCGCCGGAAACGGCCGGATTTATGTGTCAATTTTGGACATCGGAGCTCGACCCCCATCCAACTCAACAACCACCAGCTCGTATAGGTTTATACTCTAGCCACAGCTAGAGATGCTAAATCATATCCTCGGAGGACCAGTGAAAAAGATCTATATGCAATATGGGACGTTCGGTATTTACTTCAGTGCCAAGCCTATTGGCGGCTCGAGGACACCGATTCTCCTTACCTTACGGCTATAAGCACTTCCGGACCTTCCGGGGTCCGCACCGAGAATGGGTTTCGTGGTGGTGGTGGTGGTGGTGGTGATAGTCGGCAGGAGGCGGAATGTGAAGAAACAGCAAAGACCAACAGGAGCGAAGACCAATTGATCCATTGCCACTCTCTTCGGTGTAGGAACAGTGCCGCTTTTGGCACTGATTGGGGACCATTTCGTGAGTCGACCAAACCAAACAAAATGGATCAGAGCCATCAAGAAGCCATACGACGTGAATCGCGTCAAGTGTTCGAGGTCGAAGGGTTGAGGTCCGCTGCTCCGAGGAGAGAGACCAGGCGACGACCTTGCAGGCTTTTCGTTCAGGTCTTCAAGTTCGACCCCGGAGGAGATAAGGTATATATCTCGAATCAGTCGTAGTCGGCAGCATGGACTGTCCCTTTCGGACTGTAGTTATCGATTGTGCCACCGTGTCTGCAATGCCCCCAGTATCTGTTTCACCTTCAGCTCTCATCCAGCCGCCGCAGATGTTTCCAGCTACCGCATTCGTGATCACTGTGATCAGCACAGGTTTTCAGCATCGTGAAGAGGAGGAAAGGTGACTCGATACTCAGAGTGCGTGCCTGACAGCGGACGAGGCTGTCCAAGTGTAATTTTCGACCTTGTGCAAGGCCAATGGGTTCGCCGGGCAGAACACACCACTTGCTTTCACTTATGCGACGGATCAGGACGGCTATCATGGATGACCAGTATCCTTCATGCTGCCAGCAGTTCTTTGCAAAGTACTTTGAGGGACAATCTCCGCCTGCATGGGCTGTCGAAGCTCTCAAGAGAGGTAGTGACAAAATTCTGGCAGATGGTCCGAGACGGTGTGGTATCAAGATGATGCACATCCTCTCCTCCGTCTCGTGGATTTCTCCCATTGCCTATCTGCTGCCATTCGGGGATGCAGATGTAAAGAAGCACACTGCGAGTGTCGACGTATCTCGAAATATCGATACGACGAGAAAAGGCAGCGAGGAACGGAACCCGAATGATCTGTTCACGCATCTCATCCTTGGAGACAAGGATGTGGTGTCCGGCTGTGCTCGAATTCGGATTAATCAAGGCGTCGGCAGGAAACACCATGTCGAGGAGAGATATGGTCAGTGCGTTGACTTTGGTCGTTTTCTGTTCATATTCTTCCCTGGACCATATAGTACTACACCTTTATCTCTTTGTGTCGATCGTCGACCGTCAACGTGTTTGTCCACTTGACAGATCTGATCGTGTTCCATTCTCCCGAGGGACTCGATCCGGGCTCTAATAGTCATCTTAATAAAGCCAGGTCAAAACCCGCTCAACGGTCGAAGAGCTTGTGTGCTTCCAGTTAATGCAATTCGTCACCGGTGATACCAATGCGAACGGAAGAAGAGCTTCTTGTCCCGCTCCGCTATTCAGGCAAAGCACCTTATCTTCGTCCCTATCCGCACTTTTTCCGTGACGCTAATATTAAGCTTCAGAGATCGACAAGCTAGGCCCGTCCGAGCGTTCCGGAGTATCCCACCACATCTGAAACGTCCCTTCTTATCCAGAGGTAGTCACCATAGGCTCATTGCTACACGCTAGTAGTTGCCGAAGAAAGTGTGCCCGCGAATGTCGTCTTCGCGGCTTTTGATGAGGCCAGGACCTAAGGTGACACAGATTTGACCTCCGATCTGGACAGCGTGACCGTCGGAGTGGTGGCACGGAGGCAGCAGCACTAAGTAGACACTGCCTTGGAACGATAAAATGCTTTCGGCAACGTCGTTGGAAAATTGCCATCGTCCTTGGCTTGATTGGATCCCATGGGGTGACCAGGAACTCGCCGACGTGGCACAGCTTCTGCGTATGGCCGTGGACTCTCGTTTTCAAAAGGGCAGCGACTGCTCGTGGCCCCATGGGCGTCCAATGGCTTGACTTGTTGAATCACCGGTCGGTATATCATGGGGGAACAGAGAGTCGTCAGGGTGAAGCTGGGCTTTTCCGTCTCGACGAAGTCCGAGGTAAGGGCATGCGGCGATATCTCCGTTCAGCGGGCATACCTTGAGACGCTCTTTGGAGAGAAGGCCTTTCAGAAGCCAGTAGGGAATCCCCGAGCACGAGTTCTTCGCGTTTGCTCTTGGATTCGGCACCACTGAACTCCCATTCATCCCACCTGTCGTGGTCCGGCTTCTGGAGCACTTTCCACCAAAGGCCCAGCTGGTCGTCGACCACTGCGGCGACATTGACGCTGCCACCCCAGCCGGACACCGTAATGAATAATTTTCTCTGATCAAGACTCATCATCTCAAGAACGCAGGCCAAGCCCAGCGCCTGGAGCGGCTCCGAGGCTGAACCCGAAAATGTTCCAGCCGCCACTCGTTCATGGGAATCTCGCACGCCCACTACCCCCAGGCCGATTTGACATTGGTATGCTGAAGTTCTGTGGCTCTTCGATTACCCAGCTGCTTCCCTAGGATCGTCGCCGCCGAATGGAAGAAAGGAAGAGAAAATCCACATTTCATTGCACGTCACATGGATGTGTTTGATGCCATCTTTCCCGAACCACAGAAATATCAGCCGCTGTCAAGCCTGTCCTATCCCTCCATGGCCGTCTATGTTTCTTCTGATGGGAACCGGGGTAATGGTGCACGGTGGACTTCGACAGACGCTGTGTAAGAGGCTTGTGGTATTCTGCGGAATCCTGTAACCAGGGTGCGGCTGGGATGCTGCATGTCATGCTGTCGGCAAGCCCGGTCGAGTGAGGAACTTGATGTCACCACACTATGGTCTCAGACAAGAGCACCCTCTTCACGGAACTGACGAGGACGGGCACGAAGATTGGCGTGACGAGCATGTGTGTGGGCACGGCAATGTTAGTGTTTGGTTTTTTCACCTCTTGTAAGCTGCTTCTGGGATGGGATAACGGAAGTCAAAAAAGAAAAAACATGTACGTACATGCGCGGATACTAACGCATAACCTGCTCGCACGTCGCTAGAACCTTTTTTAGTCACTATTCCACCTCTCAGAATCGTTGCTCCCGGGAGTGCTCTCTTCCACCATATCCTCCCTCCTACGTCTCTCTACGATGGTGTAGGTACAGTATTCGCCACTTGCCACAGTGTGTTGTGCGAATCATAGCTGTGCTGTGCTGGACTGGACTGGACACGACAAGGAGTGTTGTCCTGAACTTATAGAGGCTAGATTCGATAGACTTGTCTAGATTCATCTATTCATCCATCCATCCCTCCATGTCATGTCATGTAACGTGCTCAATGTAGGAGAGAATACCCAGCAACAAATCAGTCAATCAGTCAAATTACTCAAGCCAGGTCCAGGACGACAGGTCACACGGGGAATGTACTTACTGTACACCACCACTCAGTACTTCCCAACGACAGAAACAGCAACGATAATAGAGAACAGGACAGGTCAAACACACAGACACACACACACACATGACACCGTCAGTCAATCTCGTGGTGAAGAAGAGGGATATCGTAGGAGATATGATATATATGTATCCTGGCTCCAGCACGTATATCATCAGGGCAGGTTACTTTATGGTTCAAATCACAGTTTGTCCCGAACCAGCTCTGTGAGAGAGATCTATGTATGTGTGTATGCGAGCCATCTGAGGTGATTCGTTCTTGTGAGGAATGTATGCTTTCTGAACGAGCCGCGTGTGCTAGCTCACCTCAACTCGCTATCAATTAGAAGGTGTCGATCAAATCCTCGCCTTTATCCTGGCCCAAGCTTAAGTCGAGCTGACTCACTGTGTCAAAATCCCGTAGTTTCTTTATTTTTCCCCTGTTAGAATGAATCCTTTTTAGCTCTCAGCGATTGAATCCTTTTATTCGACCCATATTACCAGCTATTCAGCCATTTGCTCGCACTCCACCATCATCGGTATCCATGTCCTGCTTGCTGAACAGCCCAAGATCGTATTCTTGATTTCATACCTCTCGCCTCATCGTCACTTCGACCCAACCAGCCAGTGCCTCTCGTCAGCCACATGGTCGACCTCCATGCCCGAACGCCAATGCCCCTTGTTCCAGAACCAATGGCTGACACTCGTGGCGTCCCATCTGCGGACGCAGATGCATACATACAAGAGAGGAAAAAAACAAACTAACGTGGACAGGGGTATGATCCGAATGCCCTTGACACAAGCCATCGGTACTGACCAGGAGCTCCACGATGTGATGTGTGTTGGGTCGCCGGGCAGTGCGCGATCCCGTAGTGTCGCTGCTTGATCTGGGCTTGGTCGGCCTCGCTGAGGAGCGTGCGTGTGCCAGCACCGAGTTGCGGTCGAACAGCCCGTGGTGCTCGTACAGGTCGGCTTCGCAGCTGAAATCCCGGTACTATCTCAGTGTGGCGTTGATGTCTTGCTGGGCCTTGCAGAAGTGGGTTTGGTTGGGATGCCGTGCCCCTCGCCGTAGACATGGGCGTCCTCATGGGCCAGTGTGCCGAGTTCTGTTAGAGACTTGGTCCAGTAAGTCCAGGGCCTCCATACGCTGGGAAAGAGTAGGAGTGTGACGGGTTTTTGGTTTCTTCAAAGATGCGATGGTATTGTCTCCAGGCCAGTAGATTGAGTGATATTGGCTCTTCGTTCCTGTAGGACGTCTCACATGAGCTTGGGGTATTCATCATATAGTAGCTTTGTGGCAGAGTTGCCCTCACATGTTGTCGTAGTATCTCGACATCTGAGTGATTCGGGGATTGGACGACCTGCAATCTTGGAACCGTTTTCCAAAGCTGCGCGCACGTCGACCCAAGAGCGCGTGGTAGCCGTCGTCGAATCCGATTATCCCGATTAAAGTCACTCTGTCGCCCAATCCCTTTTGCATGACCTTGTACATTCTTTGCACTAATTGTCGCTGATCGGTAGGAGTCCTGATTCGGTCACCAGATATCCTAACCGAGAATACCTCGTCGTATTGCGTCAAAGGTATTGCAACATTCAGCACAAAGGTTGCTTTGCTGTGCAGCGCTGTGCAGTGCTTTGCTCTTGCTAGATGTCTGCTGTCTCGAATGCTGATGTGGGACAAGATGGTGCATGTTCTCAAAAATGAATTGTGTCCCCCTTCTCAGCAATTCTGAGTAACCCACCTGGGTTCTGGCACTGTGAGAACTGGAAGGGGTCAAGCGGTACGAGACGCTCTGTGCAGGTCATTATGATGCTGAACGTGGGGAATCACGTCTCTCTTCCACGAATTCGACTTCTGGGCTCGCAGACAAGGAGGATGCGGATCGGGAAACGAAAGCACTCGTGTCGATCGACACATCGGCAATCAAATCATTCGTATCGGACTCTGACTCGTCTGTGTTCGAGAGATCGATGGCCTCGGGTGGCTGTGGTCGTTGACCGAAGGGGGGGCACGCCTACGTTCTGCGTTACGGATACGTGCTTCGTCTTGTTTCTGTGTACTTGCTCCTCGTCTTAAACTCGTCGGTCATCTCCTCGGCGCGGTCTCTCGATGCTGAATTCAGGAAGTTGTTCAGAGCAATAGTGCCTGCAGGAGGCATGATCAACGCTCTTGCGAGGGCAGAAATGTCATGTAGGCAAGAAATCGCCGTCGTGCGCACAGTGGTCCAACTCAATCACGGGTCGGACGTTGATCAACGGTTCTGAAACAAAAGAAACAAAGCTGGAAGATGTGTCCGGGGCGCAGTCAACCCATCTTGTTTGGGGGCAACAGTCGTGGAGTTGCACGGCCGTCTCTCGCCAATCCGGCAACTTATATGTGAAATAATAGTTCACAAATAGTCATCTGGGTTCAATAGAGTCGTCGCCGTCCGGGCTGCACGAACAGGCTGCGTTTCATTCTTCAACACTCGTTATCCACATACAATGCTCTAGCTGAGGCGGGCACATCCCTCAATACCTCCTTGATCGTTCTATCGGTCGCCAGCCATGGGAGCCGCAAACACCATTCTCCAACTCGGCCCAAAAGTCAGAGTAAGCCCCCATAAGAATCCAGTCCTCCGCTCTTCTGCGTACACGGAGGCATGACATGGGCTGCATCACCACAGAGTACTACTCTTCCCACGGCCCATTTGTTGCAGCTTCGGGCTGCCACAGTGAAAGACCTCGATGGCAGAACATGGATGCAATCAATTAAGTATTGAACAGAATCTTTCACACTGTTCGGCAGCGTCTAAGCGAGGGGCAGAGACACGACACCATGAGGACTATGCAGACTTACCCGTAATCCGCGCCTGGATGAGTCAAGTATGGTAGGACGAATTCAGAAGCCCTTTCCCAAGCAGCCATTTCATCTGGATCCTCTCCCTTTTCTGACCAGCATCCTGAATCGAATGTCCGGGGCAACGTTCTCAGCGCAATCCAGGTCGAGATGAGAGTATATCGGGTCCGGTGTTAGTTTTGGGCTCTGGGGAGGAAGGTAAGGTCAATCACTTCAACCTCCTCCTTCTTCATTTTGAGGTTCTTATCCCCCAGAGAAATATCTCGCAGTGCATTTGATAGCGTCTCTGCCGGATCGTTCTCCTTGCCCGAGCCTTGATGATCACCAAAGGTAAGGCGCCATCGAGTTGGCGATCCACGGTGCAGCCTTCTTCGCGGACGTTTTGGAAACTTTTATTGTCGGCCTTGTAAAATCATCATCGGCCGAAATTGACGCTGAAGACTCATGGGAGCCTAGTTCCGCGTCGTGTCAACAATAAAGCCACTCAGGTCTGTGTCTTTATCCTCGTCGTCCGTCCCTGCCTCAATCTCCGCCATCGTCGTTGCATCACCCTCCTCAAGGAAAAATCTGCTCGCAGGGTTGTCACCCCTCTAAGGAGCAGTGTGTTCAGGGAGTGAGACTCTGGTGCAGCGGATGATCTCTGCTGGAGCAGACTTGGATCGGTGCTCGTCTGGGAGATGGGGCGCTACCGCACTTCAACGGCCTGCTGAACGTGGGTTCGGTGCCATCTTCGACATCTTGCGCAGCGCCGGTGCTAAACTCGACTCTTCCTCGACTTCAAACCGTGCAACGACAATTCTTCAAGGATTTGTCAGACACCATGACTACGAGCGGTCTTTTGGCCTGCTGAGAAACGGCGTGTCTCCAAACGGGAAGTGTGAAGCTGGCTCTTCGCCGCTGGCGGCCTGACTGCCCTGTATCTGGTGGTTGCAATCAAGCATACGAGCATTGTCGAATTGTTACTTGAGCAAGGGGCCGATGTCTATGCCATTTGGCGCCGGAGGAGCTTTTCAGCCTCAGTATCATGGATTATGGCTTCATCCGGAAATTCGGACCTGGAAATCACGAAGATCTTGCTTCAGCATGGTGTGGATCCTTACATGGGCGTTCTTGGCATCGACGAGAAGCAGGCGAGCGAAAAGCGTCCAAACAAAGATTGGGTTGCACTTGAGGAAGCATGTTGGCGTGAAGACGTCCAGATGGTCGGCGCTAGTGGATCTATTCTATCAACCGCCTACTCTCCCCCTGGTGACCCTCGCTCAGCGCGTGGAGAGATGATGACAGGTTGAAATGGCCTCGAAAGCTGCATGTCTTGTGCACAAATCATGGTTATCATGGTGTCCCATTGCGCTTGTAGACGTCCTTCTGCGCCTGGTCGTGCAGAAAATCATCCTGAGAAGGAACCGGAAGGATGTAAACTTCCGAGAACTCGTTCGGGATATGGACAGCACCGGGCGGAGTACTTGTGTGCGCCGTTTATGTCAATCTCGTCATGGACCTAGAAGGTGTATTGTCTCGAGCTGACCTAGATACCACGTGGTTGGCACGCGGCAGTTGTACGCATAGTGCTCAGCCTCCTTTTCGGCCTCTTTCTCTTATTTTGCCTCGTCGCTGCTCTTCCATGGCTTTCCACCGGGAATATACTTGGTATCAATCTCTTCCGGTGTTCGGCCCTGGCCTTCAACAACAAAGAAGTACACCAGGGGGATGGCGACCAGGTTGCAGCCAGCGAAGACGTAGCCGTAGAGGAAGTCGATATCTCCGATGATGAAAGGTGTGCAGAAGGCGATGGGTCAGCTCCACAGCCAGTTTGAGGCGGTAGACATTGCCATGCTCTTGGCCCGGTATCTTGATGACGGATACATTTCACCGCACCAGGAACACAAAACCCTCACTGCGACCGCAGATTCTCGCGCTTGGACAACCTACGCCAGCATGCTCAGACCGTGCGGGTCAACGAGGAGATCCCCACCGACTGCTCTCCCTCGCCTTGACATACTCTGTCCGTGGCCGCTTCTTGCTTTGTGCGTTGTTGTACTTCTGAATTGTGTGAAAATCCATTTCTTTTGTCGAGTACTGGAGATCCGACGCGACCCTGGTGATCCCGCGACCTACCTCCGCCTCGTGTGAATAGTACCATCAGTATTCGATCTCATTGATCAACGTCTCCGTCTCCACCGCCATGATATGGAGGATGAGGAGGCTCTTTAGAGCGCCGCTGCTAACAAGACTCAGAAGTTCAGAGGTGGGTCGTGAGAGACCGACGGAGAGCGAAGAGGTCGGCTCAGAGAGGGGGAAGAGGCGGAAGCTGGAAGAGAAGACACGATGCAAACACGGTCCTCATCGAGCAAGACCGCTTTGAGGGCGCCGAAGAAATACACATCTGCACGGGAGTCAGTCCGGTGAATTCCCCATCACTCGACCGGCCAAGAGGAGGCGTGAAAATGGACATGTGCCCAACTCAACACAAGTTCAAGACGGCACGCAGAACGAGCTCGTGAAGGTGAATGGTGATGCATATTCGCTTGCTGCAAGTCCAGATGGTCGAACCCTGGGCTCTGGGAACACTCGTGGGACGATTCATCTCTGGGACTTTGAGACCCTTTGCTCATGATACTCGATAAAGAGTCGCCTTGACGAGGGACGGAGACTCTCCACTATAGGGCATGCTCATTGCGCCATTTCGGAAACTCCCAAGTGGTAAGCCCAGAAAAGTAAGAATGATAAGTCATTTCACAGGTCCCGCACTCCCATAGTAGACTTCATCCATTCACTCAATGAACTTCAAGAAGCAGATTAAAGATTTCCCATCCGATCCACCCCGCAGCGTTCACGGATCCGAAAGATGCACAGCGAGAGAAGGAGCGAAGAGGAAGAACCGGCCAGTCTACTCCATCTAACTAGATAGACGCCGATATCTCGATATTCAGGTCGCAGGTCATGTCTTCTCCTCCTGCAAAGGCGAACGATTCTCTGACGCAGGGTCTGAAACCATATGCTTTGGATTGCGAGATGGTTCTGACAAGCGATGGAAAGCATTCCCTTGCGCGCGTCTCTGTCCTTGGCTGGGTCGGCCGAACTGTGGTGGACAGGTACGTCAAGCCGGCGCTAGCCATCGGGAATTACTTCACAGAAGTCTCTGGCATAACTGGAGAAATTCTTGAAAATGTCCCGCCGACGTCGACGTTGCCCGGTACGTAAACGCCGCAAATGACGGCTCTTTGGGGCGGGAGTCATGCGTGTCATTGCGCAGCCGATGGGTGGATGCATCCGCAAGCATTCGATCTCGGTGGGTTCGAGGGGGCTCAGTTTGTTCAACATCGAGAAGGGAGAGGAGTCCCGGCGTCCAAGTTGTCCGGGAACATCTCGTCGAGCTGATGAATGATGCGATTCTTCACCGATGGGTTCTTGCTGAAATAATAAGTCATCCAGTTCATGGTAATGCTCCCTGTGCTGGCCCCAGCAACCATCAACGAAGAGGCCTGAGCTCTGAGCTCTGGAACGTCCATTCGTCCGCCAGGTTTTGGGTGCTGTGCCTCGATGAAGCGCTGCATGATGTCTTGACTCTGCTTGCCACCAAGTGGCATTCGGCAACGGTTATCCTGATAACGTTTCGCCAGTGCCTGTCTGGCATACTCCAAGTATTCAAGTCGCGCTGTGTACAACTGCTGAATGTACGGCCATGGCACCATGCTGAGTATTCTCACGTTGTATTTGCCGAAAGGGAGCATGCCGCTGAGAGTGGTAAAGATGACCTCACCGACACTGATCGGGCACTCCGTGGGCGCGAAGGTCGCCATAACGCCGCGCTAAAGGGCGACTTTAGCACGTACCTAGAGGCGATAAAGGAGATTGACGAGATGAGGCCGCTGCAACCGGCGGAGCGACGCGGACAAGAGCCTCTCGAAGTATGAGCCGGAGCTGGCAATCCGGCAGTTCCTGCTGACAAACCTGGTCACAATGCCCGTTGTACGCGGTACCCCGGGGCAGTAGCAGCAGCAACACGGAGCAGCAAAACGGAGCAGCAACACGGAGCAGCAGGAGCAGCAGCAGCGGCAGCAGCAATAGCAGTAATAGCACCAGCAACAGTAGCACCAGCAACAGTAGCACCAGCAACAGCAACAGCAACAGCAACAGCAACAGCAACAGCAACACGGAGCACGCAAGGAGAAACACCACGAGACGGCGCTGCGCTTCCGCATCAAAAAGGGATCCCAAAGACGATAATGCCAACGACTCTACCATCACCCGCCGTTGGCTTTGGCCGCGATTGGGACAGTGACTGCGAGATGGTGACATTGTGCTCACTGAGACAGGACGCCAAACTATAGCGTATTTGAGACAAGATTCCCCAAAACTGTGATCAACATCAGCCCGATCCTATCGGGAAGCATTGGATATGCGACCGGTGCGTGCCAGAGTCCAGCATTGGCCACCAAAGAGCTGGGTGGTAACCGTCGGACCATCCTCTTCACCGGCGATGGCAGCTTCCAGCTCACTTGCCAGGAAGTAAGCACGATAGTCCGATTCCTCAGAACAGTATCAAGCCGTGCCAGTCCTTTCCCGGCGCCTTCACGCATGTCGCGACCAGATTGCATCGTCGAGCACGGTGTTCTTCTCGCCTGTTCCTTGCCTGCCCCTGCCGTATTGCTTCCGTTGTTGCCAGTATGGCCGGGCTTGTTATGAGGACAATAACCGTCGAGAGCACCATTTTCGCCCGGAGGGATGCGTGAGACTGTATGGGTTTTTCAGATTTGGCTCGTCTTGCTGTGCACCTGGGCCTGGGACATCGGAAGGTATTCGAGGGCAATGCTCCAACAATGATTTGGTGGAGAAGGTACGAGAGCCGGGCCAGGATGGCAGAAAGCTGGTTCGATCGTCCTTCCGCGTCCCTGTCAATCCGTTCAGCAGAGATACCTGCGCAAGATATTTCCCTGTCAGGCCGGTGTATTCATGCAGACCTGTAGCCTCCACGGTCTCTCTGATCGAGTGGAAGGGAATCAGGAAGATGGAATCGCTCTGGGCACGTGTCGAAATTTTGTATTTCGGGGATGAGCATCGCGGAATCATGGATGGCACATCATTCAGCGAGAGCCTGTACGTGTAGGTGCGCACTGGGGCATGGTAGGACACAACCACCGACGCGGCAGTTGGTCGAGCACAATGGCGCCGGACCACTGACACTGAGCCTAGAAGGGGCTAATGGTGGGTGATTCAAGGCTGATAAAAGACTGGCCAAAAATAATAGTGAGAGGCGTCACCAGCTGAGGCGAGCAGAAGGCAGTGTCTGTGTGTCTGTGTGTCTGTGTCTGGAGGTGAAAGTTGCAGCCGCAGTCGCAGTCGCAGTTACAAGGCCGGAATCGGGAACTCAAGGTGACATCGGCGCTTGTGGCTCCGTCTCTGTCTGAGTCTCAGTCTCACATGCCAAACACAACAAACTTTTTCTTCGCCTTTTCCTCTCTCTCTATTTACACAACACCAACAACTTGCTCCCTTTTCCCCTTGTGATGTCTTGCTTTTTTGGAAGCCCCGAACCCGTTGTTGGTTCTTTCGGTACCCTTTCGTTGTGGGTAGAAGGCGTCTCTTTTCTGAGCTGAGAACTGTTGATGACAGCCACTAGATGGCTCCCTTTTCTCGCTTGTCTCGTTCTCAAACAGCATATGTGCTTCAATTGTTGGATTCCATCGTCTGTGGACAGTCTTTCTTTGGGGCTTACTCGTTGCACTCTACGTGATCAAGGACACATTGTTATCCATAGACGAGAAGATGATGGCAGAATCTACGCTATGTGACACCCTGTCCGACGTCCCACGTCCTGCGTACAGTGTATCTCAGATCTGTCTATCCGTCTCCCTCAGTTGCTGATCTTAATTCTATATTCTGTCTCATTTGTGTGGTCATTGCTTGTGGTCTTCGTCTTATCGACTCATCCTTCCGCGTCCTATCTTGACTTTCGACAAGGATTCCATTTTGATACTCCGTCAGGACCTTGCACAAGCTCGTTTTGTTGTTTATCGGCACTCCCCATCATCTCTTCCACCAATACTGGCCTCACATCCCTCTTGCAAATATATCTGGATTCAACCGTGTCTTCGAGAACTGCCAACCGAGAGCGATAGGCAGCTCCACGACCTGATCACGCCGAAAGCCTGAAGGCGGTACCTGGCTTACTCGCTTCAGCTCGTCTGGACTCGAAATGAGATGTCCGACACATGCATGAAGACGTGATGAAAGGGAATGTTTTCCACGGTTGTGGACATGGAATGACTGTCCGATAACCAAGTTTTTGCGTTACGGCAGTTAAGCAACGACAAGTCTCACGGTATATCGGTGGAAGGGTGGCTTATTACGGGTAAGGCCAAACGAAACACCCTTCCTCTCCCAGACGCTGGTCTCTGCTCAGGTTCACTTCGGACATCGCAGTCTGTTGCATCTATCCCACAAAGCGGCCGTGAACCATTGCAGCAGAGCTATCATAAGCACTCAGCGCCCACCACGTCATTTTCCGGATGTTTTCGTCTCGATCCCAATCAAACGGGTTGGAATTGGTCGTGTCAAAGTGGACCTCTCGATGCATATTGAGTTGCTGAGCCAGTTTGGCGCCTACGCCCAGGACCGAAACGAAAGATCAAGTGCTCCGTGGTAGATGAATACGCTACCTATCAATAGCGACGTTTGGACGGCGGTAACACTTTCTTGAGAAATGATGGTTGAGTAGGTGCTCCTCACCGTCTCGAGACAGGTCTGGGTGATTACGTCCAGCTCGGCAGAATCGGGTCTCCTCCCGATCTAAGGGGACAAAGCACCGTTTCTCTGTGTATACTTGGCACCCATGGCAATCATATCAGAGTCAACATCAAAAAGCCATAAAGATGATCAACTCCAAGATGGTTGACTGCAATACAATCTACGAGTGGCAGCGGAATCCAGGACGACCTCGTTTGCTGTGGGTGGAAGAGTACAAGGTGAAAAATGTCTGGAGTCAGGTCGGGCGCCTGAGGATCCTATTCCAGTGTCACAAGATGCATTCGCAGCGCAGTCCATGGATCTTTGCCCTTATTTGCTGACAGAATCTCAAAGAAGAGCTTCCCCGTATACGTTCCGAAGTGCCGCCGATCACGTGATCGTCCAACGACATGCGAGAGTTCCATCGACGCATTCCACGACATCTCCCCAGCGCTGCGGCGTGCAGGCTCCTTATACTACCAGGACCTTCCTGAGTCGTATACTACCGTGTTTTCGAGAGGTGCATCTCGTCCGGGCAAGGAACGGTCTTTTGGACATGCCAAGAGCGCCGAATGGGGCGGGAAAGTCGACTTTTACTGGGCATTCCGCTGAGCCGTCAGTCCACCGACACATTGCAGCTCGATTTAGCACTTTGGTTAGTAATATAACGGCGGTGCTAACGTTTATACAGTCGAAAAGATCGAAACGGACCGCTTCTGAGCTGGGAACGGACTGAAAATAGTCTCGTTTTGTGCCGATCCGACATACGCCGAGCTCGACCCCCATCCAAAATCATAACCACTGATGCCCACGACTTCGCGAGTGAGATATAGCTAGAGAAAGAAAAGATTATCTTCAGCAGATATGTGAGACGGAAGAAGATATAGGTTTGCGCGGACGGTATCGTTTTCAGCGCCCCGTGAAAAACGCCGCCAAAAAAAAAAGGTTTTTCGCGTCCCGACTGTCCCCCGTGCTGATATTATAGACTCAACCGTAACGGGCTCCTTTGCCACGCTAAGCGCGATCTCCTGAGTATATTTACGAAGCGCCCAGCTCAGATACCGCTACTCTAGAGCCATCGACGCTAGCAAATCCGGTCACGGCGCGACGACGCGATTGTCCACCAACCAAGCCCTGGACACGGGAGTCGAGTATATCGCTGAGTTCTCCTACTCTGTCGCTCCCTTGGATAACAATCAGAATGCGAATCGGATGCGAATTGACGAAGTTGGATTTTTCACCCCCGTCGATTTTTTGGCGAAAATTTCATCCGCCGAATTTTGACCCCGGAATAGCGCCATCGTGACCGGCGTGTCGCAGAACGTATAGAACCATACGAAACATTACGCTCCGGGGCGTGGTGCGGACGTGGGAATGGTTTTCGTCGCGACGGGGGGCCCTCTTGGCACCCGGGGAGGTCTCGATGAATTAGCACGTGGGAGGTATATAAGACGTCGTGCTATGATGGGAATGACGTAAAACGCATATAATTATACTTGAAATCGATCTCCGGGGCGTGATGCGGACGTGGGAATGGTTTTTGTCGCGCCCGGGGTCCTTCTTGGCACCGAGACAGGATTCGGTCAATTGGCACGTGGGACGTGTACAAGACGCAATATCATGACGGGAGTGGCGTAAAACGCATGTAATTATACTTGAAATCGCTCTCCGGGACATGGTGCGGACGTGGGAATGGTTTTCGTCGCGACGGGGGTCCCCCTTGGCACCGGGGGCGGATTCGGCGAATTGGCATATGGGACGTGCTTAAGAGGTCGTGCCATGACGGGCGCAACGTAAAACGCACGGGAATATAGTTAAAGTCGCTCTCCGGGGCGTGGTGCGGACGTGGGATAGTTTTCGTCGCGCCCGGGGGCCTCCTTAGCACCGAGATAGGATTCGGCGAATTGGCACGTGGGACCTGTATGAGACACCGTGCCATGACGGGCGCAACGTAAAACGCACGAAGATATGCGCGAAATTGCTCTCCGGGTTATGGTGCGGGCGTGGGAATAGTTTTTATCTCGCCGCGGGTCCCCCGGACACCGGATAGGTTTCGGGCAATTAGACGAAGTAGGAAGGCGAAGCTGTCGAAGTGACGTTAACGCTAGTGCTATTAGACGTCCTCGGGGTAGCGGCAGGGCAAAAGGTTATTGGAGGAGACGCTCTAGGGTGTCAGGCGATAGAAGACCTCTTAGTTATATTTAGGTGGTTCGGTGATGAGTTGATTTTGACCAAGAGACCGTGTCACCCGGGAAGCAGGGCTGTTACAATGACTGTTACAATACGCTTCCCGGCCGACAACACCCCATGGGGTGAACGGCCCCCAATGCCAAGTCGGGCCCCAATGCCAAGACAGACCCCAATGCCAAGACGGACCCCAATGCCAAGTCTGCCCCCAAAGGGTATACACAGAAGAGATAAATAGGACCTCTATTCTCGCACTGCTGGAGAGACCCTCAACAGTGCGAGAAGTCGATGTCTCAAGGACAGCTTAATAAAAGAATCAAGATACGTGTTCAACCCTCTGACTCTTCGTCTAACGATCCCACCCCCAAAGCTCTCTGACAGCTATGATGGCTACCGCGATAGCTATCACGATCGCTGCCTGCTTGCAGAGTGAACCCGACCCGACTCGGCTCGGCTGGATTGACATATCAGCTCCTGTCACTCTCCGAATACCTAACGGATACACCCGTTCGTCCGCATCTTTCCAGCTCGCGCGAACCCAATATTTAGTCCAGAATCTTTTCATCTTCTGCGGTTTGATAGAAATATCTATCTCCCTCCGAATTGCTGTATCGCCATAGGTTCCTTTAGAGATTTTCAAGAAAGGAAGATTTCTTGATGGTGTCTCTCCGAACGCGAAAGTCTCCCGAAAAATCGACTCTGGGACACCAGTAGCATCCCGTTCCCACACCTCCCACAGTATCTTCGTTGCCCCAATCACCTTGGCGGTACCGTACCAAATCACACCGGTTATCTCGTCTATTCGAAATTCCTGAGAGACTTCGGTCGATACCGGAGATTTGAATGTTGGCGTTTCGGTCATTTTGATTAGAACAACGCGTTGAACATTAGCGTTATTATTCATATAGAACGGAGCGAGACGTCGGAGCTCTGAGAGAGATTGAGTCTGGCTCACTTCGATAATCGTATGAATTCTATTATCGTTCATACTCTTACTCCATTCGATAAATAAGTCGGGTATTTTTTGCGCTGATACGTAGTCTCCTGTGACCATTCTGATAGCTGAACCCTGCTTGACTGATATCTTATCCATAAGAGTGGATGTTAAGCTTAATCGAGTACTCTGTGCGAGTTCCGCAAGGAATTCAAGGACGGCCTGGTGTCTTTCGCTTGGAGGAGGTATAATAGTAATAAGAGAGACCGAGCTATCGAAGAAATCCCGAAATAATTTCCTAAGAAATGTCAGCGCGCCGCCAAAGGAAGAGGAGTCTGGGATCTTGAGGTACCGTACTGTCACCCGGGAAGCAGGGCTGTTACAATGACTGTTACAATACGCTTCCCGGCCGACAACACCCCATGGGGTGAACGGCCCCCAATGCCAAGGCGGCCCCAATGCCAAGACAGACCCCAATGCCAAGTCGGACCCCAATAGGTATACACAGAAAGAGATAAATAGGACCTCTATTCTCGCACTGCTGGAGAGACCCTCAACAGTGCGAGAAGTCGATGTCTCAAGGATAGCTTTATACAATACAGATACGTGTTCAACCCTCTGACTCTCCGTCTAACGATCCCACCCCAAGGCTCTCTGACACGTACCTTTCTGTACACAGGGCAAAGTTAGAGTCTTCTTGCAGTTTCAACCACGACTCTCGAGAAATGGTGAATTTGATGGGTTCGTCGTCTGGCGTGAGAGGAAGTTTGTGTAAGACGACGTCTTCTGCGAGTTTGAGCACTTCCTGTAATTGATCAGAGTGAGTGGGTAGTGGCTGAAGATTCGACTGTTGTGGTGATGATGGCTGCGGCGCGCAGGACGTGTTACCATCGGAAGAAGAAAGCGAGCCGGGCGCCTGGCCAGGAGCGCTAGGCTTCTGCGCGTTGTTTGAGCGTGAATTCATCCTGTGAAGGCTGTGGCACATATATCACATCAGATGGTGAAGATAGTAAGGCAGTGCGAGGGCGGACGCGTCTTTTGTGTGCGGAGGCAGTTGTATCCGGTCGAGTACTTTGCATATTCATGTATAACAACGGTGGAGCAGGAATCACCTCAAGTGCATAATGTACCAAAGCCTTTGTTGATACTGGAGGCAGATCCACCAGAGAAGCCTTTGTTGATACTGGAGACAGATCCACCACAGAAGCCTTTGTTGATACTGGAGACAGATCCACCACAGAAGCCTTTGTTGATACTGGAGGCAGATCCACCACAGAAGCCTTTGTCAAATCGCTGCAAATAAACCCAACCGGGGCTTTGTCGACTGCAAACGGATGAGCAGTCCCTGCCTTGATGACAGGGAGTCCTTGTAGCAGTCACTGCCTTGGCGGTAGGGCGTCTTTGTTGATACTGTCAGCAGATCCACCAGGGCTGCTTTGTTGATCGGACACGGATGCATAGCAGTCTCTGCCTTGATAACACGGTGGCTTTGTGGATTGCACTGCGATGCCTGCAAACAGACCCAAGTAGGGCTTTATTGGCTGCACAGGGACTCACTCTCTCTTGATGACAGGGTGGCTTTGTGGATTGTACTGCGACACACTGCAAACAGACCCAAGTTGTCACCAGGGAAGCAGGGCTGTTACAATGACTGTTGCAATGCGCTTCCCGGCCGACAACACCCCATGGCTGTTACATTGGCTGTTACAATGTGTCACCCGGGCTTCCCGCCCGGCAACACCCCATGGGGCGATTAGGGCGAGTGGCCCCCACAAGGTATACACAGAAAGAGATAAATAGGACCTCTATTCTCGCACTGCTGGAGAGGCCCTCAACAGTGCGAGAAGTCGATGTCTCAAGGACAGCTTTATACAATCAAGATACGTGTTGAAACCCTCTGACTCTCCGTCTAACGATCCCACCCCAAAGCTCTCTGACACTGCTGCTGCTCCTTCTGCTTCTGCTTCTTCTTCTGCTGCTGCTGCTGCTGATGATGATGATGATGATGACGATGCCGCTGCCGCTGCTGCTGATGATGATGATGATGATGACGATGCCGCTGCCGCTGCTGCTGCTGATGCTTCTTTTGCTGCAGCAGCTGTAGCTACTTCTGCATCCGTATGTGTATGTGCGTATGTTTCTGCTTCTGGATCTGCTGCCGATGCCGTTAATGACTGACGGAGTCCTGTTCGTCCGTGGGTCGTGCAAGACGACATACATACGTACGCCCTCCTCCCCTCCCCTCCGTCTGCTCTGGCATTTCCAGACAATATCTATCCTTTCGTGCTTGCCCATCATGGGATTGAACTCCCTGAGCCGTTCAGGACTCGAACACTCAAGGCGGAAGAGAAATCTCCTCGAGGCGCTCCCTCCCACCCCCCTTCCCCTACTTTCGAAAGCTTCCTGGCCATCAGGACACTCCCAACACATCCCTTGAGCCTCTCCTAGTGCTCTTCATCCTCGTTCATAGCGTTCTGCACATGTCCTCACACGCTAACGGGTCGAAAGCCCTTCGGATGCCCGCGGAGGGGGCCCTCGAGACGGTAAAATACACTCCCACGCCCGCACCACATCCCGGAGAGCGATTTCGCGTATAGTTCCGTGTACTTTGAGTCACGCCCGTCATGGCACGGCGTCTTAGAACGCCCTCACGTGCCAATTGGCCGAAACCTACCCCGGTGTCCGGGGGGACCCTCGGCGCGACAAAACCCCTTCCCGCGTCCGCACCACGCCCCGGAGAGTAATATTTCGTATGGCTCTGTGCGTTTTGCGACACGCCGGTCACGATAGACTTATTCTGGAGTCGGAATTCGGTGGTCGACTTTTGGCCCCCACGCCGGCGAGGTCGCAAAAAATCAACTTCGTCAATTCGCGTCCGATTCGTATTTTGATTGTTGTCCGACGTAGCCGTCGGCCATAGAAGTGCAGTAATGTATTCGACTTAGGCGTCCGGAGCGTAGCTGGTGGATAGTCGCGTCGTCCGCTACGAGCGGATTTGCCAGCGTCGACGGCTATGTAGCGTTCAAATACCGGGCGGGTGCTTCAGAAATATACTTAGGAGATTGTCCTGAGCGTGGCCAACAAGCTCAATATAGTTTTGCCTGTGATATCAGCAAGCGACAGAGTACAATCGCGAAAAATCCTTTTTTTTTGGCGGCGTTTTTGAGGGGGCGCTGAAAACGATTGCGTCCGCGCAAACCTGTATCTTCTTCCGTCTCACATATCTGCTGAAGATGATCCTCTCTTTCTCTAGCTATATCCCACTCGCGAAGTCGTGGGCATCAGTGGTTGTGATTTTGGACAGGGGTCGAGCTCCGGGTGTGTCGGATCGGCACAAAACGAGACCATTTCCGGTAGGTTTCCAGCTCAGAAGCCATATATTTCTGCATTTTCGATCCTGTCGACATAGAGACATCCGTTATCTTGCTTATTCAAGTGCTGAATAGTAGTATAATATGTCGGTTGACTGGTGGCTCGGAGGAATACCCCGTAAAATTCGACTTTCTTGGCCTGTTTGGCGGTTTTGGCGTGTCCCAAAGCCCGGTCCTTGCCCAGAGACGTATGATCCGGGCGTGTGATAATGTGAGATGCGGTAAGGGCCTGATAGTGCAAGAAACCGGTGCACTGGGCACAGTGTGGCGGAAGTGTCGTGGAATGTGTCGATGAAACTCTCGCACGAAGTTGGACGATCACGTGACCGGGGCACTTCGGAATGTATACGGAGGAGATCTGCTTCGAGAGTCAGTGAGCAAACAAGGGCAAAAAGAGTCCACGAGCTTGTGCGCCGAATTCACCTTGTGAGACTGGAATGGGATCCCTGGGCGCCCGACCTGATCTGGTCCGACCCTGTCGTCCTGATGCGTATTCACGTCCTGGTTCCAGCTCAGAAGCGGTCCCTTCCAATATTGTCGACTGTCCAGACCTTGACACCGCTGTTATAACCCTGGCCCAAGTGGTCAATGGCGCTGAGATGTGTCGGTGAGCTAGTCGTGCGGAGAAATGCCCGGCAAAAGTCGACGTTCCAGCAAAAGCTCAAGTTCGCTGTTCACTCACAAGTGTTGGCCGACCTGCCCAATGGCCATCACGAAGAGGTGCACTGAAAGTCGTAGCTGCATCGGCAGGTGTGCAGGCAGTAATCAAGGTTACGCTGAGAGACAAACTCGAGAACCGGGACAAATTGCCCAACTTACAGGATGCATTGTCGAAGAAAATACATCAGGTGTGATAACATATGGGGGATTTTCTCACCGTCGTTGAAGGTTTCTGATAGCATGATCTTCCTCGTGATCAGCTTGAGCCATCGAGTCGTAGATGGCATTGGCGTTGAATTGTTCGAAGTAACCACCGCGTTGGGGACCCCGACGGTATATAGACCCAGGACCGAAAGTGCAAAGACAGCCACGACAAAGAGGATTCTGTCGGGCTTTTCTGGTCCCCAAAGTACGTTGCTTTCTGAGTGAAGCGCTGGCTGAGCGGTTGTGCCAGTAAAGGTGGACAAACTGCCATGCTTCTGGTAGAGACAGATACCGAGACATTGGGGATTTTCGGGGAACTCTCGGGGAACTCTCGGGGAACTTTCGGGGAACTTTCGGGGGATTATTCGGCTCTCGATTCCTGCGTCTGCGCATTGACAATCACCCTTTGCACGCCGCTGCCCACCAACTTGACTTCCCAGAACTTCATCCCAACACCATCAACCTGTTCGTTGAACAGCCTCAACCCCGCCGCTCTGTGACGGTGAAATCATCTGTGAGTAGCCTCGCTTCCAAGTTGTGGAATTGTGGGAGCCATGGGAGTTGTGGCAACCGTGAAAACGGATCGCAGGATCCTACCATCGTGCCTGGTGAGTCAGTGATCTTCTCCTGTCTTCGGGGCACTCTCTCCTGCCTCTGCCTTAGGCCCTGAAGGCCTGCTGGCGTCGGATGGGAAAAGGCGGATCGTGGCATCACAGACCCTGGTCACACTGAACTCTTCTCCTCACCTCGAACCTCTCTCCTCGAAGGATTCCTCAGCCCTTGAAGGCTCTGCTGGCGTTGGACATAAAGGACGGAACTGTGGCATTGCAGCCCCCAATGAGAGTCGCAGTCAAGGTCAGCTGGCAAGACCCAGTGGGCAGCCATTCGTCGCGGCCAGTCGAGCACAGGTCTCTGTGACTACCAGCATACCTATACAGTCTGTGGGCGGCGATGGCGACGTCCCTGGTGGCCGGCAGGCAATCCTCAAAACCACCCTCAAGACCAAATGCAAGATCACCTTCAAGACCACCCCAAGCTCACCCACAGGGCCACCTCCAGGTTGCAGAATCACCATCATCTCCAAGGCCCCCTCCGGAGTGCAGAATCAGCTGTAGGACCACCTCCAAAGCCACCTCCAGGATGCAGAATCACCTGCAGAATAATCTCCAAGACCACCCCATGATCACCTCCTGGCTGCAGCATCAACTTCAAGACCACCCCCAGGGTCAGCTCCAGGATGCAGGACCGCCTCAGAATTTTTTTTGTTGTTTTGTTTGCAACCCGTTAGGGTTGCCGCGGTAACCGACCCAGCATTTACTGATAACTTTATCACAACGTCAACAACAACTATTCATCAAACAGTCTCAATCTGCTCGTTTGGCGACATCCATTGCGTTTGTGGTAACTCTTCCTCAGAATCCCCGGTGTGCTGAGTTGTGAAACCGCGAAACTAACTGATTTACAGGGCCCTCGAATCGCGCATCGATACTCTGAACCCTTCTCCTCTCCTCTCTCCTTTCTTCACCCACTCTCGAAGCAATCCTCGGCCCTTAGAGGCCCTGCTGGCGTTGGAAAGAAAGGTGGAACTGTGAAACTACAGACCTTGGTCAGACTCACACCCAAAGTGGGCAGTCAATCGTCGCGGTTAGTCCAGCGGAGGTCTCTGTGACTACCGGGCACAACAATACCTATTTCCCGACAATACTCAAGGGCTTTGTTGGCGGCGATAGTGCCGGTCCTGGTGTCCAGCAGGCATCTCAGGGATCACCTGCAGGAGCATATGCAGGACCACCTCCAGGCCCATGGAGCCCTTGAGGAGCCCCAATGGGCTCACACCTCAGTCTATTGCAATGTTTCCTCGTGAAACCAAGTTACATCCATAGAAAAGCCATTACACACATATTTTCTGTTTTCTGACAACGGGGCGAGATGACAAGGGCCGTCTTGCGAGGTCTTTTTTCGTCAAGCAGACAACAAGCCATTTACTTACTCATTCCATGATTCGGTGTGTTGTTCAACTTGGGGGTACCACAACAACAGAGCCACCAGTTCCAAATTTCCCAAATCATCAAATTTCAGGAGGCTGGTTCTGACCTTGGTGTTGAAAACCAATAGCTCGTCGTATCCGGTCATTCTGAGATATTGCTCGAGCAACCACACCAAACACTCTGGGCGTGGCCCATCCACTGTCAAACCTCATCGTCATCTTGCAGAAGATTTGCTTTGGTATTAACTTGGCCCGTCTCCGTGTTCACATCCTGTGACAGTAAGCAGACCATTCCTATCCTTTGTTGGGAGCATGTGGCTAATATGCACCAGAAATCGTGTCATCGGAGACCTGGAGCCCTTTATTTATGCTGAGATGCTTGTGACGATAGACGTGGCTCGGGTCTGTGGACTTGGCTCTACCAGGCTGGGCTCGTCCGGACAGATCCATCCCCGATCCATTCCTCCAGGTTTTCGAAGTGTGTCCGCATGTTCTCTGCCCGGGTTGATTATGCTCTCCCTGATCAGAATGGCTTCTGAGAGAGGGCACCTCTCTTACTCCAAGTCCTATTACCTCGTCAGGTTATATCTCCCCTTGCAAGGCGCCGGTATGAGTATTTCAGCCACGACAAATGATGAAACCAGGGTCAAGACACCTGTCTTGCTCAGTTGAATCCCGCAACAACTTTGCCCACCTGTATACAACCGATTGCACTGCCTGGGCAGACTGGACTTCCAGCCGGAGCGTCTCCGCGTTCAGAGAATCGCATGCAAAGCCCATGCACAGTGCCAAGTGTCACGGTTCAGCACCTGACGACATTGACAGGAATCCGCCGTGGAACGTACAACTTTGCCGTACCACTATTCCAGCCACCGGCCTGTGACAGAGTGGAAGTGTTCTCGTGCAGTTCATGCCGATTCAACCTGAGTTGCAATTTCGATGTGGTACGATAATTTACTCCTACGAGCGTGGTGGTTGGGTGTCGACCGGGCCTTTGTCTACGACACGATGTCTATGGATGGTACTGTATGTCGGTGTGGTGGATGGTTGGATTAATATTGATTCAACCCGCTCAACCCATCAGCAAACTCGCACCGAAACTCAAAACTTGAGTTCGCCGGGATACAGGCTCCAGACAGACAGACAGCCTTGGTCTCCTCGCTTGGTTGCTGATGTCTGGATTGAAGAGACAGGGTCCTTTATGCCACCTTTCAGTTAAAGAGACAGCCCTTGATCTCGGCAGGCTGCTCAATGCCACGCTCTCCGATGCGAGCAGCATCTGCCTTGCAAATGACTTGGGTGGTGGCCGCGTCCTTGGTGGCCACATCTTTACACAGCCCCTGCTTCTTGCCCTCATTTCCACTTTCGCCCAGGGCAATGGGGACAAGAAAGCACATTTCATCATCCAAAAGAGATAACTGAGCTTGGGCACAATGGGAACCCAAGGAACGCCGTCGATCACTCTGTGGTGTGGCCTTCTTGGACGGTGGTTACCCTGGTACGGTCAATACAACTTCTGCTTATTCTCTCTCCGGTGATTGACGTCGTCCCCTCGCCCGAATCTGCTCAAAATGGGGTCGCCTTCGGAATCGGGCCGGGCGATGACCACGTCAACACAACTCGTCCTTGCTGCTTGATTGTCTTGCTCCTAGTGTTCGCCACAAGAGTCCTGAGCTTCGAGGGACGTCTTGCGAGCCCTTCCACGATGGTGGCACTGGTGTTTGTGCCTGAGCAGTTAGCCGTCGGCGGATGACTGGCCAGTATTAAGTATACCATCCCTGGGACTCGGCTGTCAAGATGACGAGAGGGATTGGAGATGTCCAAATCGGTTTGGGGGGGGGCAAAGAAAGGTAGTTCAGGCGTATTTGGCGACGAGCTCAGCCCGGGGACCGCCTCCTCCTGCCGGTGCTCCCTTTCCAATGACAGCCGATCCGCAACATCCTGGATGATTCGGGCCTCGTCCTCCACACGATACATGCACCTCAGGTCCAGCCTCCTGCTACACCGTCTCCTGCGACCTATGATCACGTGACTGTCGTACTTCGCGCTTGCACGACCATGTCAACGAGAAAGGGAGGAAACGTGCACGGGGTCTTTAGCAATTGCTGAGCGCCTATCTGGTATACGAGGCCTTGTTCGACTGCAGCGTTCAGCCGAAGACGCTCCCGCACGATACGATTGCTCATCTACCGCAAGATGGACCAGTCGGGCGAACCCATCTTCGACACGCTCATGCACGGCATCTGCATATGCGTACGCAGGTGGTCCGTGGGCCGCCGCCAGGGCATCCGCCAGGGCCTCGTCCTTTGAACCTGCAGCATTTGCTTGGAGGGACAGGAACGTGTAGGATGTTTGGCGGATGTCGGGCTGAAGGTGCTGGTTGTTTGGTGCCGGTCTGGGTGAGGAGGCACGGTTGTGTGAACGTGTGCCCAACGATAGCCAGATCTGTCGACCCCAAATACCCGAAAGAGGTCTCATTGAGAGACATGGGAAGTCCAACCTGGAAGGCCTTGTGATGCATGGCCGAGGAGGAGCCTGGGGGGCGGCCGACCATCTTCGGCACCGTGCCGTTGGGTAGAGAAAGAGAAATGATAGTCTTTTCTTTCTTCAGATTGCCGTCGTTCTTGCTATTGACGGGGGCCTAGGCCAAGGGACGGGTTGACTTTCCGGCCGCTGCAAGATACCACCATGACTGGTGCTCGAACTCGAGTTCAGGTTTGAGGTTGCCAATCACTTTCCGGGCCAGCCAAAGGCAGGGGTTCTCGAAGTTGCAGTTGGATATGGTCGAAACATCGTAATATTGGAGGTTCAAATGACCCGTGCCACTCTATTGCATGCATATGCCACTTTCACATTCACGGCGTGCAAGTTTCATCGAGCGGGTGAGAGTTCTGAGTCAGCAAGATCACCAACCGAGGTTGCAGAGTACTCGCTGTCGTTGAAAGTTCCGGTCTTCTTCGAAAGACAAGCTGATCCCATGGAGGGAGTTGCGAACGGCATTGGAGAACTTGCTCAACAAGTTGCAGTTCGTTTGACGTGGACAAGAGACAGGGTTTTGGAGGCCACGAGGTCTGGCACTTGTCCTCGAACGGCCACGGCACCCTAATGGGCGCTATGTTGTGGGAGATGTGTCCGGAAGCGAAGAATGACGGAGTGTTGCAGGAGAGCCGGAATCCAGCCAAGAATGCAGGAATGCAGGATTGCTTCGGGAATGCAAGACTGCTCCAACCATGTGGGACCGTTGAAGGAATGCAGGAATGCAAGAGTGTTATCAAGGGTGCAAAAATGCAGAATTATTGCGAGAGCAGGGAGGAATGAAAGATTTTTGCAGGGTTCCTACAGGAATGCACCCAGGAATGCGGCATGACTATTGCCAGGAATGCAAGAATGCAGGAGGAATGCAGAAATGTAGGATGGCTCCGGGAATGCACGTCTGTTATGAGGAATGCAAAAATGTGGAACTGTTGTAGGAATGCAAGAATATCCGAAGAATGTGGGGTTGCTCTGAGAATGTAAGATTACTACGGGGATGGAGGAATGTAGGAATGTGGAATTCCCGCAAAAAATGCGCAAGGACTGCTAGGAATGCACATCTGTTCTAGGAATGTAAGAGCATTCCAGAAATGCCGGAATGCAAGACTGTTACGAGGAATGCAGAAATGCAGACTTGTTGCAGGTATGTAGGCAGGAATGAAAGAATGTTGAAGGGTTTCGTAGGAATGTGAGATCATTCCAGGAATGCAGGAATGCAAGACTGTTATGAGGAATGCAAAGATGCAGGCAGGAATGCAGAAATGCGGGAATATAAATAAGACTGGTACGAGGAATGTAAAAGTACTCGAAGAATGTAGGACAGTTTTGCATTCCTGCTACACTCCTCCAGGAATGTGGGGCTGCTTGAGGAATGCAGTGGGACTGCTGCTATAAGTCAAAGAGTGAAGGAATGTAAGATTGCTGCAAGGATGCAGGACTGTTCCAAGAATGTGGGGCGGTTCCAGGATTATCGTGGGAATGCATTGCTCTAGGAATGTAGGTAGGAATGCAAGATTGTCTCAGGAATGCAGGATTCCTCCAAAAATGCTGCCGGAATGCAACAGGAATGCACCAAGGAATGCGGCATGACTGTTGCGAGGAATGCAGAAATACAAGAATGCTGCACGGACGTTACTAGGAATGAAGGAATGCAGCTAGGGATGAAAGAATGTAGGATTGTTTCAGGAATGTAGGATTGCAGGAATGCGGGACTGCCCCAGGAATGCGGGGCCACGAGAATGTAAGAATGTTCGATGACTTCAGGAATGTTGCAAGAATGCAAAAATGTTAGACTATTGCCAGGAATGTGGGACCGCGGGAATGTAAGAACTCAACCAGGAATGCAGAGTGGCTCTAGGAATGCGGCACTGTTGCTGGAATGTAAAACTGCTCCTAGGAATGCAGAGCCGTAGGAATGCAGGAATGCTCTAGGAACACACGACGTTTTCAGGAATGTTGCTGGATTACAAGAATGTAGGAATGTAAGAATCAAGGAATGCAGGCAGGGACGAAAGAATGTAAGGGTGATCCAGGAATGCGCGTCTTTTCCAAGAATGTGGGATTGTTCCAGGAATGTAAGGTTACTGTAGGAATGGAGGAATGAAACAATGCCGGCCCGCTTTCGGAATGTAAGATTGCTCTCATTCGGGGAATGCGGGCCTGTTTCCAGGAATGCTGAAGGAATGCAAAAAGGAGCCAGGAATGTGGCATTGTTTCAGGAATGCGAGAATTCTGCCAGGAATGTATGAATGAAGGGGTGCATTCGGGAATGTAATCTGCTATGAGGAATGTCTTCTGGAATGCAGGGCAGTTAACTGGAATGCAAGATTGTTCGAACAACATGGGATCGTTCCAGGATTACAAGGTTGATGTTGGGATGATGGAATGCAACAATGTAGCTCCGCGTCAGGAATGTTCCATGAACGCAGGATTGTTGCTGGAATGCATTGCTCAAGGAATGCAAGACTATTCCAAGATTGTGGGACTGCTCCAAGAATGAAGGAATGCGGGAATGCAAGATTGTCCCAGGAATTCAGAAATGCTCCGGGAATGCAGAGTCGTTGGAAAAATAGAGGAATTTCGGCAGGGATACAGCCAGGAATGCAAGAAAGGAATGCAAACCTATTTCTCACCGGCCGGCTAGCCCGAAGCAGCTGGAATGTCAAAGCGCACAGCACAGACCCAATCACGCTCGACATCGAAACAGCATGTGGAATACTTGATATCCACATGGTATATGCTCAGTTCGGTGAATGGAAGGGATGGAAAGGTGTTTTTTGGAGGTGGCTGGAGGTGATCGAGAGCCCATGGGTACGGGCACGGACACGCTCACGCTCAGGCGGAGGAGAAGGTTAGCTCAGCTCAGGTCGGGTTGGCGTGCGTATAGGCGGCGAGGGGAGGGCACAGCAGGCAGTGGATGGATAAGAAGGATTGATTGTTGATGTGATTGTTGTGATTGATGGATGCGACATTCCATTCCTCCCCGTGATATCCTGACACCTTGACACCCCAGTATATATGTATGTGGTGTGTGCGGTATGTGTAGTGGCGGTGGAATGCAGGAATGCAGAACCACAGGGATGTAATTTACCCCAGGAATGCAGGACTGCTGCAAGAATGCACTGCTCCAAGAATGCAAGATTGTTGTAGGAATGTAGCATTCCTCCAAAAAACACTTCAGGAAGGCGTGCTTTGAAGAATGCCGCATTCACACCTGCTTTGGGAATTTGAAGAACACGTCATCGAGTTTCTGGTCATCAATATCGAGCTTGCCCGTCTTTCCCTCCACCCTCTCCCGTTGTTCTGCTTCTCCAGGATCCGCACCGCCAACAACCGTTGGTACGATCCTGGTATCTGAGGGAGGCGATGAACGATTTGTCCCCGGTCGAACACCAAGTTGAGGGAGCTTTTGCTTGTTGCACAACCGCTGCTCAAATGGTGCAGAACCTTGGCTGGCTGGCGCTGATTGCCTCGATCGGCGATGGGCAACAAGCTGATATGCTGGACTTTCTGCGCTTTGAAACCTGCAGCAGCCTCGGCAGCGTCTTTTGCTCCGCCCCCAGGCACAATCCCGTCTGGGGCGCCATCTATCTTCTCCGAGGTCAAGTTTCTGTCCAATTTCAGAACTCCTGTCACCAACGCCGCCAGGAAATCGAGAAGGAAGAATCCTCTGATCGCCGCCACGAAGCAATGGAAATCGTCAAGGAGGGCCCGGATGCGCGAGAGTGGTATATGCAAAACCATGACGACTTTAATTGATGGAACTCTTCTCCGAGCACTTCCGCCATTTCAGAGACCTGCTGGAGCGCAGCCCGTGATGAAGCATTTGAAGATGGTTGTGGCCTCGCCATGATATTCTCAGGACCATGCTTATCCACCGACCACGCGAGTTGGACACAGCATCCCCACCATGAACTGAGATAGCATCACCACCCTCAACATTTGAGAGGAAGGCGACATGGACAGATCATCTCCCAATGGCTACCGTCCGAGAGCGGTGCTTCTCAGACAGGTTCGTGCGTTTCGGTCAACAAACTCAACGACTTCGGCCGTCGTTCAACTCCCCAAATGACGGGGAGTGCGCCGGCCGTTTTCAATCTGGCTCAAGATCGTCCTGGGAGACTCGTAAAATTCGGGTTTCGGGCTGGGCGTCTTCTTCCGAAATCGTAGCTGGAAGAGTTTCGTTGGGGGATGGCGAGGCTTCCGCTGTCCGCCGTCACGTGATCGAAGGCGAGTTACAACCGTGCTGATCCCTCAGCCGCCAGTGTTGGGAATATGATCCGCGAAAGAGGGGATTCGTGGAGAGTCTGGGTCCTGCTGCTGAACACGGTCAGTAACACAGGTATGTGTGCTCTCTCCCTCAGATCCCCTTGATATCGCTGGTGGAGGGTCTGATCCTGGGGCTGCAAGCCATCCGACTGTGTACATGCGGACGGGAATGCCGGGACACTGATGGCTGGCTCGCCGTACGAAGGTCCAGTCTCGCACGGCTCCTCGGCGGAAGGGGGCTCCGGAGACGCCATACTCACAGAGGGCTTTTGATCGAGCCCTATTTTGACGAAGAAGCCGGCAGCCAGCACGTCGTTGAGCTCCACGGCCAGCGGCTGGATCCAGCACAGTGCCGTCATCTGCTGGGCTGCATGTTTGAGGGTGGCTACCGGAGTTGGCCCATTGTTCGACTTCCAGAGGTCATGCATGGGGCATAGCATGACCGTTCAACACTAGAGATCTGCGATGGAGCTCGAAACTGGAGAATGTGAAGGTCATAGAAGCTATACAAACCATGCAAGAAAAGGTCCGAAACCTGTTGGAGCAGTGTCAGCAAGAAGCAGGGCGAGCAGAGGGGTAAATCGATAACATGAAAGAGGAGATAAAAAAGCTCCACGACGGAGAAACACAGATCACGGCGAAAAATGCAAGTAAGTATATTCGTGCGCTGACCAGACTGTACGAAGCCACATACATATGCCGGCCTTCTTTACCTGTCATTCTCGGCTGCACCAACGACATCGGGCCCAGCCAGACACAGAATCACACTCGTCATCTCGTTGCACCGTGCGTTCCAGTCCCAGCAGAGATCTCCCAGTCAGTAACAAGTGGCACGATCTCCGTTCTCGTGATCATCCGCAGCACTGTTGATCACCTCTGGAGCCAAAGGGGCTGCCTGTTCGGTTTCCACGTTTCAGACCGCGTCGGCTTCTTGCTAGAGTCAGGTCCCGTGTCGGTCCGCTTTCGTTGAGTTCTCGAAGAGCAAGTCTCTCAATGGAGCGACGACCATCTTAGGTTGGATAAATGAAGCAACGGTGACCAGCATTCTGTCACAGTTGACACTGCGGACACGAGGGGAGGCCTCGTTGTCATTGAGTTGTAAAGGATTCCAAAATGAATCGAGGACACATGAAGCATGCTGACGAATATGCTGTCGAATATAGTCAGTCTCCTTCATGCAGAACCATCATGGGAAGAGAAATGAGTGTGGTCGAGAGTGTCTTCAGACCGGGCGAAGGCGGTTCAAGGCGGTTCCGGTGGCCGGCCCGCCCGGACGAAGGACGGAGTAAAAAGAGCTCGGCGGAGGAAGATCCCTCGGTCCATAAATGGCTGACATGGCATGAGACGTGTCAGACATGCTCGGACAAGGCAAAGCCACACCTGCACGTGACGCCAAGCCCACGCACGGCCAATCAAACCTGCCACGCCACATCTTTGCCGCCTCACACATTCCGACAAAGAACTTTTCTCACAAGTCGACCTGGACCTGAGTTGGAGTTGCTTTCTGCTCTGGCAAGAGTTGTTCTCCTGGCAATTCAGGAGCCAAGAAATTAGTGCTTACTCGCTGCATTAGTTCATCCCTGCGAGTCCTTCCATTGGGTGGCTCGTTTAGTAGCGCTTGCTTCTGTATTAGCGTCAGGCCTCCGACGAAAAGGCCTTTCTCACAAAGTCGACCTGGACTTGAAAAGTTGATTTCTGTTCTGTTGAAAGTTACTCTACTGGCATTTCAAGAGCCAAGACACTGGTGCCTCTTCTCTACATTAGCGTAGACCTACAGAGTCTTCCATTGGGTTGTCCGTTTAGTATCGGTTCCGTCTTACATTAGCGTCAGGCTTCCAATAAAAGGACTTTTCTCACAAAGTCGACCTGGACTTCAAGAGTTACTTTCTGCTTTGTTGGAAGTTGTCCTGCTGGCAGACCTGTAGAGTCTTTCATTGGGTTGTTCGTTTAATATCGGTTCCGCCTTGCATTAGCGTCAGGCCTCCGACAGAAGAACTTTTCTCGTAATGTCGACCTGGACTTCAAGAGTTGATTTCTGCTTTGTTGAAAGTTGTCCTACTGGCAGACCTGTAGAGCCTTTCATTGGGTTGTTCGTTTAGTATCGGTTCCGTCTTACATTAGCGTCAGGCTTCCAACAAAAGGACCTTTCTCACAAAATCGACCTGGACTTGAAAAGTTGATTTCTGAAAGTTGCTCTGCTCTCAATCCAAGAGCTAAGAAATTGGTGCCTACTCTCTGCATTAGCGTAGACCTGCAGAGTCTTCCATTGGGTTGTTCGTTAAGTCTCGGTTCCGTCTTACATTAGCGTCAGGCGTCCGGGAAAGGAACTGTTCTCGTATAGTCATCTGGACTTCAAGAGTTGATTTCTACTCTGTCAAAAGTTGTCCTGCTGGCATTTCAAGAGCCAAGAAATCGGTACCGCTTCTCTGCATTAGCGTAGACCTACAGAGTCTTCCATTTGGTTATTCGTTCAGTATCGGTTCCGTCTTGCATTAGCGTCAGGCGTCCGACAAAAGGATCTTTCTCACAAAATCGACCTGGACTTGAAAAGTTGATTTCTGAAAGCTGCTCTGCTGGCAATCCAAGAGCCAAGAAATCGGTACCGCTTCTCTATATTAGCGTAGACCTGTAGGGTCTTCCATTGGGTTATTCGTTTAGTATCGGTTCCGTCTTGCATTAGCGTCAGGCTTCCAACAAAAGGACTTTTCTCACAAAGTCGACCTGGACTTTAAGAGTTACTTTCTGCTTTGTTGGAAGTTATCCTGCTGGCAGACCTATAGAGTCTTTCATTGAGTTGTTCGTTTAATATCGGTTCCGTCTTGCATTAGCGTCAGGCCTCCGACATAAGGACCTTTCTCACAAGTTGATTTCTGAAAGCTGCTCTGCTGGCAATCCAAGAGCTACATAAGAAATTGGTGCCTACTCTCTGCATTAGCGCAGACCTGCAGAGTCTTCTATTGGGTTATTCGTTCAGTATCGGTTCCGTCTTGCATTAGCGTCAGGCGTCCGACAAAAGGACTTTTCTCACAAAGTCGACTTGGACTCCCAGAGTTGCTTTCTGCTCTGTTGAAAGTTGTTTCTGCTGGCAATTCAAGAGCCAAGAAACTAGTGCTTACTTTCTGCATTAGCGTAGACCTGTAAAGTCTTCTATTGGCTTGCTCGTTTAGTAGCGCCTTGTATGTGCATTAGCGTCAGGGTTCAGACAAAGGACTTTCTCGCAGGTCGTCGACCTGGATTTGAAAGGTTACTTTCTGCTCTCTCGAAAGTTGTTCTGCTGGCATTTCAAGAGCCAAGAAATCGGAACCGCTTCTCTGCATTAGCGCAGACCTGTAGAGTCTTCCATTGGGGTGTTCGTTTAGTATCGGTTCCGTCTTGCATTAGCGTCAGGCCTCCGTCACAAGGACCTTTCTCACAAAGTCGACCTGGACTTCCAGAGTTGCTTTCTGCTTTGTTGAAAGCTGTTCTGCTGGCACTTTGAGTGCCAAGAAATTAGTGCTGACTCTCTGCATTAGCGTATCTTTCCATTGGGTGGCTCATTCAGTAGCGCAGACATGTGCATCTGTCCATTGGCTGCCTCTTGGCGTTAGTGCTTACATCTGCAGTAGCGTGGCGCCTAACCCGGGCACTCTCCGGACAGTCACACTTCTGAGAGCTCAACTTTTGTTGGAATCTTTGTTTGAACTTTGGGACTTTGGAACTTTGGAACTTTGGAACTTTGGTCGGAACTTTGGAACTTTGGTTGGAACTTTTGTTGGAACTTTTGTTGGAACTTTTGTTGGAACTTTTGAATTTTGGCTGGCAATCTCGGAACTTTTGTTGGAACTTTGGAATTTTGGCTGGCAATCTTGGAACTTTGGAACTTTGGTTGAAACTTTGGAAGTTCAACTGCTTGAAGCTCTCGTGGATGCCTCAAGGCTGCCACCAGTCACGGGTTGCCCAGCCTTGACGTCCGTCGTTGCTGTCCAATCGCCATCGTCAAGATCTTTTGCCGAGTACGCCGAAGCGGCCGAGTACGCCGAAGCGACTGGTCAGGACATGCTCACGGTCTGTGGGTTGTCGACGAGTTTGTGTCTTGTCGAGCCTGGCCGCTTTTAACATTTACGCCTCAATACTCACCCGTCTTTCTGTACTGGGGCCATTCCGGCTCTGCCATCGAGCACCATCCTATCTCTTCAACCTCTGCTTTGAAGCTCAGGTCTGGCGAAAGAAGTCCCCAAGATCAAAGTATCACGTGTGCCCGATTCGGTAATCTGGACCTCTTCGACCACGAGAAATGATCGGGATGCATTTCGAATTGGCATTCGTGCAAAGACCCAGGGCAACTTGCAGCCTTGCGCCACCGGAGCGGAGGGCGTAACGGAGTGCAGATATGTGAGAGACTACGCCGGACCGCCAGCTTCGGGAGCATTCCCCTGGAGCTACAAATCTGCTATTTTCATGCGGCCCTCATGCCCCCTCTCGTGCACCTTCATGTATGCACGTGCGCAAATGACATCAGAGCGAAACATCGGAGACGTGATGTATCTGACGATCAAATGAAGGGAGACTCACTCGGGAAGCAAATTGTCGAAAAGCGGGCTCGACAGCTTCATTAGGTATGGTTGGCCTTATTTTTGCGTGGTACTTGGTTCAAGGGCAACGTGGCTATAAGAATTGGAGGATGGAGGTGATGAGGTGATTCCTTGCCCCGTCGTCGGTGATAAGGGCAAAGACATGAGCTTGGTATTGCAGCCTCTGGGAGAAATGGCCGAGTGGCTTGTCTCACTGAGAGCCCTCCTCTGCACGTGTCCGACTGTATTATAACTTCAATCGCGACCATTTGCTCTAAATGAGCCCCGTGTTGCGTGCCTTCTTCATCTTCTCAATATCCGCCTACACGTTGCTGTCCGGGGGAGGAGAGTCATCAATGGTATCCTTCCTATATGTCAAAAAACATTGGTACAAGCCAAACAAACAAACAAGATAAGATATGACATGACATCCCCCATCTTGCTTGAAAGTGTGCCACATCCCACCAGGATCCCAGCTATCGTTCGAACCCTCATACCTTTCCAGCTCTCCCACGCTCTGGCTTTGGCTCGACAAAGGAGAGAGGATACTCGATCACCCTGGTTCCAGAAGCCAGCGACGGGGATTCGTGAACAGATTCGAGGTGTCAACACGAGGAACATCAATTGTGCAGTCTGATGCCTTGTGTACAGTTACTAACACGGACGGGTGAGCCATCGATCATGGAAACGGGGTGCGTGAAGAATATGTGGCTCACCCTTGCCCGTCGTACATTTCTGCTGCAATTCCAGGACACGTTTACGGATACCATCCGGACTCTCTCAACAGTCAACATGTTTCTTCGATCAGAAAGAAAGGTTCTCATCCCACGCTGGCGCCGAGTACCGAAGTCAACATGATAACACTGCAGGATTAGGAACACGGAAATAATGTCTCAACTCGACTCCGCCGGACATCAAGCCGAAGATGAAAGCAGAGTCCTGCGATAGCAGCTTGGCGGAAACAGTGCGTGCAGGCGATGGTGATTTCCCGTTGCGGTGTCATCCGTTCTGGGCTTTCATCTGCATGCCCGGAGTCCAGGCGCAGCGGGTAGGGGGTAGCCGTGGAGATACAGTTTCAGCGGACTGTGGTCTCAATGGGCGCGGAAGAGGACCGAAGCAAGACGAAAAACAGAACAAAAGGATGGACGAGAGAGACACACCAAGGTGTCGAGTGCCCAACTGTCATCGTGTCCCTGGACCTCCATTTGCCCCTCCAGCCTTGTCTGCTCCTCCAGCCCTCCCGGCCACGCAGATATTCAACATGCACTCAATCAGCGAAGCAAACAGCATAACAATCACAGGGGATGGAGAGTACAATCCCCCAAAAAACAAGAGGTTCAATCAAGACGTGGGATTCGAATGTCTGTCAACTCCATGGAATCCGTATGAAAAGGAGCCATTTTCTTCTGTCAGCCTCCTGGGCAGGCTTTCAACAGCGCACCTTTTCAGGGCCCTTGCCTGGCTTGAGTCCGAGATCTATCTAGCTTATATCTTTACTGGTTCAGTCTCTTGCCGGAGATACTCCGCTCGACCATACTGATGCCACTATCTCCCATAAGCCATAACGTGGTGAGATTTGTCCACGACTACTACTTGCTTGTCAACACTACTTATTCTCCAGCCACTCTCTCTTAGCAGTCCCAGGGGACGTAGTCACCTTCGGGTTTGACGAGGTCCGCGATCATGCCGTCAAAGTCCAGCCCGATGGTGTCCGTATTGTAGTACTTGTACTGCTTGACCTCGACCCCGAGTCGGAGACGACGGCCTTGTGGTTCGCCCACGAACGGGTGGGGATGTAGATGGTCTTTGCGCCCGGGTAGAAGCGTTCGAGGAAAGCACCGCCTATTCTCAGCGCGCCGGTGCCGGAGATGGACTGGATGATGGCGACGCGGTCTTCCTGGATCGGTTTCGAGTTGGGCCCGTAGGCGAGCAGCGCCGCGGCCTTTGTGAACGAGGGCACACCGGTGATGCCGGCGTATTCCTTATCGAGGGACGAGGAGACGATCTTCTGCTCGACGGGCCCCCCGCCGCCGACAGTTCAGCATCGTACAAATGCATGTTGAGAGTCAACCTACACAAGAGAATGATGGGTCCAATGTTGATCTTTGGATTGGCGAAATAGTTTGACTGTGCTATGCCACAGATCAATCGTGTGTGGTGCATAATTACTTTCTGAACCGAAAAGGCACAGGTCAGTCACAGGATATTGGAGAATCACTCAAGCGGAAGGAGTGCAACGTTACGTGGGGCGAGCATAACACCTTCATCTATGAAGTCGTGACACCAGAATACGAACGCTCCGATTATGGGCCTGAGTCACAAGTTTCAAGGCCAGAACACTGTTCGAGACCTTCGAATGCTGCCGGTTTCGCGGAGACTGACCACTCGCAGTCACCTTCTCTGCCATAGCTGAGATCTGCGCCATCTTCAGCGTGCCTCTCACGGTAAGTCTCACAGCTCTGGGGCTGTCCCCTCCCAAAAAAACAGAACCGACCTCGGCCTTGATCACGTCCAAATCTTTTCTTCGAGTCATCATCAGTGGCTCCGAAATTGCCAGGCCATAGCACAAAAAGAGTCCGTTGTCACCCGGGACGCAGGGCTGTTACAATGACTGTTACAATGCGCTCCCCGGCCGACAACACCCCATGGGGCAAATGGCCCCCATCAGGCGCTTGGCCCCCATGGGGCCAACGGCCCCAAATGCCAAGGCGGCCCCCACGAGGCATACACAGGAAAAAGATAAATAGGACCTCTATTCTCGCACTGCTGGAGAAGCCCTCAACAGTGCGAGAAGTCGATGTCTCAAGGACAGCTTTATACAAATCAAGATACGTGTTCAACCCTCTGACTCTTCGTCTAACGATCCCACCCCAAAGCTCTCTGACATCCGTTCTCTACAGGCCACAATACAATCCGAGCGATCAACCCTTCCATGACGCGATCTTCATCCAGGGGCATTTGACGAGCGACTTTGTTCCAGAAATCCCACAACTATCCCGCAACGGCCAAAATCGTCCCAAAAAGTGTTTACAAGAAAGCAAGTTTGACGCCTTCAAGATCTCGAGGTGAATGCCAACCAGGACAAGATTTTGAAGAAACACGAGATCCACAGCGAGTCTGCCGAACACTATCCTATGCAGTATCCTCACGGACTGCCATATGCTGTCGCTCCTCAACATATGCATCACATGCGCCATCATTCTGTTCAACAATTCGAAGGCTCACCTGCGCCCGAAGATTCAAACAATGAAAATGGTGGCGCCAGCTCGGTCGAGGTGTCCTTGGAACGTCCGTTTCCAGGGCGCGGCCACGGTCGACGACGGCGTGGGGTCATCCACGGACCTCTGAAGCCCCAGACAGACAGAGCTTTGTGCGCGCCATTTCATTTCGCAGGGCGGGTTTCGAGAAGGCAACAGGGCATCGGGGACGGCAGGCTTTCGGGAGTGCGTGGATGAGATTACGCATCAAGTTTATAGTGGTGACATCGCTTCAGGCTCAAAGATTTCCTGTGGAAACAATGCGAGAGAGCGTGCCTGTGCCAGCGGGCCTTTGCACCGCAGCGTCATTGCTGCTGCCGCCGCACCACCATTTCAGGAGACTCTAGACGTGCTCTATTGACTTCGTGATCATGATACTCGATGTGGTTGAAGTGTCTTCGGCTGCGTTTGCTGTCGTGAGTGGCGGTTGAGTTGGGGGTGTCCGGAGTTTGTTCGTTGTCAAGGTCTGACCATCTTAGTAGTGGTGTCCGTCGAGAAGTCATTGGCCGAAAATGGTTCAACCTCGATTCACGACGGTAGGATATGTCTGGGGAGATCGCAGGCAATAGACGTGCTCTGTTGACGATTCATGATCTTGATCCTCGACGTGGTTGGGATGTCTTCGGCTGCGTTTGCTGCCGTGATGGGCGGTTGAGTTGGGAGTGTCCGGCGGCAAAGATAGTAGGATGTTGATGATTTTTTGTTTAGGGTAAATGTCGAGAATGCGGTGAATGCAGGTTGGTCAGCAACCATCAGCAAGCCTTTGGCTTGGCCAGATGGAGGTCTCTCGGTAAACAACGCCTGAGTAGAAATTTCGACATTTTTTTTCGTTTTTCTTCTTTTTTCTTCTTTTTTTCCTTTTTTGTTTTTGGTGGGAGGACTGAAAAGTGATGCAAAACGTGTTTTTCCGTGTGACTTTGAGGGCCTGGCCTTTTGTTCGGTCGCCTTGGACTCCGCTCTGGCAAAGAATTTGTCCATCGAGTCGTCTAGCTCGACGGAAACGACCCTCATGGTCGGTTTCTCTTCATCGGATGGACTGGTGGCAGCTGCTATAACAGTGTTAGCTAGTGCGGTGGTACCGGCCTCCATCCTTCCCTTCCAGCGTTGGAAGTCCTCCGGGAGGTGCTCTTCTTTACCATGAGACTTACTGGACATGTCACAGCTGCCACCAATAAAGGCCTCAATAGCCTAAAGCATCTCGGATTTCGGTAAATCTTTCACTCCATTAAGGGCTCCGGTGGTAGGCCACTCTCTAGGCTAGAATCGTCAGACGACCGTTCAGCCATCGTGCTCTGTTGACGATTCATGGTCATGATCCTCGACGTGGCTCAAATGTCTTCGGCTGCGTTTGCTGTCGTGAGGGGCGGTAAAGTTGGGAGTATCTAGCCGCGATTTTCGTCGTCAAGGTCTGACGGTCTTGGCCGCCGTACACGTCGAGAAGATATGGGGAAAAGGTTAAGGCGAGACCCGGAAAGTACCTCGCGGAATCTTGATCTTGTGACGGTAAGGGAATATTTGAAAGGAGAATGCTCCAAAGATTTGTATATATATTCGTGTTGTACGAATGAATAAACTGAGGAGAGGAGAGGAAAAGAAATGAACGCGTCGGTGCAGAGGTTTATAAACCAGTTGTGTGGCAGCTGTTTCTGCCAAGCCTCTCCTGCTGGGCAGCCAATCAGGGAGCCCCTGATTGTTCCGTATAATGTGCTCACAACCGTCACCCCGGGGGTGATAGTATTCCGTCCCTACTATTGAGGTTATGCTGCCTGGATTTACCTACCTACCTCACTGGGGACGGAAATCTATCACCCCCAGGGTGACCGTGACAGATCTACGATATCAGTCCAAAGCCCGTTATGTTTTCAAGAGGGTGGCCCGGGACCGGCCTAGCCTGTAGACAACACGAGCATTGAGATGCCAGGAATATAATCACTCAAAACGTCTCAGGGAGCCTGTCCCGGAAATCTACATCCTCAAATATTGATATCAATAGGCCACTTTTGAACAAAACAGTTTACTATCTGTGTACTTGAATCTTTTGAGACGGTCTCGGAAGACCGCTTCTTCATCGATTCACCGTGCTCATTCTGGCTTATCTTCTTCGGAATATATGAAATGCCCTCCAGCCCAGCAGTAAGTGTAGAACAGGTTTCATCTATAGTAGCTCGGAGGATCAACCGTGCTCTGAGCACAGTCTCAGATGCAGAGGAGGTATAGAAAGGAGGTTTGATAAGTCGGGACGATCGTAACGGGGCTTGTCACTGCGCGTGGCGGGAGACCGCAGAAAGATTCATCCAGCGCCTTCGTCACAAACAGACGCCGTCCAAGAGAAGGTAGATCGACTGCCAGCTCACCCCTCTTTGGGACATGGGTGATGCTGCCCTGCAGTGCATGTACTCACCCCCGCCTGCATTCTGGGCGACAGAAGACGAGGTAAATCGACGGCGAGCTCACGGGGGCACTCACCCACTCGGCGCCGCTTTCAAGGATGCCTCACACAAGGACATCGTATTAAGACATCTGAAAGCTACTGAGGGAAGTGAACCCATGATGTCGCCGCATAAGTTTATTAAGGCGTGTACGCCATCGCTATGGATTTGCGGAATCTCTGCATAATAACTGCTCCGTGGTAGCCCACTTACCATGCCCATGACTGCGTCTAATTATACATCACCGCTGTGTCCGTGATAAGATTTATGATATCCTCTCTTACTTTGAAGCTTCAGGAGTCTGGGTCGTAGGAGTCTGCGTCGTACGAGTCTGGACAGTAGGATTCGGGTTTCGTAGAACAGTGGCAGCGACAGTACCACCCACTGCAACAAATGCCTTGGTATTTATTAGAAAGTGGCATATAGTAAATACGATGGTTACTTACAGCGAAGAGCAGCCACAAAAATCGATTCTCAAATTGATCAGTCTTGACCCTATCTCCATAGTGATGTTCTCTTCGAGGTGTGCCATGTCTGATTTGAGCTCTGATCGAAAGTGTCTGATCTCTGATTCAAGGCTTGCGAATTTCAAGTCCCATTTATCAACGAGGCATGCCATCGCTGATTTTGTCGCCATCAACTCTTTGTTAAAGTAGTTGAGCTTGTCATCGAGATTTCGGCTGAAGTGAGGGGCAGAGCCGGTGTCCTTATCACCAGAAAGCAAACCTATAGACATGTCAATAGCTTTACGATCGAAGTTGAGTGATGTGTCTTACGCGCCGTTACCTGGAAAGTGCGGGCTTGGGATATGCAACGTGTAGCTTGTTGAACAATGCTACGTTGTCCAAGGCGGAAAGCTTGCCGTAGCATTTTGAGGATGCTGTCGGAGAGGATTTCGAAGTGGCGTCGGGTCGACTGAGGGTGATGGTTGTAAGAGTGAGGGTAGTTGTAAAGGTGAGGGTGAGGAAGGCCATCCCGGTATTTAATGCCAAGACGGCAGCATCACCCACGTCCCCAAGAAGGGTGACCTGGGCGTGAAACCACCTTCTCTTGTTAAAATCTACGACTTCCTCACCATCACCTTTACAACCACCCTGACCTTTGCCACCACCCTCACCCCTACAATCACCACCCTCACTCAACCCAATGCCACTTCGAAATCCTCTCGAGACAGCATCCCCAAAATGCTACGGCAAGCTTTCCGCCTTAGGCGAAGTAGTATTCTCCAATGAGTTACACGTCCTCCACAAAATATCTCTTCATCATGCAGGTCCCAAAACCGCACCTTACAGACAACGACTGTCAGGGAGCTTTGGGGTGGAATCGTTAGACGGAGAGCCAGAGGGTTGAATCCGTATCTTGATTTGTATAAAGCTGTCCTTGAGACATCGACTTCTCGGACTGTTGAAGGACTCTGGAACAGTGCGAGAACAGAGGTCCTATTCATCTCTTCCTGGGTGCATCTCGTGCGGGCCGTTCGCCCCAATCACCCCATGGGGGCCGCTCGCCTCAATCACTGCATGGGATGTTGTCAACGGGGGGTTTGGTTGCCAGCCCGGGTGACACCTACAGTCAAACATGTTCAAAGCAAGAGAGCTTATTACGAATATTATTACGTGTCAGAGAGCCTTGGGGTGGGATCGTTAGACGGAGAGTCAGAGGGTTGAACACGTATCTGTATTGTATAAAGCTATCCTTGAGACATCGACTTCTCGCACTGTTGAGGGTCCCTCCAGCAGTGCG